GTATCTCAAAGTTTATTGAATTATAATTACCCTTACACTATCACTGAACTAATTAATCTATCCTGGTGACTTAGTAGTGAATAATGATAATCTTAAAATACGTAGGTAAATATTTATGCAAAAACACCAGAACGAGCCAATAGAACATAATTTGGGGTATTAATTAAAAAAGATAAATTTATTAAATTGGATTAAACTTGTTCGTACAGCTGACGTTGTCGTTTGATTACGGATTGGAGTAATTCCGTCATTATAGGACGTAACAGTATTATCTCGATAAACTCTGTCAACTTGCAAGTGATATAGACTATGGGATTTACGCTAACATTGTTATCACTCACATGTGTTTTACACGAGATAGTTTGCCAGCACTTTCCAAATAATGAGAAAGAGTAAATCAAGAATCCTGTAGAAAGTTGGTCATCTATCAACTTAAAACCAAATGCACTACTTAGCTAAGCCACACAACATGCACAGTTTGCCAAAGCTTTGGCGTTTTCGTCTGACATCACATCACACCAAATTTGTATCGGAGGGGACCAAATTGCACAATCGGAAAGTTTGGTTGAATTAGTCATGTGATGCACCATTTGCATCTCCTTCCATTTTCTTGCGTGTAAAACAAACACACTTATAAACCGCAACAACATTAAAATTTCGAACGCGTTTCAACAGCAAGGCTATGATCATCAGCGAACAACGGCTTACATTAGGATGTCACATCACTATCAAGACTAAGTACTTCCAAACGTTCGAGTACTGGTTATGGTGGTAATTAGCGATGAGGGGATGTATTAAAACAGGTAGACGAACGTTCCCTCTCTGTAAGTTTTGTGTTTTATTGAAAATGTTAGTTGGTCGCAGTGGCGGCGCGAAGTGGTGTGTCTTGGGGGTGCACAATTTAAAAATGGGGCCACGGGCAAAAAGCCTGAGGCGAACATTTTTGAGTTTTTTGGGCCTATTAAATGGCGTAAAAAAGTTTATTGATGAGACCTCTAAATACTCCAGGTTCCAAAGCACCACAAAATTTTGTACCTACGGTCTATAATTTTGGATAAAACATACCTGTTCTTTTTTTACTTCCTCATTACGTTTTTCGATACTCAAACGGTATGCACTATTTAACTGTTGCCGTATATCTTGCTTAGGTACCTAATAAATTAAATCTCAATTTACCAGATATATGATGTGCCTTTGAAGATTGATATTTTTTAATTTTTTCGAATAAATGCACTAAGTCTGTAACGCCATTCTTTGTCCATTCTGATGCCTCATCACCGAGCTCATCACCAAACAACAAACACGGAAAGTTAAATTTTACTTTTATCTTCATCTTAAAACTCAAAAAATCGTAAAATGTGTTAGTTGCTGTAACCTTTTTTCCAAAAAATTCATCCTATTTCCGAAAACCTAAAAAATGGAAGCATTGTCATCAAAAGACGCAATTAGTGAAAAAGCGGAAGAAGCAGAGCTTAGGTTGGTTCCCAGAAGATCTGAAACCGCTTACAACAAAAAAGAATTTTTCGTAGACAAAAAAGTGTGGAAACTGTGACAGAACCAGTTCTACTTGCTTACTTTTTACTGCAGGTATTATGAAACCTGTTAATTTTGCTCATATTTATTCAATTTTATTAGTCGAAGGTGTACAATGCCTAATCTTTGCCGTGGACCTTTTAAAGCTGCGAATAAAAAATGACAATTAAAGGAATTTTTGACAAAGGCGCCTACTTTCTGTCAGGAAATTTTAGTTTCCATGACAGAGGCAGAGCAGACTACGTTTCCTGCCGCTTGTTACGTTACTGGCCGCATCGTCACTTTACCGGCCGCACCTGTGACATTTCTAAATGTCTATAACGACTCATGTTACTAATGGCAGATAGACATTAATCAAAAGTTCTAAATAAAAATTTAAATTTTATATCAAAATACGACTTCGGGTAAAGTTTAATACAAAAATCGTCAGAAAAATGTTATTACTTAACTCGGCCCCAAAGAGGCCTCGTACTTCAATATTTCCTCGCCAGTAATGTGTCATTTTCCTGACTTTTATGTAAATTACTATTGCTTTTGAAGGTACGATTTCAATATGTTAAAGCTTCTGTCATTAAACTAATATGATTGTAGGTTGTAGGTGGTTGCTGGTTTTGGCCTGTTTCGGGCTTGCAGAAGAGTAAAAGAAAACATTGTCCAAAGAAACGTATAAGAGATACAATTCACAGATTGTGCAATCCTTGCAACCATCGGGGACGTTAGAAATTACAATCGTATAACGCTATTATGTAAATCAGAAATAACTCATATTCAATCGGATCACTTACTCTACTCGCTCGCTACCATGAGCTTTATTCACGAGTTCGAGATCGAGTTAAGGATAAATCAATAAAAACTTTAATGCACGAATACAGTAATTATAATGTAATGCTACCAATTGTATTTGACAAGTAAAAGTCGTTAGGGTGTTTATTGAGCGGCCAAACGAGGAGCGGTGGAAGCTTTCTCGTAGGGGAGTCGAAGGTGTCTGCCTGTGAACACGATAACTGGCAAATTCGGTTCAAGCTTTACGGTTAGCTACCTACATGCCATATGTAACAAGCCTCTTGAAAATGAGCCAAATCCAATGATTCGGTTCAACTTTAGACAGTTCAGCTATACCAAATGTAACAAGCCTATGAGGAGCACACCGGTCTGCTGCTTTTCTAGATCCGGTTTACATGCGGTTTATCTACATATAACTATAATATACGATTCTTCTTTACGCGTGTTTGTGACTGACCTCCTAAACGGCTGGACGGATTTTGATGAAATTTTTTATGGATGTCTGTGTGTCCCCGGATAGTTTAGATTCACAATTGGACCCCATCGCGTTATAGGATTTCTTTTAAGCTTCTTTTTTCGTTGAGATTGCATTTTGCTATTTTTTTTCGCGTAGGTACCTATCGATACATGCGCCGAGTCACTTGGGTTGTATCGTAGCGATGTTTTTACATTTTTGCATTCTGTACGCTGGGTTATCATATATCCGTCAATATCGAGCATGCGAAGTCGCGGGGGAAAATCTAGTTTATTATATAATTACCCTTTAAACTCGTATGTAAAAACAAAATCAGAACAGGCTTGATTACGCATTGGAGTAATTGCGTCATTTTATGACGTGACAGTATTAGCGCGATAAACTCTATCCATTTATAAGCGACACACTTCTGGATTTACGCTAACATTATCTCTCATTTGTGTTTTGGACAGAAACTTAGACAATATAGTTTGCCGGCATTTTGGATCAAATTTCAAGTGTTATAATGAGAAAGAGTAGATCACGAAACTGAAGAGCTTAATAGTATATCTTCATAAGGAAAAATGAAGGGCCCTTGTAGAGTACTAACACATATCGCTAAAATAGCCTGAATCATCAAAAAAGTTGCTTTTTTTAAATAATAGGATGGTAAAGCTTAAAATTTACGTTTGGGGATAGAAGATTGGTAATATCCAAATGTTAAGGACTTTGGAATTAAGGGACGCCCCACAGAAACAAAATTTCAAGGAAGGGCAAGAGGGATATATCGCACTGAAAAGAATGGATAACAAAGTATATTATAATAGAAGAAATAAAAACTGCATTACTTTTTTATTTCCGATCTTCGTACCTGTCCAAATGATTGCCGTGTTTTCAGCCTACCTAATTTTTTTGAACGGTCTAGAAAAAGAAGAATATGTAAAAATGCGTTAAATAAAAAATGATAGGAAACACATCTTTGCAAAGGTAATTAATTTGTTTATACAGTGTTTTACAGTACTGTACTGTCAGTACTTTAATGTACCTTCTTTACACTCCTTCAACATGTTCAATTATTCATCTCATTGTTTGGCGGTCGACTGTTTAACTGAAATAAAAATAATAAACCTTCAGATACGAGCTGATTGTAATCGAAAGGTAAGTCAATGACATGGCGTTTAGAACTTACACGACCTGGAAGATATTCACACAACGTGCTCGCTGATGTAGAAGCTGCAGCTTCATAAAAATCCATATGTTATGTATAACGTAGAAATAAAGACTTATCCGACGGGGGAGGAGCACTTGAATATTACCAAAGAGTATTGTATACTCTTTGATATTACTGACCTTTTCTTAAATGAGAGATCATTTACTTCGACCTGAGGAGATTTTGTCTACACAAACCATTCTTGTGTATAATTTAGTCGCATTCACTTTCCTGTTACACACTTTCTCTGATATGGAGTATATCTTGGTAATTATTAAAAAAATTAAAGAAAGTATACCATTTCTTTCAAAATAAGGTGGACTTACGCAGACATGGATTTCGCTAGAAGAAAAGAGACAAATTAACTCATATAAACGAGAGAAACTCGTTCTCTTTTTCTAATTAGAGACTATGCGGTGCAGGATTCTGAACAGTTTTCAACCAGATCTAGAGTTTTTTGGGTTTTCTTTGGTTTTGATTATCCATAGGGCCAAAGGCGCGTCCAAAAATTACAGAATCTTGATGCACACTGATTTTAAAATGTTTTACATGTTGCTGTTGTCTACATTAAAACTGAAACATGCCGAACAAAAAGTGACTAATTTTTTGGGTTTTCGATTTATTTAGCTAAGATTCAACGAATGCCTTGTGGAAAACCAATGCGATAGTATCAAAAAATTAAATAATAATTGTCACCGTTAATCACAATCACAAACGTGCCAAGCCAAGTGCAAAGTTTAGTGCCCAATAAACAAAACAAGTCCAAAAATCCCCTGGTACCTATTCAGATTTCCTTAATTAATTTTCAAATTTGCATTCGTCATTTTACAGTAATAATATTTACACTAATTGCGCTAGTTATAAGTCATCATCGCTTTTGTCCGATAACAGTAATTTACGATTTATATTACGTAATGTGAGAAAACCCTGCTTTCTTTACGGTAATTGTAGAATTCCCAATAATTATCAAGTTTGATGATACAACGGTCTGCTTTTAAGTGATATCGATAGTAAACAACATTTAGTATGTGGTTTATATAGTCCTAACGTCCATGTCTTTTCAATAGACGTGCTCAGTGTTCGAAAGGTGCTGGTCGGGCTGTAAATTATTTATTGGTGCCGTAATTAATTTTTAAAGTGTATTATTTTATGTTTCTGTGATAGTTTTGTGATATAACAATGGCTGATTATATTCGTATTTTTGGAAAAGATGGTGAGTTTTTTATTTTTTTTTAATTTCGTCCAAGTTCAAACTAGAAACTGTATCGAAGCTAATGGTAAAGTTTTCATTTTTATTTTTTTGGAGATGCTCCGAGATACCATTAGCATATATGTAAATTAGTGGGCGCTTTTATGCATTGTTACATTACAGTCCACGCTTTGTCCAATTGTTAAAGACAGGAATTAGAAAAAGGAAGTTTGGTTATCAGCTTATACAATTTTTTTGGCATTAATATCAATGCGTATCTAATATACCAAGACGACGTAATCTCCGCTATTAGTTTAAGGTCAAGGTAATTTTTATCATACACCAATAAGTGTGCCAATTTTTTGAAGAATGCTTGTTTCGATCTTGATTTCTAAGAGAAACTGGACCATTGCCCTAAAAACGCGTTAACCCCTTATTCCAAGGACCCTCTGGTTCATCTGTTTCTTAAGACACTTTGTCCATTTCGATCCCATATTAAAAAGTCTACAAAATACTAAATGTTATTTCCATTTCAGTCGACACCGAAGCTAGCCTTTTGCTTCCGAAGAAAACATCGCCAATAAACCTGTACAGAAGACGATGGCTCATGCTGTTCTTATTCGTTCTAAGTTACATATTTACCAATATGCAATGGAATGAGTACTCCGTGATATCTGACATAGTAATGAAATATTACAATGTACCATCTGACACAGTAAATTGGACCAGCATGATCTCCATGTGCTTTTATTTACCGTTGGCGATACCCGGAAGCTACTTCTTAGAGAAATACGTAAGTGTTTCGTACTGTTAATGAGACGAAGTGTTAACAATTTAAGGCATTTACAGGGTCTTCGATCTGGAATTCTGATTGGCGCAGGATTCGGGTGTCTAGGATCGTGGATCAAGCTGTTTTCCATACAGCAGGATAAATTTTGGGTCGTTCTCGTAGGGCAAGGAGTTTCGGCAGTATCGGGCATATTTATAATACAGCTGCCTCCTATGTTGGCAGCCGTCTGGTTTGGCTCGGAGGAAGTATCGACCGCTTGCAGTATTGGAATATTTGGTGGACTGGTACGTATTTTTTTAATACTGTCACATCAAAAGATACATTCCATTTTGCGCCTGACACGTAGAATACTAATTTTAATTTGTTTCAGGTTGGTTTGGCCATTGGATTTTATTTACCATCAATTACGGTACCCAATGACCCTAGCAATATTGCAATTGCTAACAACCTACACACATTGTCACTGACTATAGCCCTACTAGGATCAGCACTGTTTCTTCTACAAGTATTATGTGAGTATACGCCCCCGGTACGAAAAGAACACATTATTAATGCTGTTTTCATTAGTTTTTGAAGATAAACCACCAACTCCACCATCAAACACGCAACTCAACAAAATTGAAATGCCCGAAGGATCGAAAAACTGCATCAAATCCTGTTTGGAATTATTGACCAATGTACCATTCCTATGTTTGGTATTGGTGTTTACGATTGACTTTGCGATACCCAATGCGTTCTTCGTTTGTTTGAATCAGTTGTTGGCGTTTTACTATCCAGTAAGTTAAAAAAAAAGTGTTTGCTTTTTGGGTTTACGGCTGATATTTTTGCAGAACGCATCGGTAGAAGCAGGACGTATTGGACCTATCATGATAATTTCGGGAATATTTGGGGCTGTCATAACCGGTACCCTACTCGACAAGTTTCATCGCTACAAGTAATAATTTACCCTTTCGTTTGTAACAAAGTTTAATGCATTTCTTCTAGGACGCAGTTTCTTTTAACGCAGACTTGTGCTGTAATGGCCATCATTATGTTTACCCACGCGTTAGGTGGGCCAATCTACGTCGTCTACTTCATGGCAGTATTACTGGGGTAAGTTTTGTAAACGTAGAAGCAAATATTGTATTGATAGAATATTTTTACAGAGTATTTTGGCTTACGACCCTGCCTATTTGTACGGAAGCCATTTTGGAGTTAACTTACCCCACATGTGAAGGGGTATCAATTGGATTTTCGTATGTTGTAGCGCATTTGGCATCACTTATCGCTACCTCTGGATATTCGTATCTCATTGACCATTATAACCCTTTTTGGGCTAATTATTTAATGGGATTCATGTTGTGCATTGCACTATTAGTTCTGATTACTGTGCGATTCGATTACCGAAGGTATGCTGTTAACTTCGGTTCGGTGAATATATGAACGCTACTAAATGGACGTCTCGTTTGGATTAAAACTAAGGCAGTACCTGCTTAACGAATGTTCTGGAAAATTGAGATGCCGAGCAAGAAATCGTCGGCATGGCTCCCGAGGCATGTTACTACTTATAAACTGGGAGGTGTAGAAATAGCTATAGTTGCGTTGCTATTAAATATTCAATTAATGAAGTCGATGGTTCTTTATGGATGGATTGTGACCGAAGTGATTTGATTAGTATAAATCGAACAACTAATTTCTATTTATGTTATTGGGACAAGCAGCACAAACTCATTGTTGAATTTCTTTAAGTAAATGACTTAAGAAACATTGCCTTTGATTTTTTTATTACCTAATGTTTTGGCTACTAAAGTGTAAAGTGACTTCCATCGATTACCGTTTATGGTGGATGTCGTTAACAAAATTTTCTGTTCCTTATTTTTCATATGGACAGTTTGCATATACAACTAAAATTTTGGTAGTTTCAGTGCAGGAATAAAGCGGGCTAAAGTTGTGTAAAATGTGTCAAAATGGGTTCACGTACCGATCTCACCTGGAAAATAAGAACCTTTGTGGCGGTTGAAGTAATAAAAAAAGATATACAATTGCAACTACAAACAGCAACGCTGCTCTAGTTTAGGTTTAGTGACATCTCAGTAGCTTTCACATCATTGAGTAATTCTGTTTTGATTGCTTCCGCGGTGACTTTTATGTCCGAATGTTCCATGGCCATTATCATCGGATCATAGCGTTCTGGCAAACCGTGCAGTATTAACGTTACCTACTCCCAACCAAAAATCCGAAATCGCCCAGTCAATGGCGGTCATCTTGTGTACCGTGTCCATAATTTTCCGTACATACTATTCGGTCGATTCGCAATCCATCAAGTGAATCAAATTAAATTGTCGATACAGAGCTATTCTCTGCCTCCGGTGTTTCCGCATCTCGAATTTGAACAAAAACTAATCGGTCGCAAAGTATTGTTAACTTTACTTCTGTTTTCCTCGCTTCTTTCTCCGCTTCAACTTCGTCGAAATAGATCTGTCGACTTTTCAATTTTTCAATATGAAAAATTTAGCTTGACGGCGATGACATTTTGACAACAATGAATTATGTACAAATTTAATGCAATATCTATTCAGAACCGGTGTCAAGTTGGCCGCCACTTTGGGATTTTTCAGAATATGTTTATTGCAATCGTTTGTTGGTCGTTTGTTGGTGTTTGTTAGTTACATTTTGACGTTTGTTGGTTGAACCGTTATTTAATTATTCAAATTTCAAAATTTGGGTGTAGAGCTAGCCACCCACTTTTTGAATTTTCAATTGTTTGTTGGTTGATCGTTATTGAATTATTCAAAATTCAAAAATTTAGCCGTATAGTTAGCCCCCCAAGTTGCAATATTTCATTTTTTTAGTTGTAATCGTTTGTTGGTCGTGTGTTGGTCGTTTGTTGGTCGTTTGTAGGTTTGTTGGTGTTTGTTGGGTATTCTTTACCGTTTGTTGGTTGATGGCATCTTCAGAATAAATTTTGTAAGTTTTGGGCGTGAAGTTAGCCCTCGACATTAAAATTTTTGAATTTTTTTATTTGCAATCGTTTCTTGGTCGTTTGTTGGTGTTTGGTGGATATCTACTTGCAGACTAGGAGGAGTCATAATCTATATGATTTCCCATTTTAATCCATATTGTTAGCGAGCTGATGGGCGTTGGGAGCTTTATGATGGCACAAATACAAATGTAAAAACTTGTTCATCGACCACCACTATTCGTCTCCACGCTGCAATTTGTACCAGAATCTGAATAAGACTTAAGTACTAAATTGTTACGTTACTCTTTCAAAGAATGATTATTCGGGGGTAAATAAACAAGAGCTTGTTTTTTGATCGGATACTTTTATTTTTACACGAAAGTTTTGGTACAACGGAAAAAACTAGAGATGAAAAGTGTGATAAAATCGCCCCAGCGATAATTATCTTATGCTTTCGATCGAGAATTTTTTCCAAGAGGCAACAAAAATTGAGTGTATTAAAAATAAAATTATCCTGATTTAAAACCAAGATCCAAGTGAATTTTAGAGAGATTAATAAACGAAGTAAATTTCACAACCACTCTAGGTACCTACTTTACGCATTCCTACACGCATTAATATCGCTGATAAAAAGCTACCTAGCGTTTAATCGCTGATAGAAAGCTACCTCACTTAAAAAATCATCTGATTGGTTAGAATTTGAAACCATCACCAATCTGATTCGTCGTATATTAATGGGGTGTATTAATCATTGTTAATGATTCAAAATGAGATTCTCAGGCTTTATCTATTGCGCTGGCCAGTGATAATGATCAAGAAAATGCGTGTTTGGGTCTATGTTTAAAGTAGTGTATACAAACTGTATTAGAAAATTCACGGATTGAATAAACAATAATTAAATAACGATCAACCAACAAACGTGAAAGTTTAGCTAACACACCAACAAACGATCAACAAACGATTGCAATAAGTATATTTTTAAAAATCAAAAAGTGGGGGGCCAATTATACGCCCACATTTTGAAATTTGAATAATTAAATAACCGTCAACCAACAAAGGTGAAAATGTAACTAACAAACACCAACAAACGACCAACAAACGATTGCAATAAAAATATTTTGAAAATTCCTTGACACCGGTCTGTTCAGAAAACTGTACTTGAAAATGACCATGCAGCCCATAGCAAAGTAATTAATTTCGTGTGATCTGAGGCTCAGGTCGAAAGCCATGGCACCATTTCACCAGTAAATTGTGTAAATTTCTAACGAATTGACTGTAGCGATTTAGTTGAAATTGTTCATAGTCGCCTTTATTTTATTTTAGTATGATATATAATAGCTATATATTGGATTGTGACGAATCGTCTCGATATAAAAGAAATGATTTTTATCGTCCTCTCTCTGTTCCCCCTACAGTGAATTATTAAAATCACTTATACATAGTACCTATCCAATCTCAAGAGTAGAGTGTCGAAATATAGGTACTCAAAAGTGAGAGTTTGAACGTATCTGCCATTAAAGCAAAAGATTGAAAGATCTTTAGGCGACAAAGTTAAAACTTCAAGTGTAAATATCTCAAAAGTTGTCAAAGAGGTTAACCATTAAATTGTATTCAGCATTTGTTCTCGAGTGGGTTGCGCTGACAACGTCTAAGTGTGTATTTTGATTAATTCTTTCGAGTTGGGATACACTTCATAAATTGAAGTGCTCATTTATTATCGCCACACAGAGTGCTGTATAGCATATATTCAGCATTCCCTAGCGTCTACAATTCTACTATAAATCTGCTACAGTATGTACACAGAAGCTGCCGAACTTATCTTCTCTCAACCGAAGCTTCATTATGAAACGTAATACGGCTTTTAGCAGCATATTTGAAGATTTTTTATGTTTTTATTTTGGGCGTTCAGGAGTTTGAAATTACCCAAGTAGGGGTGGAAAAGAATAACCATTGTACAGTAACACTGCATGTTGCAAAGAACGGGGGGTTGCTCAACGACGGAGGTTTATCTGGTAGGACCGTCTAGGGTCAGTCTGAATGTATAATACTGAGAGTTTGTTGAAAAAGGATGTGGAGAAATTTTAAAGCGATCATGAGACTTTGCCTTCTACTACGGATTTTGCGATTAGACTTTACATGAAGATCATCAGGAATCAGCACCTGGAAGCGTGTTGAGAAGACGCCGCATTTTTGCTAAGGGACTTTCAGGTTAGGACAGTCCAATTTTTCTCGGATCATCAGCTGTATTTAAATTTATTTTTAAAAAAAGGTAAAAATCACAGTATACCTACAGTCAACGTTCAGGAATAATTCTGCTAGTACATACCACAGAGCCACATCCCCACGACAGTTGACTAAATTGTGACCAGGCATATGCCAAAGTATCAAGTATCAATCTTATTTATCTTATTTATATTTATATATTTCTAGAGAATTATAAGAACCAGAAAGCTAAATACATGAAATATGCTTAGCAATAAAATGTCCTATTACCACCAAACCAGTATTACCAGTGGTACTATTTCCACTGGTAGCACTTGAGTTTCCGGATTCTTTTACTTTCATGGCTCTTGACTACATTCTAAATGAGGTTGGGCTTTCAGTATTTTATTGATAATGTACCACAAAAATAAATCACGCGTAAAATTCCAATTTATCTCTAATTAGTAGACCATTTTCGGTCACTACAATCCTGAACTTATTTACCTACTCCACCGAACAGGACTAATTTGTCTCCTTCCACTCTACCTACCTGTTCCTGTTGATCCACAACTGCGACATTTTTAGCATTATTTCAGGAAATATTTTTCTATTAAAACGACGACTCAGCCGTATGGTAAAAGGACAAAAAATCAAATAAAAAAGGATTGTTTCTATTGAATCAAATATTTATCAAAAGAATTTCTAAATTTTCTATTGTACCGAATTTGCACCTTTGGAAGAGAATCGTGGTAAAGCAATATTACAACTACAAGTTACAAGTGCGTAATGGAGTTGTGTAATACTTGCTTCAGCGTAACAGCCTAGTTACCTTTGAAATGATAGGAAATCCACTTCCTTTGATAATAATTTTATCTCGTATTAAATTGGACTTTTAAGAGAATATGAAACCGTAATGCTTGGTAAATGGAAATACATTGACAAAAAGGTGTAAATTAGTGTGAAATAATTACATGGAAACAGGGTGATGTAGACGTTGTAAATTTGTAAAAGTGACGTTTCTCAGTGACGAGATCCCATGTGGCGTTAATTTGTAATATAAAGGTAAACGATGGCTGACTATGATAGAATCTTTGGCAAAGAGGGTAAGTTGTAGATTTAGAAGAGTTTTGTGTATTATTATTCTTTTACCAGTAGCGTACTCACCTTTTTATATTTTCTTCACGTTTTAAGTTGAATATTCTTTTTTTTTTTCATATATAAATACTTGTACCCCGTTTCACCTCTATTCGAACATACTCAGAAGACTTATTAACAAGCTACCCATTGCGTTAATGGTTTTGGACTTTCTGTCCATCTGCCCGTTTGCGTACCATGATAACTCGCAAACGGTTTCGAATTTTCTAATTCTGATTTCATGACTATGGTCAACGAACTAATTTTTTTTGGACGAATCTTTTAAGGGCGAAAATTTTAGGAGGTCGAATGTTGCTAGAGCGAAATCATCTAGAGAATAGCCCCAGAGGACGAAGGTTACTCTTGAGTTGAGTACATGAGTTTTCTTAAGCGTAATTCTACGAGTCTTGGAGTAAAGAAAGCATCGTTTGGGCAGGGGTGAGTTTTCTTCGGCAGACATACTACTTTTGGGAGTGAACCCCCAGAATCAAAGGGTAGTTATCGTAGGGAAGAGTTTTCGGAGGCGCAGTCAACAGCGCAAATGCAAAATACTTCATTACCTTATTTAGTAATTACTTCGTGGTTCCAGATGGTGTTCCATTGAAAAAGACTAACGGAGAAAGCAGCTCCCCTTTCGTACTGTATAAAAAGCGATGGTTTATACTAGCAATGTTCGTTTTAACTTGTACGATGCTGAATATGCAATGGAACGAGTACTCAGTAATATCTGACATAATTTGAGCTATTATGATGTGTCGAACGTTGCTGTTAACTGGACTAGCATAATTTGTTTCATACTTTACATCCCTACCGCGATACCTGGTAGTGCACTCCTGCAAAAATATGTTAGTTTGTTGTGTAATTGAAATAATTATACCTACTGCTGATTGCAGGGGTTACGTGTTGGGACCTTAACCGCTACCGGTTTATCATGCGCAGCGGCTTGGATAAAGGTGTTTTCAGTGCATAAGGACAGATTCTGGGTTGTCCTATTGGGTCAAACTGTGCTTGCATTTTCATTTCTATGCATTTTGCAGTCACCGCCTGTAGTGGCAGCGGTATGGTTTGGTGCAGAAGAAATATCTACTGCCTGCAGTATTGGAGTGTTTGGCTCATTGGTAAGATATTTTCTTATTATATCATGTTACTTATATCTACTCTTGGAGTCCACGGTCAGTTGATTCCGTTAGCACTGAAATTGTTGAAATCACTGAAGACTTTGTTCATTGTTTTAGATTGGTGTGGCTGTTGGATACATCTTACCGTCAGTAATGGTAGTCAAGGATAATGACGAAGATGCAATTGCAAAAAACCTGTTCATTTTATCGCTAACGGTAGCTGCGTTAAACACGGCAATTTTCATTATTGAATTAATATGTAAGTAAGATATTAAGCTTCTTGGTGTCCTTATAGTAGAAATCAGAATGAAATTGAAAGGCTTTATTTTGTATTGCGCTTGAATATACGTACGTTTTGCTATGCCTAAAATAATCTTATTTATTGGTACAAACTGTTCTAAGTAGAGATTTTCCAGTTTTTGGCGATAAACCTCCATCACCACCATCTGGAAGCCAATCCCGTAGAATTGAAATTCCATTGGAATGGAAAACTTTAGCGGCATCGTACATGAACTTACTCAAGAATTCTACTTACCTAGGTCTAATGACGTTATTTGCCATAGATTATGGGGTGCAAAATTCCTATTTCGTCTGCCTCAACCAAATGCTTTTATTGTACTATCCGGTAAGCACAAAGTGGTTCCGAATTGGCCAATCAACAATTTTATCTGTAGGACGCTTCGGTTGAATCTGGACGTGTAGGAGCGCTTATCATTGTTTCTGGAATCATAAGTATAGCAGCGAACGGCGTCCTACTCGATAAGTTTCATCAATTCAAGTTGTATTTGTTACTTTCGCTGTAATCACCCTTATCGCTTGTTTAATTTCAGATCACATTTTCTAGTGCTACAGGTTCTAGGTGCGGTAGCAATGGTAGGGTTCACACATACGTTAGGACAACCAGTATACATAATATATCTATTATCAGTATTATTAGGGTGAGATTATTTGCCATTAACTGCATAAATATAGGCACCTTTCAGAATTTTATGGATGCCTACGGTTCCAACCTGCATTGAGGCGATGGTAGAATCAACTTATCCAGAATCTGAAGGATTAGTTATTGCAAATGCATACTTAGTTGGAAGTTTATCGTCGACAATTGGAATCTTTGCATTTTCAGCCCTAATAGAATATCTGTCCGCGTTATGGGCAAACTATGTAATGATTTTTTTGTACCTCTTCGGGCTGCTGGTTTTGATCTGTACGAATTTTCGGTATAATAGATACGAAATAAATTTTACTTGATAATACACTTTTCCTGCACTTTTAACTGGTGATGCTATTCCGAGGACAGATACTGTACTTATAAACGAGACAAGCAAGTGAAGCAGGAGTAGCTCAGCAATAAGCATGAATGTCAGTTGTATTCCACGGTTGATGGGAAAATCATCATTCAGGCCTTTTTTTCCTATTTATCTATTTGAGTGTCTTCAGTGCAGAAACGTAATGTCCGTTAGCATAGGGATGTTTTAACGGACAGTTTTCAGCTTTTAGATAGTTTTGGTCGTTTAGAAAGGCTATTTAAAAACATTAACCAAAGTCATGCTTTAGAAAGAGAAATATTTTGACGGATGCCACCTTATTCGCCGAAATTAGTTGTCAGCGAACTGACAAGACATTATTGTCAAATGGTAGGGATATGTCGGTTATTGGTGCTGTTGGAACGTTGATTGTTGCTTCATTCTTCTCGATTGGAGTATTTTGTGTCCTTATCGTCATGTATCCGCCATTCAGTATCAAATTAGTATCTAATAGTGGCATAGAAAAGAAGCAAGAGCCTCGATCGTTATGTGCGGTGTGCAATATGGTGCAACAAAGAAGACGAGAACTACTGCAATGTCATTGTTTATAGTCAGTATGGACGGACGAGGGCGTCAGAAGTTTAATGAATTGCAACTATAGCGTATAATTATAATTTTTTTGTGGCAATAAATAATTCAACAAATAAAACGTGGAGTTAATCGCACTAAAAAGTTTGGTGTTGGTCTTGCAAATCGAACGTGATTGTTTTAATTTTTGAACAAACATCGTAACTCTCGGTTTTTCTAACACAACCTCGAGATAACATCTAATACATTTTTCCCTTGTACAATAAATAACTATTGTTGACACTACCCATTTACTTGGAGCTTTGATTAATGTAATAATCGATCAAAAATTAGACAATTAGATTAGCCCGGCTATCCAAAGTCCAAAACAACTAGAGAATATATGCCGTACGTTGAGTAACTCAAATCATTAGGCCTTTAGGAAGAACTAATTCGACGCTATAAAAACCTCATGTAAAACCTGGGAAAAATTAGTACAAACGCAATAGTTATTTACATACCTAAAAGTCAGGAGAATGATATACTTATGACTGGCGATGAAATATTGAAGTGCGAGGCCCCTTTGGGATCGAGTACTTTAATTTCCGAGCCAGGTACCTAATGACATTTTACTGACGAGTTTTGTATTAAATTTTACCCGAAATCGTCTTTTAATACAAAATTTCAATTTTTATATATAAGTTATGAATGTTATGATTAATGTCAATCTGTCAGTGATGTCATTATAGACTTTAGCAATGTCACAGATGCGACCGGTAAAGTGACGGTGCGGGCGGTAAAGTGACAGGTGCGGCCAGTAAAGTGAAAAGCGGCAGGAAACGTAGCTGCTCTGCCCAGGGCTCTGCCTCTGTCATGGAAACTAAAATTTCCTGACAGAAAGTAGGCACGAAAATGGTTTCAGGACGATTTTGGGTAAAATCTTAAATGCATTCAGTGGATTAGAACTGTAAAATGGTATTTTTAAAAATATGCATAAGTGCATTTTATATAGGAAAACATGTATTAAGTATATGCTAGGCTATATTGTTGCCCACTTTTTTATTTATAATGTAAACAGTGAACCTCAGGGTGCCATGTTTCAATGAAAATGAGGGTAGGTACTTATGCTTATAACGACTAAACGAGTGGCTAGGGCATGTCGTAAAATATCCACAAATTTACGATCCATTTTAGCGTACAGAATAGAGCAAGTCGTTGTCGAACGATACTCGATAATGACGACAACGTATACAATCTACCCCAATTGTACCTTAGAAATGGGAGGGGAGCGAGCGATATAAAAAAATACCCACTTTAGGAATAATTACAGCTTTGAAAACCGCTACAAAACGTTCGCTTCTACAAAACGCATGTGGATTTAGAAGTAAGCAGTTTCCTTGCTGTGCTTCAAAGGACCCTGATCCTATCCATTTTAGCCAATCAAACTAAATTCAAAACAGCAGAAAAGTAACCATACACCATATATAAAGAAATTGTCGCTTACGCCTTTTTCTACGTTTATGTTATCCTTGAGAACAATGTTATAGATTTTTAATAGAGGCAAGAGTAGAGGTGAAATCATTATTCGGACTATACCAATAGCATTTGGATGAATCAGTCAGAAAATACCTATCCCGTTTTCCTCACAAATATTCAGTAGTAACCCCAGCGGAATGTGTAGGCGTGTTGCGAAGCATATAATTATAGTGGTGGAGTAATTTAATGGGTGTAATTATCTAACGGCGAATTATTATTCAACATGTTTCTTCAAATGTGCATCACATCTCACATGAAGGCCAGATGCGGTTTTACGCCGTATATTCTGTACAAAAAGTACGCACATATACTTTGGAGAAATCAAAAAACCTTATTTAACGATGTAATGTATAAATATTATAAAATAACAATTAACAATTATAAATTAATACTGAACAAATCATTTGGCAAACGGAAATGTCACCGAGGTACACTGCCTTTTTCTACGGCTCGCCTTCGCAAGTCATATTTCAACATACACATGAGCACAAACTCAACCATAAATATGGCCAACATGGTTAAGTTTGCGGAAAAGTCTCCACTAACGTTCAAAATATATGAGTAAAGATATGTAAACACTATTCCGAACACTTGAGTTGAGGTAGACAGTACTCCTGCCGTTATTGCTTCAGGCACTGGATATGCTAGTTCGGCCCCCAATTCTATTCCAGTCACTTGGATGCCTAACGTTGCAAATCTAAAGAACAAATGAAACTGTTTATGACGAAGTATGTGTTTGTTGTACAACTTACCCAAACATCGCACAGACTAAGTAGACGAACACTATCCCCTTGTGTATGGCGAGTGTGTAGCAGAACATCGATGCTACACCAAGAGCTGACAAAATCAGCGTGGTCTGCCTGAACCTGCCGTATTTGTCAAGAATTACACCGCAGATCATTGTTCCAACGGCACCTGATAGAACCATCGTTAGTCCTATCCAACCTGCGTCCTCGTGGGCATTCTGAAACAATGTCAGGTTTAGATTAAGCTGGAACGATCATGAGAGTAGCTTACCGGGTAGTGTTTCAAAACTACTTGGTTTAATAAGGTGGTGACAGCAACGAATAACCCAATCGCAATTCCGTACGCGATTATTAGGGTTACATTTGTCGTACTGTACAAGAGCGTCTTTACCGATTTGAAAAAAGGCACATCCTTCTCCATTTGCGACTGGGCAATGGATGGAGGCGAACATGGCGCTGCTTGGAAAACTGAAAGCACAACGTCACAAATACAAGAAGAGACCCATGAATTTTTACTTACAGACTAGCAACATGGTGAACACTAAGGTAGTTACGATTGCGAACGAAAAGTTCATTAGGTAAAAGGTTTCTGACACATTCGTTCCGTATTGTAGGAACAGCGGAGGTGCCAACAGTCCAATGGCGAGCCCAAACTAAAAAAAATCGATACGGTTGTAGACATTTGACATTTAAAAGGAACACTAATAGTACCTCCATTCCAGCAATTCCGACACTGTTCGCAGATGCCACTTCCTTGGAAGGGAACCATACCGCCGCCAATTTGGGTGGAATGGGAATGATTAGTACTTGTGCGAGTGCTATGACTGTTTGTCCTAATAGTACTACGTAATAGCGTTCCGGTGAGACTGCTCCCACCTTGATCCATGATCCTATGCAAGTCAGGCCCATTCCGATGAGTGCCGTTACTCGTAGACCCTACGGAAAGTAATATCGTTAGATGGCTAGAATAATCACGAATCCAAAATGGTTGTATTGATTTAATCTTTGTTTTAAATGATACGTACAAGATAAGTTTTAAATGATACGTACAAGAACCTTGGGTTTACAAGGGACGAGTAAGAGGCTTAAGTCAGGTTGAGGGCTCACTTTATTATAAGAGGGACAGTCAACTGAGTACCAGGACTTGCATATATGTCGACAGACGCATCGAGTCTTATTTAATGGCTGATTTCTGTTTTAGGGATCTTGTGGCTCTAAGACTTCAGCTGAAAGATGGAAAGGGACGGAGCAGGCAATTAGTAGTCTGCTCAGCGTATCTACCATATGACTCGGAAGAAGCTCCACCTCCCAGGGAGCTAGCTGAGTTGATAGAGCACTGTCGGAGTGAAAGGCTCCCTCTTGTGGTTGGCTGTGATGCAAATGCACATCACGTTGTGTGGGGCAGCACGGACACGAACTCGAGGGGCGAACACGTTCTGGAGTACTTGCAGACAACTGATTTGAATGTTTTAAATCAGGGAGCAACCCCCACCTTCGTTACGTCGCGGAGGCAGGAGGTCATTGATCTAACGTTGGGCTCTTTCTCTATAGCTCACATGATCTCAAACTGGAGAGTGTCTGATGAACCGTCTCTTTCGGATCACAGGCACATTCTTTTCCAACTAAACCTGTCATTCAATGGTGGGCCCTGTAGGTTTCGGAATCCCCGATCCACCAACTGGGACTGCTATGTTGAAAAACTGACAGAACGGTTGGATAAACCACCTTTGCTCTGCCGGAAAGCAGGGCAGGTGGAAGAGGCGATGATAAGCGACGCTATAACGGCGTCGTTTGAAGACAGCTGCAAGCTGCGAACTGTTCGGGGAATGAAGAGAACACCTTGGTGGAACTCGGACCTTGAAAAAGTTCGTAAAGAGGTTCGAAGGCTCTTTAACAGGGCCATGCGTACTAAGTTACCTGCGGACTGGGAGGATCACAAACTCGCACAGCGCAGGTATAAAGACCACATTCGACGGTCTAAACGGGGATCGTGGAGGACTTTCTGTGGCAACATGGAAGGGCTTCCCGAAGTTCAAAAACTTCGTAAGATCCTTTTGAAAGATCCAGGGCAAAAAGTGGGGACGCTGAGGCTTCCATGCGGCAGATTTACATCTAACGCGGGTGAGGCCCTCACATGTCTCCTGGAAACACACTTTCCAGGCTCTGGAGACTATGTAACTTCGGAACCGCCAGAAGGTGCTACCCGGGTCGGTGCAAGGCCGATCGACTGGAGAGTAGCTGCCGGGGTTGTTACCGAGGGATCCCTGAGATGGGCTATCAATACGTTTAGCCCATTTAAGAGCGCAGGACCTGATGGGATATTTCCGGCTCTTTTGCAAAAGGGCCTGGAACCATTACTTCTGCACTTGTTGCACCTCTTTAGGGCCTCTGTGGCTTTGGGGTACATCCCCATAAGCTGGAGAAGGGTCAGAGTTGTGTATTTACCTAAGCCGGGTCGTACTAAGTACGACACAGCAAAGGATTATAGGCCCATCAGTCTATCATCGTTTCTTTTAAAAGCGGTAGAAAAACTGGTGGATGCATACATAAGAAACGGGGCGCTGGTCCTTAGACCACTACACCCGTTTCAACACGCTTACAGAGCTGGCATGTCCACGGAGACGGCTCTTCACAGTCTCGTGTGTAGACTGGAGAGGGGAATGTCTGCTGGAGGGGTAGCTCTGGGAGCCTTTTTGGACATCGAAGGTGCGTTTAACACCACGTTCGATTCCATTAGTGAGGCTGCTGAAAGCTTTGGCATTGACGGGTCAATCGTAAGATGGATCCGGGCCATGCTTGGAGGCAGGGTCATCATAACCTCGATCGGAACTACGGAGATGAGCTCATCGGTCACTAGAGGATGTCCGCAGGGTGGAGTACTGTCTCCACTACTGTGGTGCCTGGTGATAGACGGGCTCCTTCGTACACTAAACGAGGATGGAGCGTATACACAGGGATACGCAGACGACCTCGCAATTGTCATTGTGGGGAAGTTTCCGAGCACCGTAAAAGAGCTCATGCAGAGGACTCTTGGACAGGTGGATAGATGGTGCAGTAGCCACGGTCTCTCTGTCAACCCGGAAAAGACCGAAATTGTTCCATTTACGAGGAGACGGAATGTGGACCTTGATGGTCTCATCCTTCGAGGACGCCAATTGTGTCTGACCAGGTCAGTTAAATATTTGGGGGTCACTATAGACTCCCGTCTGTCCTGGAAAGGGCACATTGAGCGAATTAGCAAGAAGGCCACTGCATGTCTATGGGCATGCAGGAGAGCTTTCGGCTGCACATGGGGATTAAATCCTCGACTAGTATATTGGCTTTACACTTCGGTGATAAGGCCGATAATATTGTACGGCGCACTTGTATGGTGGCCTGCAACGCGCAGGGTAACATACAAGAAGCAGCTGAGTAAGGTACAGCGACTCGCTTGTTTGGGAATCACTGGAGCCATGAAAACCACGCCAACGTTGGCTGTGGAGGCTCTTCTGGGACTTGAACCTCTACACTTATCGGTAGAGGCCGAGGCCCGGAGGGCTTCCATAAGACTAAATGATTGGGGTGAGTGGAAGGATAGAGGCAGTCTCGGACACGGGCGGATCTGGGAGGAAACTCTTAGGTCCGACCCCTTCCTCGCAAGAAGGGACGTGATTCGAGCTACCCTACTTGAACCGAAGAGGTATAAAGTCATTCTCCCGAACAGGGAGCAGTGGCTGAACCCAGATCGTCCGTTCCTCAAACCTGAGGGGCTCGTGTGGTTTACCGATGGGTCCCTAACGGAAAAGGGAACGGGCATGGGTATACACGGTGACCGGCCGAGAGTAGGCATCAGCCTCTCCCTTGGCCAGCACAGTACTGTGTTTCAGGCAGAGGTGCTAGCCATCACGACCTGTGCGCAAGAAAACCTCCGTAGAGGTTATCGTAACCAGCATATATACATATGTAGTGATAGTCAGGCGGCGTTAAAGGCTCTGTCAGCTGACAGGGTCCGCTCGAATACGATGCTTGACTGTAGGCGAACCCTAGATAGATTAGGTGAGTCTAATAGGGTAAGCTTGATATGGGTGCCGGGGCACTCTGGAATAGGGGGCAACGAAAGGGCGGACGAGTTGGCTCGCGAAGGCAGTAGTGGGGTCCTTGTCGGGCCTGAGCCCACCCTTGGAATTGCTCCCTCAGTTGTCAGGGTCAGGATTAAGAACTGGGCGACCAGTCAATTCCAGGCTCAATGGCAACAGGCAGCTGGACTCAGACAGTCCAAGACCTTTTTAACAGGGCCTCTTGGCAAATCTGAGTCTTCTAAGCTTCTAAACCTAAACAGAAGTCAGATTAGGAAGATCGTCGGTGTCTTCACGGGACACTGGATGATCAACTATCACCTGCACAATATTGGGCTTGTGGAAGACCCTGCGTGCAGGTTTTGTGGTGAGGTAGAGGAAACTACCGAGCATGTAGTCTGTTACTGTGACTCTGATCAGGGACAGACATAAACTGGTGACAGTTACTTGGAACCGAGGGAGGTGAGGAAACTAAGGCTAAATAGGGTCTTATCCTTCATTGAACGGACAGTTACTACCGAGCATGGAACGCGAGGGAGGGTGAGGAAACTAAGGCTAAATAGGGTCTTATCCTTCATTGAAGGGAACGGGCTCTAAGCTTTGGTTGTTTAGAGAGGGGGTTAGCACAATGGGCCGTTGATGAGCCTAAGTGCTGCCTGTAAAGGCTCCCCTGATAGAATAGAATAGAATAGAAATGATACGTAAACCGCACATTTTGCTAATAGAAATTTTTTATAGGTAGGTGTTTTTTTACAAAAACCATGAGTCAGTATTGAATGACCTGTTTTTTTATGCAGATTTTTTATGCTTTTTTATACTTTTTTTTAAAATAATACGCGTTATCATTTAATTACAAGGTGGACTATTTCACACGGCTTCTAGCATTGTAAACTGGTTTGCTTATGATATTGTGAGTATTATGTTACATATGTTTAGTAATCTATATCATAGGACATTATAAATCACGATATTTTTATGAAACTTGTCTAAAATATGGAAATAGCTGGTACAAGTAGAGTGCTTTGACTGGTCCGTAAACAATTGGCAACTACATGCCATATTTAGATTCTACCCCAAATATGTTACATTGCTTTCCCCCGAATTATATGTAAAGATATGCCTTCTTTATATTCCCTCCTCCAAAATAAAAACCACAAATGAGAAGCAATAATATACATGGTAATTGGCAAAACATTATTGATGGAGTCAATTTTTTGCAAGTCAAAACAGAATGAAATATTAGAATCTCTCACAGAGAAGCCCTCAAATAAACATCGCTCATCAATGTCATGCAAGGACATCACCATCTACCTAAGGCGTATGCGAAAATTTAAAAAAATTTTCAACCGCAATGATGTAAACAAATGTTGGGAACCTTGGTTGGGCCATTCATCCCCAAATTTTAGTCTCTGCCCCCGAAGTAGTGATCACATTTTCATCTTCAATCATACGTCCGCTAGATGAAATAGCCACCACTCTTTCGCCCATAGATTCATACTTTAAAATCCGTTTAATTAGTGTAAAGTAAATTTTAATTACTGATATTCATCGGGTTCATTACATAACATAACCGCTTTTTTAGGTAAACAACTATAAGAACGAGTTCAATGTCAACTCCACATCTTAATTCTATAAAGTTACACCGCAAGCTCTTTGGTCACTTATTACAAAATTTTCCATTGAAGCAGAAATAGGTGAATAAGTTCCACCCCATTTGAGCCATTTTGTTAACTGAACTATATATATATATATATATATCGAAAATTAACGAAGAAGATGAGAAAATCTTCCGAAATAGCGGTACTTTAGAGAAACCGCGCTCAAGAAATCTTTTATTATCATCAATGAGCAACGGGGCTACTATTTTTATCACCCGCACGTTAATGAGGGTCGGTCTGTCTGTCGGTCCGTCTGTACTCTCATTTCCGGCTAAACGGCTGAATCACGTGGAACCAAATTTGGTACACACATTCTTAAAACGTAAAAAGTCAGAATCGTGCGTGCGCATATGTGCGGGTGGTATCAATTTTTTTTTATTTTTGGAAGGAAAACGCCATCGACTGCGAACCTGATTGATTTAAGCGCTAATGAAACATATTTGGGATTTTCTCTATATTGGTTATCGGTTGCGACTTTAATAATAGTCATTATCAGGTTATTGACTGAATTTTACACAATAAACTTCGATTTGAAAAAGGTAAGTTTGAATCTTGTGAAATAACGAAATTGAAAGAAGTAAGCTCATCACAAGATGGCTTTCCAAAAACAAGTGTGGCGAGAATATAATTAAAAAGCAATGTGGTGTGATTTCTACTTCTGCATATTTGTCAAAAAAAGTAAGAAAACTATAAGTAATTGACCATACAAACTGTTTAAGTTGTCGAAAACTGAACAATAGCGGATTTTGATAACATGGTTCATGTCCCAAAACAAGTGTAGGTATCTATGTCCCAAAAACAGCATTTGCAAAATTTTAAGAATTAGAAGCCTAATTTTCCAACTTTCCACATGAAGCTATAGTCTCTTCTCTGGATTGTCGAATTATTCAAGTAGTAGTTGCGCATTATTTTGGATTTATCTACCTAAACGATTCAAAAACACAAAAGCAACCATGGGAAGTAGTGATCTAGTGAATCGCTAGAATCCGTGGAAAATGTGCTATTTGATCAAAATACAACCGATTATGTTTATAAAAAGACAAAACTATAACAGACACGACTACTGCACTATACTGTTAAACTTAATCATCAATAACATTTTCTTTTAGATTTAGTCACTTATCTATCTGCACTAGCTATCAAAATGCCCATGCTTGCAGACATCCGGAAGGAGCTGTTCTTCTAGATCGCATTAGTTTGTTGCTGCACATTCGGATATTATTATCTAAGTGATAACATATGGCATTTGGATGATGCTTCGCCATTCTTTCTTACCATTCCACCACTATAATTAGTGCTTTTAAAATTCAATTAGATTGGTACAAGTGCGATTCATTTTTGGTTGAGTTGCAAGGTGAATTGAGGCGATGGAATTTAGAAACCCCATCTTTGGGCGACTCAATCCAGAGCAATAAAAGCAAAAGCACTACTATCTTTACATCAAATTGTCAAACAAGCTCTCTATAAGGCAATTCATTCCTTTGATTATTTAACGACTTAAATTTTTACTGAACTGGAAGCATCAGCGGTAGGCTCTTCTGGTAAAACGTAAAAGCAAATGTAATGAAATTGTAAAAAATAAAACTTTGTTTATAGCCGTCCTTATGGCAGCTTCACAGTTTACTTGTACAGTTAAAAATAATTAAAATATTGAACGTTTGTCCTGCTTGATATAAATTTACTGGTCCCTCGTGGAAGACGCAGTTGAACAAAACCACAAATTAATCGTTTAAAATAGCCGGAGGTATAGGAAAAATTGTACCAAATTAACGATATAAATATACGAAAGGATTAATTATAACACACATGCAGTTACCCAAAATGAGTTAAACATTAACGTAATTAAGCCAAACTGATACAAATAAAACAATTATTCCGTTTATTTCCTTAGAACGTTTGCCAGAAGCAATCAGGTAAGAAACCTTTCTTTTACTGCATGAGCCTGTTAAATGCGCACGTAAATTTCACTTTTCCTTATGTTCCGTTTTCACAGACGAGGTACTTCGTACTACTTTACAAAACTCACCCTATTATTGTAATTAGTTCAGTAATTATTATATAACTGATTATTTGACGGTTTTGAAACAAAAAACTGGTCATATGCAAAAATGTTTACTAATTATCTGCTTAGTGGAAATTTAGGCTCGGTCCTAAGAAACTGACTCACGTGTTTTTGTTTATCAATGTCTATTTAGAAGAGAAACAAAAATAGAACGCAACCTGCCCAAGCAAACTTTTAGAATGTACACTAAATGCAAATATGCAGGTCATATATTCGCGGTCAACCTTTCGTATATTAAAAGAGCGCGTTGCTTAATTTTAATCGGCGAGCGGCAATGAAATGGTAAATTGTATTATACATTTACGTAAGATCAGCCAATGTCAGAAGTGATAACTTACCCCCTTTTCCAAGAGATAGGTTGCTGGGAATCCAAAAAGTATGTACATTAATAGATAGACGGTGGCCGTCCAATTGACTTCTGTCTGTGTCACCCCGTAATATTCCCCAACAACGTCCGCAATAATGGCAAACTGCATAATATGCATTAGACTGCATATGCTAACCATGAAGAAGATCAGGAGCATAATCCATCGCGCTCTGTACACCTGCAGTTTTGGCGAAAATTGCCCGATGTCTTTAGGGATATCTGAAATAAATATGTCCTTAGTGAATTTATCAAAATTAGTAGTAAATAATATTTACCTATTTGTAAAGGCACCTGCTGGTAGCAAGACATTTTAGATGAAAGTGAACTCATGGCGCTATGATTCAATACTAACGCGGGTATAGTGATAGCGAACTTTTTGAAACTAGTTCCCAATCATTAAAAATAATACCATGTTTTATAACCGACGAGAAGATTTACGAAGTTATAATACAGTTTGGCATTGAACACGATCAAAGGATGGTATGTATTTAGAAAAGTACAAAGACCCGTCTCCTTAATGAGTTCATCACGTTATACTCATCAGACCCCTTCTGCGGCCGGATTATATAGACACAAGGTATATCTGGGAATACCCTACGTTACGGCAGCACCTACGGAGTCGGAGTTAACGAACGAACGTAAAACAGGTAAACCCAGTCGCGTCCGTTGAAGAAGATTTCCTTTCTATCTTTTTGCTTCACGATACAGCGCGTCTCGCGTCTGAATATTTTCGGTGATTTTTTTATTGTTAAAATTCCTAATTCATTTGCTAGAAGGTTGCGATGACTAAGTAATGACAGGTCGGTTAACAACTTTTTGGTCTTCACCACCAGGAATTGCCCAAACCACGTTCGTGAGAGCAATTTAGGGTGGAATATCCTCTATGGTCTACGTAAAAGATAATATTGAAGCATTATTAAAAGCCAACTCATTATTATAAAGTACAATGTGCCACGGGTCCGTAAAGTTGTAGTGTAGTAAGAAATTATTTTTGTGCCACTTTATGCTGTATGCTGTAGTGTCAATGTTGTAATTTTCAAAACTTTTATGCTAATTATGGCTGACAATTTGAAATTTTGTACGTCGATCGGTATACCTATAGTTCAATATTTTCGAACGCCATTAATTAATAGGTTCTTTGAACCAGAGAATAAAGTTGTTCGCATTTATGAGTTATGAACATGTATGGAAATTAATATATAACTTCTTTTTATTAAATCCGGATTTAGATACTTACTGCCAGTGTAGCGGGACGTGACGATAAATCTGGTGAGGCACACTATATGACTATGAGTTTACAGAATACTCCCCAAAGGTGGCGGTGGTGGATATGGAGGGGGGGGGGGAGATTACATTGTGGGTCACCTCAACCAAGACAAATTAACAAACCCCCAAGGATTATACTTCATAAAAAAAGGTTTGGGTACGTATATCAGCTGTGTGTAAGTCAATTCTTGTTAGTGTTGTGTAAAGATCCAAATGATGACACTGTTTTGAACTGATGATGGCCTCTAAGATCCCGGGGGTCACCCTCTGTGATTTTTTGTGGGAATACATCAAAGATAAAGATATACCACCATTACCAGAAATTATACAATACATGACATTTAGCAACGGTGTACCTACCATCGAAACTATCGATCGAGACGACACCCTTATAGGAAGAGCTTGATTACAGATTTGACAATAAATAGCTATTTATTTATCAAGCGTGTGATAAAGACCTTTATCCACGGGACACACGAGTCAAATACAAAATTTTATCCAGAATCTGATGTTTTCAGAAAGTAAGGTTTTCGTGGAGTAATAAAAGTATCCTCCACTAGTGGATAATATGTAATTTTGCCACCTAGAATTGAACGTAAACTTCCTTTATATTTCCTTTATTTTATTATTTTTGCAAGCTGTAAGAGAATAGAATGATTTTATAAAAAGAAAACTTTCCCAAGTTGATATTAGTAGGTAATACAAAGTCATTCTTTGTTAGATAGCAAGTGTACACTGTGTTCAAGCTTCAAGATAAGGATGCCTACTATGGGGATACGAAGATACGACGATGGTCAAATTAGAGAAAAGTTAAAGTACACATTTTCTTGTATAAAAATTTTCTGTTTTATATTTTTTGGTATTCAATATCTTCATATGCAAGAAATAAATATTAATTTGGATTATTGGTGCTTTTCACTTATCCGTGTTTGGTCCAGTCCCGTGGAGCACGGAAAATCGGGGTTCTACTGCAATATCAGCAAAAAATTAAAAGCCAAATCGGCAAATTTCGGCATATGTGGCATTTTCTAGCATATCTTCGGAGTAATCGGAATTTTCTTGTTTTCTATAAGCAGGATAATAACTGTTTAATTGCGCAACTTTTCCCTAATTTGACTATCGTCGTATCATCTATGGTTTCGGAGATCCCCATGAGATACATCATTATCTGGGACATAGTGTATATAAAAAATGGTGGTAGAGGAATCCAATTCGAAATCAAAATTTATTGCATTGTGATATTTGATACAACAATGAAGAAATCGTTAACATTTGTAATTATTCCTACGTTCAGATCATGCGCCTTAATATAAATCCTCACTCTAATATTCACTGGAACTTTAAATAATAATATCTTCGGTCTATAGGTACATTGTGAGACCAGTTTTTAGCTAAGCGGCCAATATCTTGAAATAATCATTGCCCCAAGCTCTAAAATTCACAATAGAATACTGTGTTCAGTCATTTGTGACAGACGCAGACTCTTCACAAGCATTCGTTTTCTGACTTTTTCAAAACTTTCAGCGGTCACTCAAAAATTCCTTAAACTTTTAAGATTCATAAAGAGGAGCACTTATTTATCTTGAACGGTTTAATAGATATGATTTTTGAATGGATCCTTGCATCTCCAAATTTGTATAGAAAAATTGACATATGGCTGTAAAGCAAAGTTCAAGGTTCTGTTTCAACTGCAACTTTAAAAACTTCTAACGAACGCGTGTCATGAATCTCTTATGTTGTACACATCGATTGTCACCTGCCTCCACTAGCTTTTTTCGGTATGTGCTCTACAGTTTTCCCTTTTTAAAAAGGTATATAATTTTCCAAATTGTTTAATGTCAATATCTTTATTAATTCTAGTAATTGTCCGAAGCATAATCGAGTAGTATACCCTACCAATTAAGACGAAGGACTATGCTTTGTTGATTGAAAATCCAGAAAACGCACTTCATAAAGAGTTGATCATGTGTATAGATAATAGTGCACTCGCCAATTGTTGAAAATAAGAATGAATAACGGTTTCATTAATAATTCCCGAGTCATTGTTAACGCCCTGCCAATTTTCAAAATATGTATAAAATTTTTCAAAGCCGTGGTATTAATTTTGCTTACCAAACTAACGGCCTTTTGTCAGAAATTATATGTCTGTTGATAAGTAAGACCCATAGCAAGTTCCCCTGTAACCGATAAACTATAGAACAAACTGATGGGGATGAACAATTATGAATAATTAGCCAAACATACGAATGTTAGTCCAAATAACCCCATTCAAAAACAAATCGCAAGCATTAAAAAAAACAATTGTGAGCACAAATGAACAATACAATACAATACTAAAACCATACGCGACTTCTTTGACGATCCATTAACGAGTGGAAAACTTCCGATTTATGGTCAAATTCAGTTCTTAATATTGATGCATTTATTTTACCACTAAGGTGGTAAGGGAAGGATTTGAGTTATTAATTCCACCCTAATTTCTTCGCTAATTCTAATTTATTCGAGAGAACTTTCCTCCGACAAATCGTTCTCGAGATATTCGCTCTTAAAGTTTTGACCAGTGGATATATTTCTTTCAGACGTCTCAATTACCCTTTTTGAGTACCCTCCAACAATTTCTTTTTGAGATATAAAGAATTATATCCGACCACGATACGGGGTCGAGGAGGGCTATGGTTGGTAGAGACCTTCCATTAGAGTACTATGAAGGATAAAACCAGTTTCACTTGAGCGGTAATTGATTGAAAACAGTTCAGAGAGCTTTCTGGAGTTTTTTCAAAGGTGTCGAAGTCCACGTCTTCAAGCGCGTTCTCGGGTTTTATAGGCACGTCCAACCATAGAAATTGCCTATAAAGGACTAGCACTAGAAGGATCTGAATTCCTATGTGCTCTTAAGTGGCGTTAATATAATAAACAAAGGACAACAGAAACAGCTATTGATCTTTTGGTCCTTTTCAGAGGGTTTTTAAACAGTTTAAAATACACTTTTCTTTTCCAAAACTGTTCTATAGCTTTTTCTTTCACTTGCGCCTTGAAAAACTCTACAGCGCTACTCTAGAGAATTTTAACTCCTTTCGCAAGCACCTTTAGCCGTTTTTAAGGTCACTGTTAGAATTCACAAGACTGTTAAAGAGTCCTGTAAAGAGAGGTTGGCCCGCCTTAAAATCATCTTCAGGCTTGGCCCTTTTCAGAGCCCTTTAGATTTGCCTAGTAAGATCAACTCTGGGTAGGTTCTGTTTAACGGTTCCTTTCCCGAAATTTTTATGTATATTGAAGCTATCTAGGCAGTTTCTAGGAAACTTTGCCCCCACGCTGGAGAATTTATTATACATAACTGTTGATGAACACCTGTCTTAGTCTTAGAATAGAAAAAAAAATGAAAATTACGATTTCCTACTTTTATGCCGGAGCAAATATACAGGGTGTAACAATTAAGTATGTCAAAAAAATTAGGTGGCATAGGAAACCATAGCAAACATTTTAAACTGTAGGTCCAAAATGTTTCACTTGGAATCGACGCCGCCAAAGGTCCCATCACGTGCGTTTCTCCTCTAATTTTCTTCTAGGAAAGCATAACACATAGAAAGACGGAATCACAGGATTTATCTAGCTTTTCTATGATTTGATATCTGGGTGTCTTTGAACATAAAAATGACGAAAACAAACCTGGTTTTTGAAAACTAAAATTATTTTTTTTAAATTTCATTACTGCAAAGACAAATATCGTTACAGTTCTTTATTATCTCGATGAATTGGTAGAGACCGGTTATATTAAATTGCCTTTGATCTACATCCTGATTCTTAAGTAGGTACATAAGTGTACCCACCATCTCTCTTTTGTAATGCGATTGTGATTTTCGAAATTTCCTTTCCTATGTTTAGAGGGCTATGTTTGAAAATATTTGTAAAACACCAGAAAGATCACGTCCAAAAAACAATGGAAATATTTGTATTTGGGTGTATGTTTGAACTTCACTATTTCATTGTACCGGAATAGGTATGTAATCTTCAGTTATCTAATGTAAGACTCTTCTCCGCTTATAGAAGAGTATGTCATTTCTAAGACACCCATTTTGTGCTATATTTAATTCACTGTAAATCTTTGTAATAAGAGGAAAGTGAATTCAAAGTTTGTCTTGCAGTTCCTATAATCCCTGTAACAGTGTTCTATTTCCCTCTGTGTCTAAATAGTTTATTTATAAACTACAGTAACAGTACACTTCAACTGTGGTGGATTAAATTGGAACAATGGATCTTACCTTAAATTGATAAAGTTTAATGAAATTTGAAAGTTAAAGACCTTGTTGACTCTCAAAAATTGCAACGCCAGGCACTACTCCAAATTCAAATTGGTTTTGTGATCGCAAGCCGTTCATTACAACCTCAAACTTATCTGACAATGCTTGGGGGAATCCTGGAGTCCGTATGTCTGGTTTCTTTGAAAACGCTAGATAATCAGGCATGCAGGTCAAGTGTATCGATATGTTTAATATTTATGAATCGTCTTTTTTTAAAATGTCTTCCGTTAAACCGGCATTCAAGTCCTTCTGGGGTGTGAACTAACTGAGATTTTCAATTTTGGCCACGAATTTCAAACAGTATTCGGAAATAAAATTCGAAATTTGTAGCCGCCCAACTATTTTTCAAATGAAATTTAGGTTGGAACGAAACGTTCGAATCGAGCCGCGTTCGATAAGTAAGAATTGAATTTATAAATTAAACCTTGTTTCAATGTTGTACCAGAATCTGTACTGGATTTCACCTGAATCTTTACTTAAAAATAAAGTTAGATATTCTCACCTCAAGTTTGGGTTGGAATTTTTCAACTTAATTTGAAAATTCGATTTTTGGCTCGACGTTCCAACTATTTAAATCATTTCGGAAATAATGCTCAGCGAAGTGTTCGACTTTTGAACGCTAATTTTCGACATATGTAGCACATTTAATTAGTGAATGACACCTCATTTTTGTTGGAAAGGTATGTGAACGCTTGTTTTATTTCGAGACACTCTCAAAATGAATTGCATTAATTGTATTTGTATGCTTCCCATGAAAAGGCCTTGGCCTAATCTGGTGATCGACACAGTGTAATTGCAATTTTTTAGATATTCGTCAAGGCCTTTTTACCTCTTACGTCTCCATGCAGTTGAAGTGGTAAGTTTTTTCTTCTAGTCATAAGTTTTACAACCGATAAACATTAATCGGCAACAATCATACCGTATAATTGTAATTGTAATAATATAGCAGCTTATAATTATATAATGCTAATTTAGAATCTGCGTCTTTTAGACGCTCCAACAGAGTTTGCGCACTGTTCTACGTATTTATTCTTTTGGTTTTATTTCTATTTTTAGCTTAGCCAACTTTCTTGATTGGCATAAAGGTCCTCATTCAGTTGATCCATCCAATTAATTCAGCAAGGATAACATTACTTTTATCTAGGCAGGTGAAACTATGGTTACCAAGTGTGAAACTAGTAACAATCACTGATGTTTTGGTTGCGTGAATAAATATGGAAGAGAAAAAGAATTGTTTCTCGTTGTGTTTTCTACTTATGGATGGCAGTATAGAAAATTCGTGGAATTATGCTACTTTCTGGAGCTGACATTGGTCGTCATACACGAACCTATACAAATCAATAAATTATTTATTTTTTGCTGTATTAGTGCATTGTGACTACATTTCATAGTGTACAACCGTAAATGCCCAAGATCCCCCAAAAGCAGTGCTTTAGGTCATAGTTAAATAAACTATTTTGGACATTTTATTGTACTAAAAGTCATATATCCAATTTGGGAAAAATCCATTGGCACCAGTGAGTTCCCAGTCGATCACGCATCCTTCCCAAAGACAAGTGACATAATTCGATAAACAATAAAATATGTAAACTACTACCTAAATTTACATTAAAATTTAATTTCACTACTTAATATTAGTAACACCTGTAATTTGCACTTGTTGAAGGTCCCTCATGATTCATTAAGCTCGTCCATTTCCACACGTGAACCAAATTCGCGACATCTATTAATTCCACATAATTATTTATTATTAAACGTGTTTGTTACTATTACCATTCAATGGTAAAAACATTTATGCATTACTATTACTATTTTCACAGTAGAACGGTTATTTACAGAATCTTATCACTAGCATCATGACTAACAGACAATTTCCTACCGTTCTATGACTATAGAATATAAATATAGTGAGGAATAACAAGTTCGCCTAAACAATGCTTTGGATCTTCTTTTGCTTCAAAAAAATCATCACGACTAACATCATTAGTTTATGTAACAATAGTCGATAATAATAAAAATTGTACTTTAAGCTAAATTATTGTAGAATTAAAAAATTAATAATATGCCATCATACTGAATACCTTGACTACGGAAATATTTCTAAAATTTATATATGTACGAAGTTCACGAACAAAGGCCTTGACATTCCTTATCTTTTTTATAAAACAATCAAACAATGAATATTGATTAGGCCTATGGATTTTATTACGAATCGTAATTGTGTCGGAAAATCTGTGCGGAAAGATCATCGCAGAGAGCGGGTTTTTTCGATTGCGCGCCTCCGTAAGTTATATTTTAATGTACACATAAGGATGAATTCAACTACATAAATGAAAAACATTGTCAGGTTGGCGAAAAAGTCACCGTAAGCTTTGAAAATTTGGGAATATAAATACGTCAGCGCTATTCCAAACGCTTGAGTCGACATCATGAGTATTCCGGCAGTTATCCCTTGTGGAATTGGATAAGTAAGTTCCGCTCCTAATTCCAATCCCGTTACCTGCATTCCCAACGTCGAGAATCTGTAAAAGTGTATCGATGTATCGTGAAATTCTACTACGAAATTAATTTACCCGAAAATGGCCGTGATGAAGTATGCTAATAGTATTCCTTTATGAATCGCGAAGGTGTAGCATAGCATTGAGCATGCACCCAAAATTGACAGAAGTAGAGCGGCTTGCCTGAAAAAATTTGTATACGATTGAAGCACTATCATTAGCCTTACTGAAATTTTCCATATCTGTCTAAAATAACGCCACAAGATAACGTCCCAACCATGCCTGAGAGCACCATGACCAGCCCGATGAAACCGGCGTCCTCACGACCATCCTGAAAACACAAATTAGACTGTGTTGAACTTAAACACTTACACTCACATGATAGTGCTTCAGAATTATTTGGTTTAGCAACGTGCTGATGGTAAGCAGAAGCCCGATGACAATACCAAAGGAGATTATTAGAAATATATTTGTTCGGTTGGACACAATTATCTTTGCCATTTCCAAGAAACCCTTATCCTTTTCGATCTTTGATTGAGCGATTGATGGGGGTGATGGGGGCGCTCCCTTAAAAACTGAAACAAACAGTAAAGCTCGCTTCACATGTAGTCGTTCTCACATATTAGTAGTACAACAAGAATCGCTGTATCCACAACTGCCAATGATATATTCATACGGTACAGTGAGCCGGCAATGTCATCCTCGCCCTGTGCTCCGCTTTGAAAAAAAAAGGGAGGTACCAGGAACCCCACGGCCAGTCCCATCTAAAAACTGCAATCAGTGCCTACGCGTTTAGCCAAATTGTCATTTTACTTGTATGCCTATTACGGAAATACTGCAAGCTGAGGATACTTCCTTGGCCGGAAACCAAACGGCTGCCAGTTTTGGCGGCACTGGCATTACTACAACCTTTGAAATTGATATAATCACCTGACCTAGCATTAGCACCCAGTATCGATCTGGGGAGACTGCGCCTACTTTTATCCAGGTCCCCAATGTGGTAAAGCCCATCCCCATTAGAGTGGTGACACGTAGACCCTTAAACATGATATAAGTTTAGTACAGCATTATAGAATGTCACATATGGTCTTCCAAAGAGATTAACCAATTCTAACAATCTTGTATTATACATTTTGTGACACCACTGAATCTACAGGGTGCGACATTACTGCATGTAAAAAAAATTGGGCGATAGAAGGAATCAAGACAAGCCCTTTCTCCAAATAAACCGAGGGTTCAAAGCGCTTCGTTTGGGAGCCACCCCCAAAGAAGTGGTGAAATTTGGATTTCCTCTTTAATTTTTTTCTCAGCAACCATAAGAGTTAAAAAGACAGGCAGCACGTCTTCGAATAGGTTTTCGGATATGCCCTATCCAATTTTCAAAATTCCTACCACGAAAGGGCGCAAAAATTCTGATTTCGGCGAAATTTGGTATCTGGGGGTTTTTAACATGAAAATGACGAATCTGGAATTCGTTTTTGATAATTCGAAAAAAAAGTCCCACTGCAATTCTTGGCCGGACAACGAAAATGGAGAGAATTCCACGAACGATTATTTTTTTTAATTTGCGACATTTTCAATTAAGTACATGCGAAATTATATCATTCACTAGTAGGTGGGGGACACTTTGTAACTCGAAGGCCCAATCTTCAAATGAGTATAACTTTTGTTTGAAAAGTTATTTAAAAAAACTGTTCGACAATTTTGTTCCTTAACTCATCAAGTATGTACACAACAAATTTTGTTGTCCGGCAAAGAAAAGACGTGGACTCTCGGTTTATTTGGAAAAAGTGATTGTCTTGATCCCCTCTATCACTCTTTTTCTTTTTCATGCGGTCATGTAACACCCTGTATAAGAAGAATAAGTTGTAGCGACATTGCACTTTATCTCAAAAATGGTTAAAGATAATATAGATCTATCTTCAATAGATTTATCTTAGATCTTAACGTATATTCTGAAAATCGAATAAAACATAGGATGTGGATAACTTTTGGGACACCCTGTATAAATAAGAACCAAGTTGTAATAGTCCCATTAATATACAGCAGCGAATGTCTTTTTGTCGAAAGAAAATACATACAATAGCAGCATATTTAGTGGATGGCAACAATGTATCCCTCGTTTTTTTTAAAAAAAAAAACGCTGACCTAATCAACCACGATAAAAAAAATAGGACGCGTGTATGTTGGTGACATATCGCTTATAGGCTTTTCCAAACGGAAAAAAATACTAGAAATCCTTAACGGTTTCCCCGTTTAAAAGCTTCTATCCATTTAAAAATGTGCTCGGTCAATTATTGCATTGAACCATTGAATAAAAAATTTTTAGTCAATGATTCAACTCAACATTTCAAATAAGTGCTCCTATTGAATAGGTACTTGACGATGATTGCAGATTATTTTTATATTTCGTTCTTATTACAAGTTAAGTATAATTTTGTTTAGTTGCGCAACAGTTAACAATAAATGGTTAATTCCAATTACGCGAACTGTAACCTACTATAATGGATTGACGACAGACTTTCGATACTTCATTCGTACAGTTGGGTAGAACAAGACTGGGGGAAACACCGCATTATTCATGTGCGTAGAGAATGTCCTCCTTACTGTAATTTCTTTCTGTATTGGAGTATAGAATGTTTACTATAATTACATCTAAGTATACCCTACTACCAGGCCCATTCTAAAATAATAGCTATGCCTTACTGTACAGGGTGCAATAATTGAGTATGTCAAAAAAGTTTGTCGGTAGACGGAACCCTTGTCAAAAGATGAACCTAAATACTCCATGCAAACCGATATTAAAAAGAGTATTGACAAGCTGTTATACCTCAAAATTCTGATGTGCATGATTATATCACAAGGCACACATACAGTTTAAGGCTACCTAGTTACAGATTATGATTGAATAAGTAATTATTCAATGAGATTATCCAAGATTCAAAATTGTATCCTACCGAAGGAATTCCAAGTCGATAGCATGACAATGTCAACATTTAAATCAATGATAAAGAAGCTGCCTATTGAGCACAGTTTTTACTCTGTTAATGATTTTTTTTACTGCTTCTTAATGTAAACGATAGCGCAGTTTCAGTAATTAAATTGGTTTCCCCGGAATATATTATTGATCTCTGGAGATTGGATTTATAAATTGGAAATTTCGAAGTGATTAATTTGGACGGGATTCACATGTTGTCCCAGTGAGATTATCATATTATGGGTTCTTCGCTTTTTATCTAAGCACCGCATTTTTCGTTTATTTAGAGTGTAGGTTTCGGCTGTAACTTGTTGTACCGTACTTTCCAGTGCCTTATTATGGGAAATAAAATGTTAAACAACTTTCATATAGAAAAATTTTGTATACATTCGATATTTGCCGAGATATATACTAGGTATACTCAATACATAATGGGCACTCTGTATAGTTAATTGGCCGTTCAGTTTTGTTTCTATTGACAAGCAACAAAAATCAAGGAATCTTGCAGTCACTTTTCAGATTGCAGGAGAGGTTTGCATTTAAGAATTCTCCTAAAATACGTAAAATTGTGGAAAGGTTTGAGCTAATCGATCGCACAGAAAAGAGCAAAGAGTTATTTTATTTTGTACAGTTTTAGTTCAGAATTTCAAAACTTAAACGAAGACAATTCAATTCATTAAGTCTTTTAGTTGAAGATTCATCAATATACTGGTCGGTATTGGTTCGTTTTTTTTGTTTTTATTGGCAATTTCGAATCAATTATATTGTAAATGACCCTGAAATTTTTACATTTATAGTATCTAGGTATCAAAACAGAAGGCGTGTGATGTTATGTTTGTAAATTTTGTTCACGCGTGGCTTTCCTAATTTCATAAAAAAACAAGTGGTTGAAAACAAACGCCTTCGTGCTGTACAGATTGGGATATTGCCAAAGAGTATATAACGTATATATATATACTCTTTGGTATTGTATACCAATGCGTAAACAAAGAGAGTAATTACACATGTTCGTTGCGATAAAAAATGCAAGAAGTGTTAAAACAAAAGAAAATCATGTAAGCGGAATTAGAAAATTATCCCTTATATTTGTTTAAGTATTCAATTCCCTTATGATCTTGAAGAATTATTCAAGAATTGCAGTACCATATGCGGATAATGAAAAGTCTTGATGTATACAAGGTGAGGAAAAACAGCGCTAGCTTTTTATAGTTTTATTCCTAGAAGAGTTAGTACTAAAATAGGTAGTCACTGCAGTGAGAAACTTCATCATCTCCGAACAAGATTTAAATTAAAATCAGCACTGAAATTAGATTTTTTGTAATTTTGGCAATGTATATCGATGCCCAATAACGTTTTGCATTTTTTGTTTTGTTTTTGGAGTTTTGCCGAAACTTTCAAACTTATTTCCATGTCGATTAACTCCTATATACAATCAAATCACAGATACAATTTAATGTACTTGCTCTTTTTACGCGCTCTGTTTTGAAATAGCCTTCTTGTACGCCTTACAGTTTCCTTTTACAAAAATTGGATCCAATCATCATGTCTCTGATAATTCCATATGATATGAAGTACTTACTTTGTTTTTTTTCATGTTAAAAGCATCATTTTATACTCGTATTAGACTACGAAACAGAAAAGCTCACGAAGCAACAAAACCGTGAAGATATACGCGTGCAATGAAAATGAAAGACGATTGCCCAGAATAACATAAATAAAGATCTATTTTTGTGAAAAAAAGTCCCGTTCCGTACCCATTGAAACGGTCAATGATTAGTAGCAAATCGCCCAACCTTGCACTTGAAACCTTTTGTTACGTATCGGTACATCATTCATTCGTAACAGTTTTCGATGAAATAGGCAATTGTGGTGATTTAGGATTTACGCGAACATGTTTGGGAAGTCCTCGGTTATAGGTATATGCTTTGCATTCCAAAAAAGTTATTGACAGCATTTTCTATTTTTATAACGCCAGACAAAATACGTCAAAATATGCTAATGGTTGTGTAATTTTAGGTGAATGTGTGTCACTATCATTTTGGGATACTTGTTCGACACACAGAGGTGTGACCAACTGCAGTTACCTACGTCAAACGAAAGACGCAACATTTGATGTAACTGCCCATGAGATAACTAAAGCAGTGGAACTACATTCTTGAATATGGAAATTTATGTTGCCGTCAGTAGACTACCATTACATTAATTGATACTGATCCTGTAGGTTAAAAACGACAAAGAATGACAATTACAATTATCTTCAACAATCTGGCGTAATGCCAAAGTGCCGCAGTGTCCTCGTGGGTTTTCCTGTTCATTTCATAACATATAATTGGTTCGGTTTCGCAGTACCACCGCATTTTATCAGGATAATTTTCTACTCACCCATCTTTCTAGTATGAAAGTTGAAGGAAAACCAAGCACTAAGTACATTAATAAATAAATCGTCGAGCTCCAATTTACTGCCATGTATGTAACTCCGTAGTACTTAACAATAACATCTGCAATAATGGCGTATTGCATAATGTTCATTATACAGCTCACAGATACAGCGAAGAACATAAACAACATAAACCATCGTTTTTTATAGACCTTGCACTTTTCCTCTTCTAATTCAAAATGGGCATCGGCGTCTCCATTTAGGGGCAGATCTGCAATATGCAACATTTGCTATGCTCCCATAGACTAAGCACAGGTGAGGTACTTGCCAGTTTGAACAGTAGATACTTGCTGATAATGCATCATTTTAACTAAACGGATTCTTTAAACTTATTCTGTGAAACGCCTGATTAGTTGTCATTTAGGTTTTAAACCAGTTCCATATTCGACTTATCTCAGATGTGGAATGTCTTTATTACTGGCTTGGTGGCAATGAGAATGATAAAAATTTAAATACTTGCTTCGGTCTTAGCGAGATTTACTTTTTACTGGAAGTTGCTGCAACTTTGTAATTTTTGTGGAAAGTTCATTATTAGAAAGATATTTATGCGTTTATAGCAAGAAATAAGTAAAATTTATTTTAAGAAATCGCCTTCTATAATGGGTCAAGTAATTTTAGGTAGATTTCTATCTATCAACCTATTGTAGGTAATGGTATACCCTGCAGTATATTTATAGGTTTATAGGTTTATATACAATGTGTCCGAGGTAGAGCACACCATAGGAAAACGGCAAAGTATTTTTTGGCGAAGGATCCACGAGTTCAACGTAGGTACTACTTCAATCTCTTTCTAGCATCAGGCAAGCGCAATAACGTACGTCCAACACTAGGTATAACTTTAAGTACATACTAAATGCCTCGTGGATCCTTTGCGAAAAAATACATTAATTCTGTTTCCCTATGGTGTGATCTCCCTGGGACCACAGATATAATATGTAAATATCTGTGCTGGGATACACGGTATATCACTTCCAAGAAACACTCTAACTTTCGTAATTATAAAGCGATTTCGGCCAAACTTTAAGCGTTAGTGTAACTCATAAATATCTCAATCTGCTAATTCCGCCATATTGGAACAATTCATCTCCTTCCCCAACAAAATTGGTATACATAAATAACGTGGTTGTAGTTTTGAATTTCATCATAAAAAAGTTTCCGGTGACCAGGAGGACTAGGAAAAGGAAATCATATGACACTTGGATAACTAGTAGATCTACTAGATCCGTACTACTAATTTATGGCACTTTAATACAAATGAGACGAAGTGGTGTTCAACTTTGAATGCAAGAAAATGTTCCTTTCGTTTAAAGCCCCAATGTCTCCGTTTCTATGTCGAGGATTTCATGTTTGGGGGGATGTAAGGATAAATGTATCTAGTATTGATTCCTAGGAGTTTGACGCTTCATAGTACAAAACGGAACGAGTTAAGCTGTTTATCCTAATAAGTTAATAACAGGGTGTATGAAAGCGTAATTCTTGTATATTAACGTTTTCACCGCAAGAACATCATTTTAGGATGTGCCAAAGAAGAACAGGGAACAAAAACATCATTTTCGGGTGTGTAAGAGAAGAATATAGAACAAGAATATCATTTTTTCTTTTATTTTTTTTGCTGTAACGAAAACATTTTCTGGTGACAAATTGTTTTGCGATTTTTTCCTTTGAATTATACGGAAGAAATAAAAGAGTCAAGATGCAGGAACATTCTACCAACCAAATGTTACTTATTATGTTAAGTACAAGTTTTTATTTTGTCGATTTGTAATACGGTGAGCTTTCTTCATCTTCTCACACGTTCGTCAATGAATTAATTGTTCTAAATTGTATCTGGCGCTACATGGTCTGGCTTTACTGTTGAATTAAAATCTGGAAATAGGTCGTATCAAGCTACGTATGCAATGTTGCAATTTGAGCCCAACATAGGCAAAAATAAGCTGCTTTTGCAGATTCAGAAACTCCGTAGGCTGCCCTGAAAGCCGAGCGAACCAATAAAAGTTAATAACATATCTTCCCGTTAGATAGAAGTAGAGAAGATTCGACCGTTCGTCAAGCTGAAATCATATTAGAGCAGAGAGATGAGAAAAAAACAGTTTTAAGTAGTCTCAAGGGTAGCTTGTTGTCCAATTTAGCTTGTTGGTTTTTTTGGAAAATCGTCATTATTTGCCCCAGTGGAAAAATGTGGTAACAAACTCCAAGTGACATTTTGGGGGCGTTATAAAAAAGTTTAGTTCCGCAATACTCAGCGTATATTGGGCGCGGAAGTTGTAATCATAAGCAAATATTTGGGCAGTTAAATACACTAGGAAAAGGAGTTGAATTTAATTCAGGAACAACAAGAAAACTGTTCAAGAACATCCATAACAACTAAGTTATAATAACAATCCATTTAAATTGAGTGTGTATGGCAGCGCACGGTTTGGAACGAAATTTGTACTGACCAACAAAAGAGTTATCATCAGGAAAAGCCTGTATTTCCCAATCAATCTTCAAAATAAAGTCCGATTCAAAGAGTCATCGCTTAGAGGTGGTGTCAAGCCGTCGGGTTTCTAAGTATGCAGTCTTTTGAAAACATCTGATATCTACCCCAGGTCGATGAGTTAGAAAACTTAGCCGTAAGAATTCCAGATCTTCCATGTCGAAGAAAACTTTGTAAATAAAAAGGTTAGTCGTATTTCTGTATTTTTGTCAAATTCACTCTATAACTTTAAGATCTGTTGTAAAAGGTAAACGTTGTCCTGTTATATCACTACGAATAAAATTTTACATGATATATTTTAAAGGAGTCGACAAAATGTAAAACATTATCTTTTCAATGTGTGTTATTATCAAAAGAACCTCTTGAACTCCTTCTCTTTCGGAATCAAGGAAGTTCCCTAAATTTCAGTATGAAGGAAACCGAGTTCAGGGATCTATTACTTAATTTGTCAAAGTAAAAAATCAAAATCAAGGTGTATTTGCAATATTCCAGTAAATTAGTCGTCTTTCAATTTCAAATCATTACCTTAATTAGAAGTAAGGAAAGATCCCAAATTTGTGACAGGAAGATTTATTAGTAAAAGCAAATTAATGTAAAGAATTTTCTGATTTTATCAATATACAGTGATTTGCCACTTTAGAGTTATTATTTTGTTGGACAGTAAATTTTGAACTAAAGGAGATCTCTTTCATTTACCAGGAGAGTAAGAGGTAAAATATAATAAGGCACCGTAAGGGATAGTCGGAGGCATTTTAATCATTTTTTATAATACAGTTTTCTGGTTTCTTCCGTTAAAAAAAACAAAACAAATTGTAAACGAATTATTTTCAACGGAAAGTGCCGATGCATTGCTTATTTGTTAATTTTTCGCCGAAAGTTCGTCAAAAACCGATCAAGAATTGTTTCAAATGTTTTTAAAATATTTTTTAAGAGCTATTATCAAAGTTTTCAGTTGGCGCATAACTTATTTTCTAAAAAAAAAAAAAACTTTTAGAATTGGTACCGCAGGCGGCAGACGGTCGATTTTAGCACACTCGGATAGGCCAAACTGGAACTCCATCGGTTAAAATTTTAATCACTCTCGTTTAGTGGATTTCGAACTAGCTCCCGTACTAGAACAATGCATTCCAAAAGATACAGTTATTATCTTTTAACGAGAGATAGGTAATGTAGTGGCCATACACATACCAGTATTCACTTCAAATATTTTTGGGACAAATAATATTCTACTTATTTTATTATTTAGTTAATTGCTTGACTTTTTATTTATTTATTCGCCGAAAAAGGATTTTAGGTTAGGGTCGCAGCAGGACAGATCCTTCAAAGACTGGTAAAATGGGGTAACATTGACATATCTTGGAAATTAATTTTTTTGATCATTTGGTAAGCAACTAAAGCCCTACTTTTTCGGCAGAATTTAAGGTACTCCTATACTCTTTATGATACACATGGTATAAAATGAAAATATTTATTGATTACAAAATTATGATTTTTATTTGTTTAGGTGTAAACTGTCAATGTTACCCTACCTTAGGAAAACATTGACCCCTATGAAAGTAACGTATATGTCAATGTTTGGCATAAATAGTGTAAATTGACACTGGCCTTCGATCTATAATGGAACATTAACATAGAAAAATAAATCAGTATTTGAAATTTGAAAATATCTCAAAGTTGCCCCTATGTCAATGTTACCCCATTTTACCTTATTTATTTTATAACTAAGCATACAAACATTTGTTAAAGATAAATCGTGCGGAATCCGAGGATCATTACTCACTTAGTGAATTTAATTACACTACTATAATCTTATTATGACCTTTTTTTGTGCGAAGAAATTGCGTATTGAGTAATACACGTTTTTCATTGCCAATTTCATGGCCACCAGGGCAGCACGCAAAAATGTAAATCAATCGCAAGACTGGTAGGTGAAGTCTACACCTACCTATGTATGCTTGACTTACCTATAATGTGTGTTCAAATTTTCTCGATTATTATCTAACATCAATACATTAAAAAATTAATCCATTTTCTATCGAAAAATGTATAAATAATTATCATGCGTACATGTTGGCGGTTATTCCGGGTAGAGGATAACCGATTAAGCATATAGGAAAATAACCCAGAGTAATTTCCCCTGAGGAAAACACACCTCCTCTACTGCCATAAAATATTTTAGTATTTTTCAAGAAATTGACGTCTTCATTTAGTTAACCCTTAAAGAACTATGTCGTCAATTTGAGGGGCGAATTGTTAATGCAGCTGAGGTTCGCTTATAGCATTGAGCGAAATTAAATTAAATTCATTGATCTTGTCGGTTATTATATTAGCAGAAATAATATAATATAATACTGTGATTACTCGCAAAGCAGATGAAGAAAAACTAATTATATAGCAAAAGTATTATCGGATGCATAATTAAGGAAACGTTATTATTCATGAAAACGAAAAAAAAAGATGCTCTGAACGTAATCATCTGACAATCAGTATTACTGTGTATATGTTAATTAGTTATGTAATACGACTTGTCTTGCATGCAAAGGTTAGGATTCACCTGTAAATCAATTAACCTTCCAGTCATAAGACAATAATGTAGTAACTACTAGCTGCATCATTTGGTAGATCTGGTTTCAATTAACCTCACTCACTTTGTCGTACGAAAGAAGCAGCTTTCCTTCACATTTTCCAAGATGGGTGAAATTATGATACCTATACTGGGTAAAAGTAAGGGATTCACGTTCATGATTCTGACAGCGTCTGTGATTTGAATAACGCGAATAAACTTCTAAAATATCACTTGATTCCTTCATATTTAGACATATGTGTAGTCGTATATGCTCATCTGAAAGCCTTTGAACAGGCTTAAGTTTCCTCTTACCCTACTCTAATTATCAAAACTTTAAGTAGGCCCGACCTGTTATTTTGTTCACTCAAGATATGAGTGAAGGTAATAAACTTTCTTTCCGTTCTTTCTTCAATTAACCAGGGCGTGAATTATTTCTGATAGTGATGAAAATCAGAGAAAAGAATCAAATGATATATCCCATGACCCGTGGTGCCGTTTAAATTTTGCAAGGGGGGAGCAGGTACACTTAGGGGGATGAAATAAAAGGCTAATTAGGGGGGCCACATTTGAGTGTAAAGACGATTTATGTGCTATTGTTGTTTATAATATAAACTGTCCCTAATAAATCGCTTGTGTTATTGATTTTATACTTATTAATAACCGGCTCATAAAACTGTGCATTTAAAATAGAGATTTCGTGACTTGTGGTACTCGTATTGCAGTAGGACAGGGATATTTACACTGATTTATTATACCACTCACCTTCCCCTGGACTTAGCCCTCCTAGATGATAGTGTTAGGACCCTAGATTTTACGGCAAGGTAAATTAAAAACCGAATTGACATTTTGGAAATGTACTCTTTTCATTTACAATCCACACAAACATTTTACAATAAATGCGCCATGGAAGAGATGAGCGTGTTTATCAAAATCCTGACTAACAGCAATAGTCCCACTGGAGATTTGGTACAACACCTTTCCTACATCATTAAAGTGGCAGAGCAACTACTAAAGTCTAAGACACATAGGATTGAAGTCATTAATATGTGGTCAATAGTATCAAAGGCTTTTCAGATATCAATAAGTATAAGGACGGAATTTATTCAATGCTTTCATCCTGTGCTGCAAGACTTACATCAACTATTTGTATTAAAACCATATTGCAACTATGCCTAGGTATGCCTAAAACCGGACTGATGCATATAGGTAACAGGCGAAACTAGTTTTTGAAAGAGGTGTGAGGTTTTCCAAATAGTGGAGAAGTATGACTCCGTGCACAGGTGTTAATTATATGACACAAGAAGGGTAGGATGTGGGGACTGCAAAGTTCAATCATGCGACGAACATCTATGCCATTACTACACATTGACATGCTTTTCATTTCCAGAATAATGCTATAATAAGCTCGTACTCCTCTATCCCCTGAAATTTAAGCTTCAAAGTCACGCTTCATGTTGTTATTGTAAAACTGTAGGGTATTAAAATCGAAAGGTTGTTTTATCTCAGTCACAGCTTTAACGAAATCCTCATTTATCATGTAAGAACCTTTAAAGTGAGCTGGCAAAGTACCTACCTTCGAAGAGTAGGTATACAAGTCTTTTTGCACGACGTACAGACATGTTTCGGGTTTAGTGTTGGCGTGAAAGCATAATTTAGAATTTTTTGTTTGGTCTAACTGAAAGACTCCTTGCACATGAAACTTGAACTTCCGTAAGCGGGTCCAAGGTTTAAGTTTGCTGCAACCTCTTTCCTTTCTTTAATTCTAGAATTTTTAGCTTCCTAACATGAAAAGGAAAAGGTCAATTGCGTCAGGATCGCAGAGCGAAAGTGCGTTAAGGTCGTGTGTTAACAAAAAGCTGCCCAAAACAATAGAAACAAAGCAATTTTCAATTATGTACCAATAAAAAATTTACCGTAATTAATAATGGTTTAAGATATAACATCCGAATTACATTGAATTCTGTAAAAGGTTAACAACAATTTTCATGTGTATATTTAAATGATGTAAGGCCCTAAAAACTTTTTTTTGTTAAATATTTGCTTTGAACTAGAAAGCTGCTCTGACAAGAAATCGGCAACTAGTTTTAGCATTGATGCTCTTAATAACCTTAGCATCTGCATGAAGAAGTTTTCGTTTTGTTTTGGGGATTTTCTTGAGGGTGTATTGGTTGCTTTTTAGCCTATAGTGGCGTGTTATCTAGCAGAATTCTTTTTAGCGCATTTCCACAAAAATAAAAAAGTGCGCTATTGTGGTCACTTTGCCCGTCCGTCGGTCCGTCCAAAAAAAGTTATTGTAAAAAAACCAAAAAAACATTTTTTACATGTTCCATAATTTTACACTTTTGCCGTTTATTCACGATTATAATTTTGTATTGCTATCTGTCGTCCGTCTTTTGGTCTGTCCGTCTGTTCCTTTGTCCGTCTGTCCATCTACCTGTCCGTGTGACCGATAACTTTGTTTAGAAATGTCCGATCGCTCTTTGACATCTCCATTAGTTATGAACTGAATTCAATAAGGGCATATCTTTAGCCATATAATACGCAATGCCAAAAGTCGAGTCGAATCGATTCAAAATTCACAGTGTCTTTTTTATTTATAAAAGCATTTAAATGAAATTTGATACATAGGCACTTGGAATAAAAGAAAACCAAACACCAGTTTCAAAATTTGGTTTTGCGCACGCACAGTTTCAACTTTTGCATCTTACAAATGGGAAATGAATGCAAGTGGAAATTCGATTTTTGTAAATCGTTTACGATTACTTTTTTAACTTGTTATTTTGTAAATTGTATCGAAACTTTCCTTTCTTTCCCTTTACCTTTGTTTGTGTTCCTCCTTGATCTATCTTTCTCACGTCTTTCTGTGTCAGATCCTAGGTCAGATCTTTAGTTTTCTTTGTAGCGACCTCTAACTTTTCTTCTGTTTCTTTTGCGCTTTTTTTGCATTTCCGCTTAGTGTTCGTTACCTACTTTTTGATACTTCCGCAAATGTTTGTCCTTGTTTTGTCTTCCGGAGGTTATTCAATTTTTTTTCTTGGGGGCACAATTGAGGGTCGGAAGAGTATTACACTTCCATCCCTTACAAATTTGTTTATTTTGTGAGCCGCCCACGATTTGAGGATTTAACCGCCGGGCATCAATTAAACACGGCGCTTCAAATTGATTTTTTCTATTTCGGTGTCGCAATGATGATTTTGTACAACTGTTTTCGGCCGAAAACAGTTGTACAAAGACAGTGAGTATAGTCGTTTTTTTTTGGTAACTCATCTGCATCTCTTAAGTTGGCAGTTACTAGTTAGTACAAGTAGGTATAATACTTCCATGTTTGAACTCCAAATTTTTAGTCTTACTACGCTGCCAACCTAAAACTTAACGGCATAAAAAGTGTTCCCAACATAAAACATGTTAGTTCTAATGTTCCCTATAGTTTCTGATAATGATTTTTTTAATTAAATTAAAGCACCGAAATAGAAAAAATAGTATGAAAAACGCGTGTTACAATGCTTTATTGTAATACTTCTATCTTGCGGACACTCGTGGCCACGCTTCGCGTCGCCACTCGTGCCACAAGATAGTCGTATTACAATAGGTCGCATTGTAACACTTGTCTTTCAATATACTATTAATCCATTCACACCCGAATAATCTTTGTGTGCGCGATCCAATTTTACTACCTGTATAAGTATCCCATTATATTTGTTGTACTTTTGAGGGTAGTATATTTTACAGTAAAACTCTGATCTTATACCAATTGCGTTTATCTTAGGATACCTTGTATGTATATTAGGTACTAACATCACCTATAATCTGTGTTTGAGTTATTTACTTCTTCTCCACCAGCATCCCCCGTAGATACAACAAAAATAATGTCACACAATTATTTATTCTTAGTTATTATCTACCTGTAATTGTAAAATCTTGCAACCCGCTTAATTTATTTATGTTTCCCTATTTGCAACATCCGTATCATTTGCTCCACAATCCTTATCCCTTTTCTTTTCACTACTCTTCATTAAAAAGGCCATACACACCATTCCTAAATTATGACTAAACTAATTTGTTTGCGCTATTTCAGGTACAATGCCAATTTAAAGTCAATACCTTCGTTGTATTTTGCGTTTGCTTTTTTCTCTTTTTCAGTCTTAGCTGCCTCGACCACTGGAGGGATATTTTCTATTTTTTGCGCAGAAAAATTAAACTAAGCTACTGGTCAATTTATGATTTACAATCAAATTCGTTCCTTATGCGCCATTTCTACCGTTCGCCTCCGTAAATTGTACTTAATGGAGCACAATAAAAGAAACTCAATGACGAACAGTGCTAGCATAGTTAAGTTAGCATAGTAACCTCCGTGGGTCTCCAAAAGGTACGAGTACAGGTACGTAAATGCGATTCCAGACACTTGAGTCGACGTTATTAGTATACCCGCGATTATTCCTTGATGAATTGGATATCCCAGTTCACATCCTAGCTCTAGACCACCCACTTGCATACCCAACGTGGAGAAGCTACAAACACGCAGTCATTTCGATAATACCCTTATCTGATTGTACCCAAAAATGGCGGACATGAAGTAAACAAATTCTATTCCTCTTGTGATCGCAAAGATGAAGCAGATCATTGCTGCAATTCCTAGACCGGAAAGTGCAAGTATGGTCTGTCTAAAAGTAAGTACCTAATTAAGCAACCCATAGGAAAAATCGTAGATATTACTTAAATTTTCCGTAAACGTCCAATGCTACACCGCATATTATTGTGCCGAGCATACCACCAAGTATCATAACTAACCCAATCCAACCGACATCTTCTTGTGCATCCTACAACACGTATTACCTATAAGGATTGTAGCTGGCGCTGACTTACGGGATAGTAGCTTAAGATGAGCGGGTTCAGCAAAGTGCTAACTGATAGCATTAGTCCGACTACAATTCCATACGCAATCACCAACAAGATATTTGAACGGTTGTACATAAAGGTTTTAGCCGATTCCAGGAAAGGGACAGAATTTTCAAACTTAAGCTGTCCTATTGAAGGCGGCGATTTGGGTCGACCTTTAAAAACTAAAACAGAATACCCGCTAATTGTACCTACCTTCGGTACATGAACTCCATACCTACATATTATGAGCAAAATGAAGACAACGGTGTTTACAATTGACAGCGCCATGGAGATTTGGTACAATACTTTTCCTACATCATCATCGCCTGATGAGGAACATTGGAAAAATAAAGGCGGCACTATAAACCCAGCGGCAAGGCCCATCTGTAATGCTGCCTCATTCATAAGAGCAAATCAATTTTGTATTCCTATACCTCTATCCCAATAACTCCAATACTGCAGGCCGTACTTACTTGATGTGACGGAAACCAAACGGCCGCCAGTTCTGGTGGGATTGGCATGATCAATGCTTGGGCGATTGCAATTACTGTTTGTCCAAGTAGTGCGATCCAATAGCTTTCCGGAGATATCGCGCCTACCTTTATCCAAGATCCAATGACTGTCGCACCCATACCAAGTAATACAGTTGCACGCAAGCCCTAAAATCATCAAAATGATCAGTATGGAATGGAAAACTTGGTAGAACAATTCTTTTAAACTGAGATAAGAAACTTCAGGTGGATGGAAGGCTATTCGTTCACCGATTGAACGATTGTTTAGGAAGTGACTCTTGCCTTTCTTCCTTCATGTGGATTACGCCAAAGTACGGCACTGCAGTAAACTAAGATAGGTTACTCACAGTAAGATCGGTACTTACCCATTTTTCTAATATCCACGTTGCGGGAAATCCAAAAATCACGTACGCTAATAAGTAGACGGTGAAACTCCAGTTGACTTCAGTGTATGATATGCTGTAATATTTTGTAGCTATATCGGCAATGATAGTGTAGTGCATAATATGCATCACGCTGGTAACACACACTACGACCAAGAGGAATAGAACAAACCATCTCTCTTTATAGACACGAAATTTTGGTCGAAACTCGATTTCATTATCACAATTCTTCTCGAAAAATAATTCTGGCAAACGAAACCTAGTCACAATTAATCACAATATGCAGAAATTACCTTTGGTTGCATCTGGAGCTTGGAGCATCTTGCTGAGACCGTTAACATATACACGTCTATCGTAATCCATCGTTGAATTTTAAATGCAGCGATTTCGGTTCTGTTAAATACCAATCAAATTTGTATCCTTCAAACGTAGTCAGGTGGAATCAATTTTCAACATTCACTGCTGGCAATTAACTGCAAATGCAAGACTTGATGTTGGAGGTAACACTTTTTATGATGACCATCGTGGAAAATATAGGTATGTAAATTCTGATTTATGACACGTACTTACTCACATATTAATTTAGAAAATATGCGGATAATTATCCCCGTAAATATGGATGTTTTTTTTACTGTGAAGTAAACTTAGTTATGCGGAAAAGCTACTTTGCATAACTATAACACGTCGCTGCTAATACTTAAACTAAACTGCTCAAAGAAGACGTATTAAGATAAATGGACCCACTGTAAGTATGATATCATTGGCATTTGATTGGAAAAAACGCGTTTTGCTGCTCTGAAAGGTGTGCTAGAGGTCTGCAAACATCTTTCGGGGAGTACGAAATAAATTTTTCCGGTTGTTGTACATCGCCAGTTCTTAATTGAATTCTTATTCCTGAAACGGCAAAAAATGGTTTAATTATTCGATCTTCAAAGAATTGTAAATCAAGTGGAACTTGATTTCACGCACCCACAAAAAGGTTAGGTACCTACGTTCTTCCTATCTGTCACCTTCATTTTTAACGCACGGTAAAACATTTTGAACATTCAACATTCGCACACCAATTACAAAAAGAAATAGCATAGAATATGGGCCCTGTGTGCATTAATTTAACAAAATAATAAAAATAGGGTAAACGGGTTAGTAGTCCAAGTTGATAGTAATTCCATACCTACTTATTGTATTACGTTTGTGATAGTAAGCACAACCTAATTTATGAATGAAATACTGAGAGCAAGTTGATTACCTTTTCCTTTTAGAGGAGTGGTGCAAGTGTCATTTGCTAGACGGCAGGAAATAGCTAAGTTAACGCAGTCTTATCACATTGGGAGGAAATGCATCTTACGAAGTTAGGCGTCCCTTGGGTGCTGATGAGAGTAGGATACCAAGCGATTTAGCGTGTTGGAAATTCCTTTCGCAAACTTTTCCTCGAGTTATTTGTGGCACAAAGTAAACGTAACTGTTATTTATCTTTGCTGACAATTTTCTCTATTGCAATGTCACTTTATACGAGTTATTACAGCAAGTTTTTCTATAGTTTGTCGCATTATGGAGCGCCTGAACTGTTTGTCTGTTTTTGGAATTCGCTGACTGACATGATAAATCGGTTAGTCCCGAACGCTGGATTTAATTATTGGGGCTCTAAAGGCCGCAAACTGAAAACGCACTAATTAAGCGAAACCGTTCGTATTGACTCTAACGGGAAACACCCTTCGCCTTGACTGCCAAAGCCAGAATCTTCCCACAATAACCGCTCAAACGCGAATCTCCAAATTTTATGCAAAGCTCATCCCCTCTTTCTACACTAAACTGACTTAAAACGCATATTTCATCACGGAAAGCAATACAGACGACTTCGTTAATTTGCATTGGCTCTCCAAATCGAAGCTGGTCTACAAAAAATGCCGAGGCAACAGAAATTTACTTATCTCCTTGTCAGAGGAGCCCAACTCGCAGCGTCAGATATGAAACCTTATATTACAACTTTTTATCTCGTAAAACGATATCATTAGCCGGCAATGGCAGATACAATTTAAAACAAAGACGTCTTTCGTAGACTTGACAAATATGACAAATTCAGCTCGACTTTTGTCTTTGTTGATCCGAAACTATCTCTATATTTATGTTATGCGACGCCTCTCAGAATGCGTGTTTAGGGAGCTCTTAAAGCAAGTATATACATCTTTAATTCAATCTCACACAAATTATTGCAACATTACATGGAGCAACTGTTTAAAATAAGGCGACTAATCTTTCTACTTCGATAGTAGTTTGTAGTAACCGAATGTTGAATGACTAAAGGCTGGAGAGAGAAATAAGTATTTAAACCATTCTTGAGTGTAGAGAAAGCGCTTATTGGATCAGATTTTACAAGGACGATCAGGGGCGGACTAGAGACAACTGACCGGCCCTGTGATTTGAAGAGTATACCGGCCCACTTGTCATTTTGAATTTATAGAATGATTTCAAATATATTGAGATAGGTACATATTTATTGCATACATCGCATCATATATGTATAGAACAAATATATCCTGCGTGGGTAGGTACTCCGCGGCGGCGTGGCGTAAACAAAACATAAAAAATTGCACTATTCATTCATGTAATGCGCGTTGAAGTCTTGGGCGGCCATATTTTCGGAGCCAATAGATATTTATTTTATTAGGAGTATAAGTTACACTTTATGTGACCGAGTATGAAAGTTTAAACGCCGAGCGTAGCGAGGCGAGTTAAATTCATACGAGTCACATAAAGTAACTTATACTTCGAATGAAATACTATATTTTATTTTCAAACGTCATTTACATATATGTAATGTAGGAAATAGGTAAAGATGCACTCAATAGGTACCGCAAATAATATCAGCATAACATTGCTTTGTATCCATGACTACAGTATAACTCAAACTGACAATTTCACTAAAGTAAACTTGACAATTTTCGTTTTTGTAAAGCAATCTACCGTCTACGGTACCGAGAGGGTCCTATATACTTCAAGATGCCAAATGGGAAGGGATAAACTGGTCATTTCTTGAGGAGGACTTCTTCAACTGGGTTGGCAGATTGCAGAGGTGATATTACCTGTTTAACACAGGCATGGAGGGTGGAAATCTGATACAGTTTCTGCAGGGTACATATCGAAGAATCCTTATAGAATGAAGAAGACATTGCCACCAAGATCCTTTTGCATGATACATTGAAAATTCATAAAGATTTGGGGAAGATTTCAGAATCCAATACAAGCCCAATGTTACAAAATGCCACTTTAAATAATTGCACGTTTAATTTTAACGTCAAGTAGAATAATTTTTTTGAGAAAAGGTATAGTTTTATTTGATTTGATAAATAGAAATATAAAGTTAGTGGACGTAAATGCTAAGTGTGTATTTTGTTTTCACTAGAGTGGCGTATAAATGTTATACGCCGCCGGAGTATAACACTTATACGCCGCTCAAAATAGGTGTCAACAAAGTGACACAAACCTTCATAAAACTGTCGCTATAACTACAGTTAAACGATGTTTGAAAATAAAGTTTGTTTAATTTTTCATTTTCGTGATTATGAGATCCATAAGTCTCGAAATGTGCGATTAAAACATTATTGGACAATGGTACATTGTAGTGCACGGAAGTGATAGCCAAAAAACACACGAAAGTATATCGTTTCACAGGTATAAATTATAGGTTAGTTTTCGGTGAAATAACAAACAAGTGTGGGCTTCATTTTACGATCATTATTATCACTCCTCACTCTTTCCTTCTCTAAGATTAATAAAGTCTCCGCCGTGCTGGTGGCCGTTCACATTTCGCCGTATCGACAGTTATTTTCAAAATTGTTATTTATTAAATACAGGGTGATTCCTATAGTACCTGCCACCGTTTGGGAGCGTGTAGGTGGTGCGTAGGGGAGTATTTTGATATAGGACACTTGGGGTCGGAAATCTAAAATAAGGGTACCAGAGCCAAATTCACCTTCTGGAATTTCGCGCCTGTAGGTAGGCAACCCAATCGGCCGGCGGTGCACACGGATCGATCTCAGGCGGCGATGTGTGGCTGACACTTGATCAGAATTTTGTTTAAACCCACGAAATCCCGTCTGCAACGACGCGTATCAAGTGAATAAACACTATGGCAATACTATAATAATAGTTGGCTAGATGTAGGAAGTGCATTGAGAACAACGGTGGCCACGTTGAACACTTGTAAACGTTATTGCTTTTGACTGTCGTTTTTCCTCCTTCCCTCCCATGTCGCTTCCTCGCGCTAACTCGCTCTGCATCGCTCCGCGCGAAACGTCGGTCGGTTGGGTTGCCTACATACAGGCGTGAAATTCCAGAAGATAAATTTGGTTCTGTCGCCCTTATTTTAGATTTCCGACCCCAAGTGTCCTATATCAAAATACTCCCCTAGGCACCCCCTATACGCTCCCAAACGGTGGCAGGTACTATAGGAATCACCCTGTATACCTAATGAATTTCTAAAATGAAGTGAAGTCTGGGTAATGGATAATTGTAATAGAATCGATCAAATTGAGTAATAGGTAATGGGTAATGGGATTACAAAATTTCTGAGTGTGTAATGGGTAATTCCATTACATTACCCTTGTAATTTGTCCATCACTGCATGTAACTAGTATTCGTACCCTAAACACACTAATTTCTCAGCCGCCAGCAGCGGTGCTTTTAAGGGATGAACAAATTCCGGGTACGCCAGTACTATCCTGTTTACTTAAAATTTGCATGAAGGATTGCGGGCTGGTTTTAGACGTATCGACACAGTGTTTTACGAGGGCAGTAAAAATATCGAAGTAGGTAAGTACGTACATTTGGAAAATTGGAAGAAAGCATCACCCAGGCAATCGTATCTAACGCCTTTGTACCTCGTGCCAGCCCAAAGGCGGTTTCGGCCGCACTGGCCCTGTGACTGCACATGACGCTCTTATAGCCAATCCGCCCCTGAGGACGATACCTATAAATATGAGTGTAAATAGTGGGAAATCGAATCTATGTCGGCCGTTTTCTCAAGGCGCGCCCGTGCAATCTTAAGCCAAAGCGATCCATTGGGTGGATCTCGAAAACAGAAATCAAACCAAGAGCGAGAAATAATTTTCATAGAGCCACTGTGACATTGCGGGCGAAAGCTTCGAGAAAGAAAGCAAGAAAGATGAAAATTTTTACCACGAAAAATCAGTTGTTAGTTTGTTACCATAGTACGGAACAATTAATTAACAGTGAAGGTGTTTATTAACAACTAAACCTAAGATTACAATACATATTATACATTATATACAAATATGCACAAGAAGTTTTTTTTCTCCATAATTTGGTTCTACATTTTGTAATTCCTTCGCTATATTTAAAATGACCTTTTTTTTCAGAAAGTGTAATCAAATTAATATTTGTGCGGCCATTGTATTTTTTTAAATCTTCAGTCGATTTTATTTTAAAGAAACAAGTATGAAACAGAACGCGAATAAATTTGACCTTAAGGCATGGTGAAGATGCTTCCAAAACCCACACGTAGGCGCGAAATATCGGGCGAGAATATTACTTTGCCATATTTTGTCACATTCCCCCATAGATCGCTACTGATTGAAGCCTAACATGGCCATGTTAACCATTTTTTGGAGCGTTTCCGTCTGTCTGTTCCTGCGCGATATAAGAAAAAGCTATTTATTTTGTTACATGACTACTGACAGACTCTCGTTGTGTATAACAGGTGAATGTAGCTTCCCAAAATTTACTGAATCACCAGAGTTACTTGCGCTTGCAGCACCCACTTCGACCATATGCCTTATTGCACTATTCCGAATCCTAGTTTTTCCTATCATGGGGTTTCTTTATCGGCCAGGTCTGACTACCATAAATCAATATCCACGTCATCTTTTTACAATCCATCGCCACTCTGCTTGAATCCTGTGGTTAATTTCCCTGTCCGGTTCCCCCTCGTCAGTAACGTAGGAGTCGAGGTATTAGAACGCTCAAGCTCTAACTAACTGTTCTCTCCTCCAAATCACATATACTCCGGTTTTTGTTCTACTACTGTAGGTCCTCCATCCTCGACTGGTATCTGCGTCATCTCCTTCGCTTTTCTTTGGTACTATCTGAATCCCCATATACTTCCACATTCCATCCCTAGGCACCGTGTCGTAGGTTTTCTCTAGTTCTATAAAGACTAGGTGTAGTGTCCTTTGCTTCTCACTATACTTCTCAAGCAGATTCCTCAAGGCCAACAGTGCAGCGAATGTACCTTTTCCTAGCATGAAAGCGAACTATTGCTCTGATGTCTCCATTCCTTTTCTCTCTTACTTAAACCTTCAAAACGTTATATACCAGTGTAATACTCCATTATTCTTATAATCCTGCAAGTATCGAACATTTCCTCCTCAAGGTATAAGATTTCTTCAATTTTTTGACGATTTTCATTCACTATTAACTTACTGAAGTAGTCACCCCACCTGTTCCTGATGTTTTCCTCTGTTGTAGTGCCACTCTGCGAATTTATCTGGTCTCTGGACCACTTGGTTTTAGCTTGATTAATTCTGTTTTCCTTCTTATGTAAATGAAATTGTTTAAATGAAGGTACATTTCCACGGAACTGTTCGTTTGTTATATTTTGAAGTTTAATTGCGTACCTACCAGAGGTATTTATTTAGGATCATTTTACCAAAGTAGATCTTATAATAATAACTGTAAACACGAAGCAAATTTGTAGATGTGTATACAATACTGATAGCGCGGCCTTAACTTCTTACTAGTGGCTATATCCCATAACGTGTGACTGTTCCCTTTTGAATTGGAAGCGGATACACAGTACTAACAAAAACGCGAAGATGTTGAGTGCAGACATAGTGTTGTTCGCCCAAGTAATACCTAAAGTATTTAGCACCCAAGAGTACAAATATGTAAAGATTAGGGTACCGATTTGGAATGTAGCCGTCATTATCCCAATAGATATAGTCTCCGGTTCAGGATAAGTTAGCTCTATGGCGGTTTCAAAACTAACCAATTGTATGGCAGTATAGAAAAACCTAAAAGGGATATAATCGACTATAGTTAGATTCACGCCACAAAACCATACCCTAATAGCGCCGAGATAACGTATACACAAATAATTCCTAGATTCAATGTGTAAGTAAAGGCAATCGTAGTAAGTAACGTGCATAGTTGTAGTACGACGAATGTTAATCTAAAATTGTAATAAATTTTAATTCACTGTCACACTGGAGGGTTAATCCAGTCACCTATACGCCTTAAATTTATCCAGAATTATTCCGCAGACGGCTGGTGCCATTGATCCAATGAAAAACATAACTAATCCAATCTTACCGGCATCAGTTGATGGGTTCTGTGAAACACACCTTACTTAATGAAAAGCCGGAAAAACTATTTATTTACTTACATCGTAGTAGTTAGCTAATATTTGGTTTAGCAAGGTCCCTATGGTTGTGACTATTCCTAAATCAATACCGCACGCGAATAGTACGAGCATGAACGAAGAATTTGTGACCAAAGCAAAAAGCGATTTTAAAAAATTGGATGTTTTGGTGTGCACCATTTTTCTGGCTGTTGGAGGTGTAGGAGGTTTATCTTCGAAACCTAAACATATTGGTTATTAAGAGATAGCATTTACTTTTGTAATACTTACAAAAGCAGCACGTGATCAAAAACAGTGTACTAATTACAGCTATACTTAAAAGTTCAACAATTTTTTTAATTTGAAAGGTGTGGCTGTCATATTCTGTTGGAAGACCAATTGTAGGCACTATAAATCCAATAGCACTACCAAACTACAAATTTCACGGGAAATCAAGATCATAAATATTCAATTCTGCAAAACCAATTTTCCTACATGCCTGATATCCAAATACTCCAATGCTACAAGCTGTAGATATCTGACTCAAATCAAACCATTCTGCAGCCATGAGGGCCGGTGCACATGAAACAAGCGCTACGGATCCAGCTACAACTCCCTGACCCATTAATACTAGCCAGTATTTGTCGGGCTGAACGGCTAAAACCTTTATCCATGATCCTATCGTGTTAAGTAATAACGCCAATAATATTCCCTTGCGCAAACCCTAAAGGACGCGTTCTTAAATTCAAATGTAGTAATTAAGCATAATATACAAATCGCTCCAAAAAGTAGCTGCCCGGGAAGAGTAATACCACAAACACTTGTAAGTATATCAAAGAACTCCAGTTAACGGCTTCAAAAGACACGTTATAGTATTTCACAACAACATCCGCAATAACCGAAAATTGGACCCATTGGATAGTTGTAATGAGAACACTGGTGCAGTAAAGTCCAAGCATAAACCAGCGCCTTTTGTACACCTTTGCAACAACATTCCTTGGTTTATCCGGTTCTAACTCCATTGAACTTGATCTTTCATCAACTACTAACGCTTTTGTTTACCATTCTTCGATCAACAGTACACTAATCATTTTTTTAACGAAACCACAGTGCCAGACATCAAGTCTGGGACACGGATACGGATTAGGATTATCTCGTAAAATTATCGTCTGCGTGCGGGGTTATAATTATGTCCAAACAAGCTTTGTAAGATTTTTTTTTCAAGGATGTTGTTTTTATTGCCGTTATGTGTTTTAGAACACACTTTGCCACTTTCAATCAATTAATTATGTGTTTATTTGAATCCATTGTGCGACTCGAATAGTTTTTCTTGCACTACGGATCCATCTACACTCCTTGGCCCATTAATACTAACCAGCATTTGTCAGGCTGAACGGCTGGAATATTTATCCATGATCGTATTGTGTTAAATAATAACCCCTTGCGCAAACCCTAAAGGGCGCATTCTTAAATTCAGATGTATGTGGTAACAAATCGCTCCAAAAGTAGGTAGCTGCCCGTAAACAGTAATATACCACAAACACTTGTAGATATAAGTATTAAAGAACTCCAGTTAACGGCTCCAAAAGTCACGTACTTCACAACAACATCCGCAAGAACCGAAAACTGGGACCATTGAATAGTTGTAAACTAGTGCAGTAAAGTCCAACGCATAAACCAGCGCCTTTTGTATACTTTTGTAATAGCATTCCTTGCGCCTTGGTTGTAACTCCAACGAACTTGATCTTTCTACAACTGCACCGCTTTTGTTTACCGTCTTTCGATCCAGGCTAATCACTTTTTCTAGGACACGGATACGGATTAGGATTATTTCGTAAAATTGTTAGAATATTTTTCTATGTACTAGCACTATCTACGTTAATTAGGTGTAGGTAACTGATAAACCCCGAGGAAAAGGGTGAGATTTCATACTACCTGTCTATTACATAGACCTTTACAGTTAATTCTTCAAGTTCAAATGTCACATCCTTAATAAACTGTTGCGAAGAGAAAAGCCATGTCATAACGTGCACCGAGATCAAATTGCCCTGGGCCTTTTGCGGTTGTGGCAACAGAATGTCAAGGACTCTGCCAGATTTCAGGAGCAAGTTGATTACATTTCTTTTTAACCGCAAAAATGTGGGTTTATCTACTGTATTTTCTCCCTCAAGGACGAAAACGCTTGCGCTAAATGTATTGAAAAGTATTGAAAACCTTTATAATGATTTACAAGATAGCAGCGGTTTATTACTCCAACTATTATAAGATGAATGGAAAGACTTCACTATCACAATGTGAGGCACAAATAGTGCCCCATATTTATAATAAACTAGCAGACCCGGCGAACTTCGTACCGCTTTCGCTCAATGTCCCGCTCCTAAATGGGACATAAGCACGGTTTCGGCGGCAGCTCAATCTTACCTCGCCCAAACGTCCCGCTCCCGGATGTGACAGCTTCGGCGCCACATCACCTCCCCCAAATTTACTATACCAGAAACCTTCGCGGGCATACGTAATTGATACTTGATCTATTTTTCTGCGTCTGTTCTCTTTTCTATTCTGGGATTAAATTATCTTTATTACAACACCATCTTTAATGTAATTAAATTCGGACTTCGAATTGAACTCGTAATTGCAAATTCTGAGTTCGTAGTCGGAATTTAATGTAATTAAAGATGGTCGTAATAAAGATAATTTAATCCTTTTTATACCAAAAGGTAGAGAATTTCTTAATCTTTTTACCTATTTTAATAGGTTTCTATGAGACTTTCCCTTTGGAACGACAGAGATCTAAAAGATAATCCATCCAAGCCCGTTCAATTTGCAATTACAGTGTTGATTCGTTCTCTTCAGTGTCGTAGGTCCCGGTTTTTATAGACCATGTTTTGAATATAACTAAAAAAATCCCTGTCGGCTCCATTGAAATAAAATAGTAGGCGGCTCGGCCGTTCAGGTGTAGCGAGATTTCTTCCCGTCATTTTGTTCCAATTTGGCGGAATTGGCTTCCGAGTTCGAAGTCGAAATTCCGAGTTCGAAGTCGGAATTTCGAGTCCATGTAGGAATTCCGAGTTCGAAGTCGCAAGTCGCAGTTGTGTGGCCCTCCATGCCTTATTGAGTATTGCCATTGAATAAGTAATCATTTATTCAATGGTATTGCTACCACATATATGTTTGTCTTCAACAAGCGGACTCCCTTGTCCTGTCCTGTACACATATGCAACTTTCGATTTTTGTTTCTATGTGTGCTGCCTAACGTTAAGGGGCACACGAACCACAAATTTGAATAACACTACAAGTGCCACCAAGCTCAGAAAGTCCCTGACAGGGCGTGTCCGAGGGCGCTAGAAATTTAGGCCGTACATTCTGATGCAAAATTTGATTCTTTCGTAAATATAAATAAGTAGGCCACGCGCTATATGAGTTGCATAACATCAGGGGGAAACATTAAAATCATTTATTTATACTTGGATTTACAAAAACGTAAACACATTTAAAATTGTTAGATTTTTAACACAATTTTGAATTCTGATGCATTTCTGGTGTGTAAATATGGACAGTTATTGAAACAATCATATTGAAATTAATAACACTCACATTGACTAAATTAACACACAACCTTTAACTTTTTTCATTCATTATCATCACTTGACAACTCATCCTCATCAGAACTCCCGGTGTTCACAACAAATTCTACGCTCTCAATAAATTCCTCTGTTAAATAATCAGCTTCCCACATTTGTTCTGCAATATGTTTCACATGAATGCAATGCTTTTCCCATTCCTGTTGCGTAATTTCAGCACAAGCATTTTTTACCAATTGAACAATATTACTATTACTTTGCCCGACATTATTCATTGCTACTTTCCTCTTCATAGTACTCCAAATTAGCTCGATTGGTTTAAGCTCACAGTGATATGGTGGCAATCGTACAACGGTGTGTTGATGTTGTTTGAGTAGTTCGTCTACATAATCTTGCTGTGAGAAATGTTCTTTACTAACATTAACAACTCGGCCTTCCGCATGTCTTCTGTCGTACTAATGTTGTTTGATTCTAACCAAGATCGTATCACCTCCTTACGATTATTCATTGTTGGCGGCTTATTTATTTGAACACTATGGTAGGGTGCGTTATCCATAACCACAATTGAGTTTGCTGGTAAATTTGGTATCAGCTGCTTCTCTAACCACTGCATAAAGTTAGTATGATTCATATCATCGTGATAATCCCCCGATTTACTGTGCGACTTAAATATCAACAAACCATCCTCTACAAAACCAGAACGACCACCAGCATGGACTATGCCCTCTGGCCAGCCCTATTGGATTTATAAACTCCCGATACTTCATCTGATTGCCAGCATTTACTCACTCCATACGATGGGTGGATATAGGTTTCGTCCAAGTATATAATGGGTCTCTTATCACCTTCACGTTGTTCATTTTCTCTTAATGTTCTTAAGTAACGAGAACGCCATGCTACGATGTCACTTCTTTCCATTAACAACCTACGTTTGTCATGACACTTCTTGTATCGAAAACCAAGTTTCCACAATTGCTTGCGAAGAGTTTCCCTTCCACCTGTATAGTTGATCTTCTCTTGCATTTTTTCTACGAGCACATTCAAAGTTGGTACCTTACGTTCAACTGTATATATTTCTTGGACAGTTCTTCGTAAAATACACTGATCAGCTTCATCAAAATCGATCTTGTTTGTTGGCTCCACGTGACGTTTTTTCTTAGGAGATTTTAACTTGGAGGGCCCAGCTTCATCCGATTCTTTGCGAATTTGTTTTATAAAACTAACTGACTTCCCAACTGCAGCGGCAGCTAACTCGGTTGCCTTTTCTAAAGGGAAACTCCAACGGGCAACGACCTGCATCTTTTTGTCGATCAAAGAATTCGACCACTTTACGGATTATATTACGAGCTTCAGAGTGAACAAGTTTCCTCTCCAAACTCATGAGTTAGGACTTCTGTAACAAGTTTTACCTCAATTAGCACTCTAAGATTCATGTAAGGTTAGGTACAGTTTTACATTTAAAAACACTTTAAGGGAATTACATACCTTATAAGATCGTAGATCCAAGCTATATGCGTCTTGAAAAAGACGAGTTTGTATAAACTGGAGACGGAAAACGTAAAATAAAGCAAATACAAGAAGCAAATAACGTGAAGCGCAAACTGTCAGAACGGAATAATTAATAATTATGGCGCGGAATGTACCGCGTTGTTTTGCAGGCTTTCTATTGGCCAGCCTGAATTATTTCAAAATTAGTTCGCATATTTTCCGGGGCTTTTCTGAGCTTGGTGGCACTTGTATTCGCTTTGATTTATATCGATTGTGTTCAATTTATATTTTACGTTACTCACTGTCAATACTAAACACTTCGCAAAGATATTGAATCTTTCTGCTAGTGTAATTCATACATATACAATTTCAGCATATAAAACCCGGAAAGAACGTGTGTATTATACCTTCCATCATTTCTATCCTGAACCTCTGGTGAAGTAGAGACACTTCCTTGCAATTTGTGGTATAACCTCACAAAAAGTATACCAAATAAAAACATTTCTAATTCACGAATCCCTTAATATTAGAATACATATCAATTACATTGTTATTAAATAATAATTTGTAGATTTCGTTTCGGCTAAATCCTGTATGAAATATGAATAATACCAAAACTCCAGTGATGGTATTGCAAGAGTTGGCGGTGGCAAAGGAATGGATATTACCTGAATATACTATAGTGCATGCAGTAGAAGGTACACACGATAACATATTTCATTATCAAGTTGCCGTTCATGGTGAGGCAGCCATTGGAGTCGGCCGATCTAAAAAAGAAGCTAAACATAAAGCAGCTAGCTTATTATTGGAAAAGCTGTCCGATGTGGTCGATTGTAACCTTAGAACACAACCTTCCGTTCCGGAAAAGAAACTCAAGCTTGTAAACGCGGTCGGAATTTTATGTGATATTTGTGGAGAGAATAAAATTCCAATGCCCATATTCACACAAATATCTGACGTCGGTCCGCCACACTGTAGAGAGTTTACATATGAATGTCAAGTGGCCACTTTGGTAACACGAGCTACGGCAAGCACTAAGAAACAAGCAAAACATTGGGCTGCTAAGGAAATGACTGATAGGTAAGCTCTGAAGCAGTTCATGTTCATGGCATCGAGGGAGTTTTTGCTTACAGAATCATGACTGCTCTCCCTGACTTAATTACAGAGTATGAGGATCAGAAGTCATCTGCTCTCGCAATAGACGATCGAATTAAGGATGAGTATGCTCATGCAAAGTTGTTAAAGCCTAAGCCAAATCTATCTCTTCAAATAGAAGATCGTCACATGCATTTAAAAAATATTGCAACTGAAAAGGGTTTAGATAGTGACTGTGTCCAGATGGTATTATTGTAGTTGACCAAGGTTTTGGAAAGTAGGTAGATGCTCATGTTTTTAGTGTACTTCGCAACCTTCGGAGGAGAATTTAAAGATACTTCTAGAAAAATTGGAGCTGAAATATTTCATTCAAACTTTGCAAGAAACTGTTGAGGGAAACTGTGTTGTCACTTTGTCTCTAGATACAGATGTACCATTCACGGTTATGGGAATGGGATGTAATAACGATGCTGCAGTTGAAGATGTAGTAAAAAAAGCGTGCAAATATTTAAAAATCATGTTAACTTAATGCTGTACATTTTTCATTTAATAAAGTTTATATGCTTGTTCATAGGCGGTACATCTTAATTTTTTATTCAATGATACATACAAGTGCATTTAAAATCACATTTTCCAGGGGCTCGGGATTTGTCGTGTCTTAGAATATTGAAGGATTTTTGTATTTACAAGTAATCACGAGTGTCTGTGATCCTTTTGGACCTCACTATTATCAATATGGCCCTAACAATCTCCCACACTTCTTAAAGTTCAGACTTGTTTAGCTAGACCACCCACAATAAAACGCATGCATGTTATGCTAGCTCAAAGCAAATGAAAATTGAAACTTAGGATTTTATAATCTCTCATACACATCCCGCATCTGCTAGAAGGAAAATCCTAATATTGACAAAATTTCTTGATCAATGATAAAAAATTATTCCGAAGCACACGAAAAAACAGAATCTCCGATAGAAGCTTACAAAGCTTGTTTAGACATATTACCCCGCACGCAAGCGGGCGACAACTAAAATTTTTATTTTTTTTTAAATTATAAATGAGCAATCAGAACACATACTTAGCATTCTATAAGCCAATTTGTTGTCTTTAGCGGTAACTGTATACCACTACGCGGGCTATAGACCCGGCCAGATCTTGTTCTACGACGAGCCTTAACTAAATTCTGGGAATTAAATGATAATCCCGTTCCCATCGCTAAACAATCATTCCAATGTGGAGAGATCTTGCATTCGGCTTAAAACAAGACTCAAATCGGTTTACCCGTTTTACAGTGTCGGTCTGGATTATTATGAAGGCCCAATAATGATAAAGGGCAGGATGGCATGGGGAGCGCGTCTCGTAACCTAGGAGGTCATGTGCTGTGGGAAGTCGCACTTGAAGCGTGTTCTCGGCAACGCTAATTTGACCCTTGAACATATTTTGTATATACCTACGACCCGGTCATGATAGAGTATATTAGTTCTAAATTCAAGACCGTTGTCCAGAATTTCTTCTATAACCCTGATGACCTTATACTCCTTTGTCTCCTGGTCACTTTCTAATTGGCCGACCATTAACTCCTTACACGAACCTGATATTATACTCATATCCAAGAGAATCTCTAAAAGTTTATCAGCGATCTCACCAAATGGTTCAACATTTTTGGAAGCGGGTGGAATAGAGAAGTAGTTTCGGACCTCCAACGACAGCAGAACTGGACCAGGAATTTGCCGGATCTGCTTCTTATCGATTCTGTTGTGTTGCTTCAAGATGACAACCCTCCGCGACTTCAATGGCAACTTGGGTGTGTTGTTTAACTGCATCAGGGTTCCAACAACGTCCCTCGTGCAGCCTCCGTCAGGCTATCCAATGCTAGTGTGCGTGTTAGGGGTACCTAACATAGTGATTCGGAGCGCCGGTCAAGCACTCATACCCTCTAAGACCTGCCGTTTCGCAAATTTGCACCTTTTGCTCATCTTTGAGTTTTGTATGTATGTACTTACCTACTATACTATGAACCTTTACAATCTAATGACATTTGTGTTTGAATTGTACCTACCTACCTAAGCAAAATGTGTAATAGTCGTCCGAACATGTGCGCAGAGCTTTAGATATGCTGGAACTTCTCCGGATCGAGAGAAATCTTGATTTAATGTTATAGGTACGGACTATAAATTAAATTAAAATATGACGGTACAAAGAATGCTTTAATATATCTTAAGCTTTGAATATATTATATTCAAAGATCTAAGTACCTAAGTACACTAAAAGTACTTAGATACTTTAAAACTTCAACACACAGTGTTGGTCGGTAATAATGTCTGATTATCGTGAACCTTTCTTAAATTAATCGCTTGACGTTTCAAATCGAATGGCGAAATTGTCAATAAAACAAATCCTACCAATAATATCACACATAAACTTAAATTTGACCAGACATCTTCCAATTTATAAAACAAAAAGGAATATAAATAAGTGAACATTATGCCAAATCCTTGAGCAGACGCGTTTAGAAGTCCCGCCGGCGTTCCTTCTGGTTCAGGATATGTAACTTCTGCTGCCATTTCATAACCAATAACCATAACACTTGTTAAGAATGCCCTATAATATATTTCCGATTGGAATTGTCATGACAGTATGCACAATGTTTACCCTAATAAAATATAAGTGATGTATACGAACACTATTCCCTGATAAAGCAGGAATGTAACCATAAACATCATTAAGGAACATATCAGTTGTGTAGCTAACAGTGTTTGCCTAAAATAAAGTATCCATTATTAACTATGGAATTTACGAATTCTTTCTACCCTTCGTTGATCGTTTTCTGTTCACACAAAAAAGGAATAAAAAATATGGTATAACTTTTCGAAGTAAACCAGTCAGGCGCCACGAAGGAGTGACCCGTGTTGACTTACTGCGTTAAGTAGCCCTTTAGGATCTATACATATATATATTCCAAAACTCACTAATAGCAAAGAGTAACTATATTCATTGCTAATATCTAATCTGAAGCCATGCAGGCATTAGTATCGGTCCAAAATAACCAAGATAAAATACTAACCTGTACCATTTAAATCTGTCCAAAATAATGCCGTACACAACGGAAATAATAGTCCCAGCAATGGTGATCAGGCAACCAATCCTTCCAGCATCGTCTGATCCATCCTAAAATAAGGATTACTTATTAATAACAATGTGTTTTTGGAACCACTTACCGGATAATATTTCAAAACAACTTGGTTCAGCATAGTCGATAATACAAAAAATACACCAATGTCGACACCATACACCAATAAAAGAACTACATAAGAGCGACTGGTGAATAATTTGACAAACGATTGTTTTGTGGACGTTTTCTCTGTGACTAAATTTGTCGAACGTGCTGTTGATGGTGGACTTGGTGGTTGATCGGTAAAGACTATTATGTGCTTTATACATACGTATAGGAAGATATTAAAATAAACCACTTACAACACAACGTTAAAACTGAATTGATAGTGCAAAAAATCGCCACAGCTAACGCCATACAAAACAGATCCGCTCCAATGTCCATTAAATCATGTTGCGGTTTTACTATTATCGTTGGAAGGACGAAACCAAGAGCGACTCCAACCTAGCAATCAATTTGATGTATGTACCAACGCTAGCGATTAGTATCACAAAATAAGACCTTCACAGAACAGAAACATAAATGGCGCTAAATTGTCACTGATTACAGCGTTTCCCGTGGTTGTACGGAGAACCATTTATCGCAGACTCAAATATTTTTTTGCAAAACCTGTAATTTTGCTCGTTACAGGAAATATTTTTATTTCATACTATCTAGTAATCGCCGCTTTCCCAGACCCATTTGAGTCTGGTAAATCGTATTTTACCAGACTGAACATTTTTACCAGACTGGAAATGTTGCCTAGCAACATCAACTGACGTCCATATAAACCTGTATATTAATGTGTCAAACTACAGTCAGATCAAACAAATCAAGTGATCGACTTTTGCTTTTATTTGAATGCGTACAACATTCTAATCAAAAATTGTATGGCCTTTTAAAAGAAAAAGAGCAGTATGAAATAAAATGTTTTACTTTATTTGTATGTTAAATCAGTTAACGTTACTCGTTTCGAAATTCCTGCCTCAGCTACGCTTCGGCAGTAAACATCTCACTCGTTAACGTAAACCTTGATTTACCATACTCATATGTAAATAACTATTACCGTCAATTTTATACGTACACATGGTTTTACACATGTCAATTTTGACTTTTGAAAGATTTAAAATAGGAACAAGTTATGTGACCGTAAAAAGTGTTGTGTGGCGGATTGTAACGATAAAATATCAAAAAGGCATCGTTTCCCATATTTGGAAACAGATTGTTTTGTGCTCGAAACGCGAAGAGGGTTGAAATGTGCTGTTATTTCTCTCCTATTTATACAAGGTATTGAATTTATAAATTACCAACGGTATAGGCGCAAAAGGATGTAGACCAGGGTGTAGACTTAAGTTTTATATTTATATAGACGTAGATACTTATATTGTAATTCCTTTTAGATAATGAATAAAAAATACGTTTTAGATAATTCAACAACTTCCACCCTCGCTTCTCAAGTAACAAGTAAGCACCAGGATCAAGTTAACATTTGTTGTCAAAAACTTGTGTGACAATTTGCTGAAACGGTTTTATTACCTCTTGGAACAAAAAATTTAGTTCTAAAGATATTTTTTAACAAAAATATGTAGTCCAAACAGCAATTAAAACCAAATATTTCGTACGACAAATCGTTATGTAAGGATCTTTCTGCATAGTGTTAACATCTACAAAGCGTAAGTTTCACTCACTTCTGAGTTTTATATGTAATTTGTAAACATGTAATTTAAGTTCTCTGATGTGTTAAATAATGTAATGTGATTGTATCTAAATACACTTTAATTTAACAACTGTGTATTCTTCATCGATATTTATGAATTGGATCGAATTGGGGAAATTACTTCATGGCTGGTCACCAGATGGCGCTGCTCTGATTTTGATGCTTTAGTTCACAGTACACCCACCAGGGTCCGCCAAAATACCATACAAATTTGTAACATTGCTGTTTCTATTCTGAGAAGGCCGTATTCTGTGATTAGTATCTTACCTGACAACCAGCAAGCCCAATACCACATGCCATGGATACTTCATTGGCTCCAAACCATGTTGCGGCTAACAGTGGTGGAGTTGGTAGTACGAATACCTGTGAGACCGCTGCCACGCTTTGGCCCAATAATAAAACCCAAAATCTGTCAGAGCTTGCAGACGCTAATTTTATCCACGCCCCTAAGCACGTGCCCACACTGCCAAAAATGACACCTACGCGCAACCCCTGCAACACGTAAATAGTATGTAGTGTACGTAGCTTTGGTTACGACCGTAGGTAGGTAAATTTAACCACAGTTTTCATTTTCAATTTAGTGATTGGTTTGAGCATTGAATAAAGATTCAGATTTATTATTCAATGGTTTTAACGAATCCTTAGTACTGAAGATGAATCAGGCCACCCACAAAAAAATGGTCTTTGGAGGAATATAGCCATAATTACCGATTGTTAGAAGATTAAAATTGGAAAATTAGGTTTAGGAGCCACCCATACACGGAGAACGTATATGCATCCGTGAAATAATTCGGCAGTAAATGAATTGAGGCCCGAATTTCATTATGCTTTTACTTACTCTACAAGTTGCACTATTGGAACATGTGTTCCACTTTTCTTGATAACGTTTTTTAACAATTAAAAAGAGACTTTGTAGTTGTAGGGACCTAGATAGACAGTATCTTCAGATGTATAGTAAAAAAGTATAAGAAAATGGATATTGAGGTAATAAGTAAGTATTTCAGTTAAAATTGAACGGTACCTATAGTAAAAACTGCAACGAATAATCATGTTCACACTACCATTGTCGCATACTAGCATTTTTTGAAGATCTCAAAGGTGGAACTGCTTGCACCATATAAAAATTTAAAAAAAAGTGTTTTACGCCCAATATAAGTAAGTAAGTTGGTCGAAACTCATGAGAAAATGAACATAATTTTTACTGTCAATATACGGAAGCAGTTTATTGGCCAAGATCAAGGGTTAAAGCATAAAAATTTAGTTAATGCCATGCCCTTGTTTCTTCATCTTTGTCAAGTTAATCGTATAAAAAGAGTGACCAGAATGAACGTGTTCCAAATCAATACCTAAGGATGGATCATCAATATAAGAGATATCGCTATATTATTCTTAATATTCAGAAAATTAAAAAAAAATTTAGCAAGTCTCTTAATATTTTGAAAAAAGAATGGAAAATGGTATACTTACATACACTGAAAGCACATAATTTGCTAAAAACACAACTGGTATGTAAATTAATAAATAAATCATGGACGTCCAGTTTGCAGCTTCGTAACTCACACCATAGTACTTAACCAGTAAATCTGCTATTATAGAATACTCAATCCATTGCATCAAACTTCCAACGGCATTAAGTACAAACAAAAATAACATTAACCATCGGATCGTATATAATTTGTACTCATCAACGTGCTCGTCCATAATCGGTTTCTGAACTGTCACAGCGTGTGCTTTCAAAATCATGTGAGGATGTATATCTTACAAAAAGGGGAGTAGACTTTTTGTGTCGTAATTTTTTCATATCATAGATATAGTTTAGAGATAACGATCTCCAATACAATAATATCTCACGCGCACAACCAAGGTACTTTTGTACCTGATTTCTTTTTCTCTTTTTTTAGGGTTACAGTATTAAATATTTTCACGCGTCATTATTTCGACACTTAACACGGAAATATGTAAATATGTTTAATATATTTCATCAAATGTAAACGTTATTGACATTTAGGTTCAAGTAAATATGAATGTAAAGATAGTGTACAATAATAAATGAATAATATGCCTATAAAGGGTTGTGGAGGTAATGCACTTAGTTTAGATTGTTCTTATACATTATGGTGTTTTACATTGGATGATGAAGTGTAAAAAGAATTGTATAATCTTGAAGTAAGTACTCGAGATAATGTGTAGTTTCGGCGTATGTAACGAAAGTGGTACCTCCATAGTTCAAAAAGAAAACTGTTACATTATTGAGACATTCAACACAATTGCCCTGGTGATAAACCCTTTTGTATTATAACTTCAAACCCTCTGTCAATGCCTTCGTTAATCACGAAATCTCTATTAGCGCCGGATTTCATAATACTTACTATTATCGTTTCTTAAAGTTTGTCAGATTATCATATCCGATAATATTTTAATCACAATGATAATTCTATTTTTCCTTTTGTTTATCAAAAATTTCATGAGAATGAAAGTAGAGTCCTTTGATCTATGTTATTAAATTGAAGTGAGTGCATTTTGTGTTGTGCCTTATTAGTCTACTTATAACAATTTTTCTATTTGGAAGTTTAGTGCAGATAATCGTGGTACTGAAATCAATAATTTGATATTGTAACTCGTCAACGTATTCTATATTATTTAACATATTCATTTATTTATTTTTAGCGCATTTTTGGAAAAAATACGTTATTACATTCGTGATGGCTGGCTGGCTGGCTGTCCGGCTGAGATCTCAGCAATTACAAGAGCTACAGACTTTAAATTTTCACTCTTAGCTTTCTGATGTAGTGTAGATGTGCAGGCTCTAGTCTATTTTGAGTTAGATTACTCGTGAGATCGATAATTTTAAACTTTGCTAATGAAATACTGATCTGCATTACCAAAAATGCGCTTTCATCATGCATTATGCTGATTTACAACTTGTTTGATTAGTATACTTTCAATTGTTAGCTTTTACTAATTTATCAACGAACATCCTTAAATGTCAAACAATATTATATTGTTGATTAAACCTTTAACCTGTCTAACGTTTTGCGACAATTTAATCAACGCTATTCACAAACTTTTGTGACCAGAAAGATTTGATTTCGGTAAAACATATTGCCTACGTAAGTAAGAAGAACATGTTGAGCATGATGTTGAGTACTTTTGATCATTTTTATGAACAAGTCAGCTGTCAAACGATTCACGTAAGCAAAATGCGTTATTGTTCTCCGAACATGTGCGTAGAGCTTTCGATGCGGTGGAAGTTCTCCGGATAGAGGCAAAGCCTGCTTTAGAATTGTAGGGTTAATAATTAATAATTTAATTAAGAGAAGAGGTTGAAATGAATGCTTTAATAACTTAAGTTAGTACATTAAAAGTTTGTACTCTTGAAAACTTCAACACACAGTGTTGGCCGGTAATGATGCCTGATTATCGTGATCCTTTCTTAAATTAATCGCTTGACGTTTCAAATCGAATGGCGAAATTGTCAATAAAACAAATCCTACCAATAATATAACACATAAACTTAAATTTGACCAGATATCTTCCAATTTATAAAACAAAAAGGAATATAAATAAGTCAACAATATGCCAAATCCTTGAGCTGACGCGTTTAGAAGTCCCGCCGGCGTTCCTTCTGGTTCAGGATATGTAACTTCTGCTGCCATTTCATAACCAATAACCATACCACTTGTTAAGAATGCCCTATAATATATTTCCGATTGGAATTGTCATGACAGTATGCACAATGTTTACCCTAATAAAATATAAGTGATGTATACGAACACTATTCCCTGATAAAGCAGGAATGTAACCATAAACATCATTAAGGAAGATATCAGTTGTGTAGCTAACAGTGTTTGCCTAAAATAAAGTATCCATTATTAACTGGAATTTACGAATTCTTTCTACCCTTCGTTGATCGTTTTCTTTTCACACAAAAAAGGAATAACAAATATGGTATAACTTTTCGAAGTAAACCAGTCAGGCGCCACGAAGGAGTGACCCGTGTTGACTTACTGCGTTAAGTAGCCCTTTAGGATCTATACTTATATATATTCCAAAACTCACTAATAGCAAAGAGTAACTATATTCATTGCTAATATCTAATCTGAAGCCATGGAGGCATTAGTATCGGTCCAAAATAGCCAACATAAAATACTAACCTGTACCATTTAAATCTGTCCACAACGGAAATAATAGTCCCAGCAATGGTGATCAGGCAACCAATCCTTCCAGCATCGTCTGATCCATCCTAAAATAAGGATTATTAATAACAATGTGTTTTGGAACCACTTACCGGATAATATTTCAAAACAACTTGGTTCAGCGTAGTCGATAATACAAAAAATACACCAATGTCGATACCATACACCAATAAAAGAACAACATAAGAGCGACTGGTGAATAATTTGGCAATGGATTGTTTTGATGACGTTTTCTCAGTTACTAAATTTGTCGAACGTGCTGTTGATGGTGGACTTGGTGGTTGATCGGTAAAGACTATTATGTGCTTTATACATACGTATAGGAAGGTATTAAAATAGATCACTTACAACGGATCGTTAAAATGGAATAGATACTGCAAAAAATCCCCACAGCTAAAGCTAAAATGAACATATCCGTTTCGATGCCTATTAAATCATGTTGCGGTTTCAGTATAATCGTTGGAAGGACGAAACCAAGAGCGACTCCAACCTACCAATCAATTTGATGTAGGTATGTACCAATGCTAGGGATATAATTAGTATCTTACCTGACAACCAGAAAGCCCAATACCACATGCCATGGATACTTCATTGGCTCCAAACCATGTTGCGGCTAACAGTGGTGGAGTTGGTAGTACGAATACCTGTGAGACTGCTGCCACGCTTTGGCCCAATAATAAAACCCAAAATCTGTCTGGACTTGCAGATGCTAATTTTATCCACGCCCCTAAGCAGGTGCCCACACTGCCAAAAATGACACCTACGCGCAATCCCTGCAACACGTAGATAGTATATACTTTTGGCTTCGGCCTTAGATAAAGTTTGATCACTGTTACAATATTCTCTTGAATCTCCTGTTTACTAAACCCAAGATGAATCAGTACACCAATGTCGTACATTGATACAAAAATTAGTATATCCAGACGAGTTCCGAAGAACGAAGCAACATGGTGAATCATTAGGACTATTGACTGCTTTATGTTAAATGAGAGGATACTGGGTATTTGCTGGGAAGGCTTACTCAAATAGTAAAGACGTGAGCTCTTATGTGTGAAATGATATTTCTTCTCGTTTATTGTGTTGGTTCTGAGAACAGGACTATAAAAACACCACCACGTAAGCGCCCAGTTTAATTGCAATAAGGCATTCAATATGCAGACACAGAATATAAATACAAACATCAATATATCAAAATTGTGGGGCATTCCAAAATTACCACAATACAGCGATTTTATACAAAACTCCGTACAATTTAAGGGATACATTTTTTTCTAATTTTATAATAGTTCAAAAGTCAACCTACTATTGAAATTTGCGCCATCTTGTTTTTTTAAAGAGAAACATACAATTTTCAATGAACTTTCTAACTGTGCTATTTCATTCTCAATTCAACGTATTTAAGAGTACCTACCTACCTGTCGTAGTTTTTGACATTACGTATGTCAATTTTTCTCTAAAAATTTGGAGATAATCATTCAAGATAAGTGAGTAATTCAAAAACTACCGTATATAGACATACAGAATGTTAATAAAAGTGGCCCTAAAATTCAAATCTACATTCATTTATGCCATCAGAAGTTTTGACATTTTTTTATGGTTAACTGTGAAAAATTCCAGCAGTCCTGGAAATTTTTTCAAGACCTTCAGTGGTCACTCAAAAAATTTCTTACTACTTTAAGGATTCGATCATAAAAAGTAGCACTCACTTGTCTCGAACAGTTTAAGAGATATGAATTTTGGAGTGAGCCTTTGCATCTCCAAATTTTTAGAGAGAAATTGACACATGTCCAAATCTATGACAGATAGGTAAGCAAGTCTTAAATGCGTCGAATTAAGAATTAAATGGCGCATTTAGGAAAAAAATGAAAATGGTAGGTACGTTTCTATTAAAAAACCAAGATGGCGCCAACTTCTGGTATTTGCGGAAGCGACGGCATCTAGAAGTTACATTCCTTCAATTCACAATTACCTTACCTATACAACTTTGGTCTATTTGATCTTATTATTTAATACATCCTAATTGCAGTTCAATACGCAGATTACGTACCTATACAGGGTGTAGCACCTATCAGATCCCTCGGATCATAAATTCATAAATCCTTGACCATAAAAGGTACCGAAAAAAGTCTTAGAGCAAAATTGTACACAATTACCGCCGGTATGTTTCTACAATATTTTTGATCACAAGGGGCGTGCTGTATTCCACTGGCGTATCAAACTTGCATTTATTTAAATGGAACCCCATATTATTTTACTACTGATTTGAAAAGTACTTATTTTTTTATGTAACATGATATAAGTTTCATGTCCTTGTTTCTTTATGTTTGTCAAGTTAATCATCCAGAAAGAGTAACCTGCAGAATTAACGTGTTCCAAGAAATCAACACTTAAATATGCATCATCAATAAGAAATATTGCTCGTGTACTCTTAACATTGAGGGAATTAACATTTTCTTTGCTGACTCCTTAATATTTAAAAAAAAAGAATGGAAGATGGTATACTTACATAGACTGACAGCACATAATTTACTAAAAACACAACGGGTATGTACATTAATAAATAAATCATGGACGTCCATTTTGCAGCTTCATAACTAACACCATAGTACTTAACCAGTACATCTGCTATTATAGAATACCTACTCAATCCACTGCATTAAACTTCCAACGGCATTAAGTACAAACAAAAATAACATCAACCATCGGGTCTTATATAGTTTTCACTCTTCAACGTGCTCGCCCATAATCGGTTTCTGAACTGTCACAGCGTGTGCTTTCAAAAACACAGACGTATATAATAATAGCTTATTTACCCTACAGTAACAACCAGGGTAACTCTACATCTTGTAGGATACCAACATATATTAACAGAAACGATTATATTCGAGTTCTTTATCAAATTTGTAGATCGGAGTTCGTGAATTGGCAATGTACGCCAAAAAATAAAGAACGCCCTTTTGACATCCCCGTTAGTTATGAACCGAATTGCATAAAATTCAATATGCGCATAGTTTTAGCCATATCAAACGCAATTCCAAAAGTTGAGCCTAATCGATCAGCATTCACAGTGCCTTTTGGCATCTCGACCATTTATAAAATTTGGTTTTGCCCATGGCAGTGCCAACTTTCGTATTTATGGAGGGATTTAAATGAAATTTGATACATAGCCACTTGGAATAAAAGCAAATTTAACGCCAGTTTCAAAATTCGGTTTTGCGCATGCAAAGTGCAAGTTATAGCGCATACGGACGGACGGATGGACGGAAAAAAAATTAAAACCTATAAAAAGTATCTGAAGACCTTAACTAAGAGTTATAGCGAACCCAGACAAACGGGCGGACAAAAGGACGGACAGCCATACAAAACTGTAACGATCCTTAGTAAATGAATTTTTACTTTTTTTAATTACGCAAGCCGTTTACACGCCAAGATCAACTCAAATTCAGTAAATGCCATGTCCTTGTTTTTTCATCTTTTTTCAGTTAATACTACAGAAAGAGAGCCCTTAATTAACGTGTTCCAAGAAATCAATACTTAAAGATGGATCATCAATAAGAGATATTACTCTTAGTATCGAAAGAATGAAACAATTTTTTTGCAGATTCCTTAACGTTTTGAAAAAGAATGCAAATGGTATACTTACATACACTGACAGCACGTAATTTGCTAAAAAAACGACGGGTATGTATATTAATAAATAAATCATGGACGTCCAATTCGCAGCATCATAACACTAACACCATAGTACTTAACCAGTACGTCTGCTATTATAGAATACTCAATCCATTGCATCAAACTTCCAATGGCATTAACTACAAACAAAAATAACATCAACCATCGGATCTTATACAGTTTATACACTTCAACGTGATCGTCCATTATTATTTTCTGTACCTACTGTCACAGCATGTGTTTTCAAATACATACGAGAAAATATGTTACAATAAGGAGCTCGATAACGGGAGCAGTTTTTCTGTGCCGTAATTTTTTCGTATTATACCTATAGTTATAGTGAATATTATTCACCGTGGTTTAGAGATAACGATCTCTAATACAATAGCATTTCACTCGCACAACCAAGTTATACTTTGTATTTGTATCTGACTTCATTAAACATTTATTTTTAAGGATATTTTATATAGAATATTATCTTGAATTGCGTAAATATTTAAATATTTTTAATGTGTACCTATTATCAAAATGTAAACGTTGTTGACATTAGCGTACAAGTAAATTTTACATAGGATGAGGAGCAGGTTGTAAGATCACTTTAAAGATAACACTGTATAATCTTGAGATACTCGAGATATACTTTCGCCACAAGAAGGAAAGCGATTGGATTATAGAGACATTCAACAGAATGGCGTTTGGAATAGGCGCTTTTGTATAACCTCAAACCCGCTATTCATGTCTTCGTTAATCACGAAAAACCTAGAGGCACGCGGCGGGTTTCTTAATACCATTGTATTTATAAAGGAAAAATACAATGATAATACTATTATTGTATTGTATGTTAAAGTTCGTCAGATTGACATATCGGATAATATTTAATCGCACTGATGATTGTTTTTTCTTTTTGTTTACCAAAAATTGAAGTGAGCACATTTTGGGTTGAGCCGGATGTTAAGAATACCACTAGACAGTATACTTAGATAAAAATTTTGAATTAAGTTCAGTGCAGATAATGGAGGTACTAAAATCAATAGCTGGATGTTGTAACGGGATTCCGTTAGCGAATATTTTTTATTTGAATTTCTTTATATTTAAAGTTGAATTATGGACGCTTATTTGTATAAATCCATCGTTTTCTGCGAATGGTGATATCGCGTAAGTTTAAATTTATATTGAAATGTATGAGATACGGCTAGTGCCAGCTAGGCAGCTGTATAATTGTTCATCAAGAATATCAATAACAATACATTAAAAAATAAAGGTAAGTTCGGTTTATTTAATGGGCCGTATGGGTAATTTAAATAAATTATTGTTCTAAACGTAAATGATAATTCGTAGGTGTGGAATAACAATATTACATATAGAATTTTCCTCTCCACAAGATTGCTCTGTGCATATGTATTCTTTTAGTAATTTGTTTGTATCATAATTTTTATTATATTATCTGTTCCATGTATAAAGGCTTTAGATTAAACCCAAATGGAATCATCAATCAAAGTGGGCGATATCAAGGTTTTCATTTTGTGTACAGGGTGCCACTAATAATGGTATATGGTACCGTTAATTGCACAGCTTCGGGAAAAAAATTCTGTTAACAAAAGGGGCCAAGAGAAATCGCTAGAAATTTTCTAGCTTTGCCACTAGAGGGCGCACGATTCATGGTTAAGTAGAAAAATGACTTTTTTTTCTAAAATATACCCAACAAACATGCATAGCAATCTTGTATCAATTTTGCATCATTTCGATGCAGCATATATTTGCTCTAGCACATAAAATATGAGGAGTATGGGAAGGGGAACATCTCTTTAAGGAATTGATATTGAATGTAACTTCGGCTTAGGGTAACAGATTTTCACATAATAGGTCTTGTTGGAAAGAGCTCTCTTGGCGGAATGAGGTTTTACATGGATAGAGTTTTTTTTAGTAAATATGATGAGTGGTAGAGGGCGCGATGAGACATTAACATAAGTTTTACAGGTTTTTTTGAAATTGGAACGATATAATTATTATATCATATATATATTTTCAAATGAGGTGAAAAAGTGAAAATATCGGTGAAAACCGCATTTTGAAATCTGTTTTCTAACACGATGATGTTCCGGAAGTGAAGGTTATTTAACTTGTAAAAAAATTATCTTAACCAGTTTCAATAAGTTGTCATGAGCTCATTTTGAGTGCTCATTTTACTTAGGCACTTTATTCTTAGTTATTGTTACAATAACTTACATAATACTGAATTGTTATTTCATAGAAATAATAGTGAGGAACTAATAATACCTACATATTACATTGTTCTAAGAAAGTTAATTAATGTAATTAAATTGCACAGTGCAATTGTTGTCGAAGTGCACCATAAGACTAATTATAGAAAAAGCTATGCAGATACACATCACAACACGCTAGAGGGTAATTACAGCTTACTACAAAAGACATCATTGAATCCTAAATTATCGGTGTCCTTTTTAAAGTTTGCCGCTTCCCTCCTTAGCTCCATTCGAATAAGACCCATTGCTACGAGGGCCACCAAAATTAACGCGGACATGGCGGAGTTAGCCCAAATATCGTTAAAATTATAAAACAGCGTCGAATATATGTACGTAAATATAATTCCCAACCCTTGTCCGCAACCGTTCAGCAAACCAACGGCCATACCTTCCGGTTCTGGGTATGTTATTTCGACCGCAACTTCAAAACACACGGACCACAGCGCTCCGACGTAGAATCTGCAAAAAAACTGCCCTGTTAACGACTTTTATCACTATTCTCGGTTACTTACCCCAGGAGACCGACGGTGGCGTAAACTAGCATAATGTCCATGCTGAGGATGACGGTAAAGACGATTAGAGTAAGAAAGGTCACAGTTTGCAACGACAGTAGTGCTCCTCTGAAAAACTACCGTTTAGATTCAAACTTGCTTTACAGCGGAACTTACCTGTAGCATTTGAATTTATCCAAAATTGTTCCACTTATCAGCGAACCGAAAATACCAGCGATCACCATTAATAGCCCAATGCGCCCGGCGTCCACAAATCCATTCTGAAACGAAAAACATAGGTAACAGTTAGTAGATGCTTGTGTATTGTAAGCATTGAAGTGCTTTTTTGAGAAAACCGCAAGCCTATTAGTATGTTCATTGGGACGTCATACTAATTTTTTTCGTAAGCAGTATGAGCAAAGGGCTTAATAAACTTGTGACATAACCTTCCGATGTAATCACAAACATCGTTTATGAAATGATAGCTCGTAATGTATCTTTTACAAATTTTATCTACAAGGACTCCTGCGGTATCTAAATGTTGTAATAGTTGTGATTGTTTAGACGTAGAGTAAAACAATTCGCGTTGAAAATGTGCTGCGCGTGATAAGCGATATTTAATGTTGTGACTTCTGGTGTTCCCCAGAGCGGTAACATGCGTGGAATGTTATTTACAGTGTCATTCCGTTTGGAGTGCTTAATGGTTCCGAAAACGTATTTCAATAAGAACCTAAGGCAAAGGATAATTGTGTACCTAGTCTGTGATAAATATGCGACTTCAAACCAAAGGCCTTAAAAACCCTCCAGACGGGAATTGTGCTTAATTTGTAATGTTACGATGTGGACTTTAAACTTATCGCTGGGTAATTTTTCGTTCAGATATTTTTGCGTCTAGAACCTTACTGAGAGAAAATGACTCCTTTTATCTACCACTCGCCGCAGCCTAGACTTTCTGAACCCATTAAGAGAACAATGCGCCATGTAAATTAAAATATTTAGAAAGCACGGTTGTGAATTCCCCTACTCACTAACGAATCTTTCTTTACAATTCCACTAGACATACAGTTAAGGGGGCTAGGGATAGAGGATAGGCAACACACAATGGTCACTGAAATTTGCAATAAAAGTCGAAACTTTTGAGTAATTTTTGAAGCCCAAATATTAATTCTAACTAGAGGTCTTATCGGAAATTGATAGAGATATAGAAAGTCATTAAATGTAGCGATTTATTTTTTTGATAAAATTATTTAAGTCGTGTATAAATGATAATCTTGAATTTACTAAGAACGCGAATACTGGCCTTAGTAAAAAAAATATTTAAAAAGTAAATCCGCACAATTTATTTAGTAACTAAGTGGATTAAAAAAATATATTACGAACTGCTTCAAATTATGAAATAACCCGTAATTTTTACTCAAAAGTTTATATAAAATATAGCGACGGAAGAAATGCAATACCTTCCATACAATGACGATAGGCAACTCAGGTAGCACTTTTACCTGGAAAATATTAACACCTAATGACCATTATACTTATATACAATGGTTTATGACCCTATTAGACCAGTAACAAAAGAATCTCAATGCCGTCCATTTATTCGTCTATTAGTACCAACGATAATTGACCGATAATTAAAAAAATATTGTACATCAATAAATGTAATATTGAGGAGTAACAACGTTTTAATTTTTTAGACCCGTTTCATACATTTTTTTCATACATTTGATGTACGTGTATTGTTACCTACTTATCAAAAAGCAATTTAATAATATCGATTACATAAAAATTATGTACAATTTGGACGATGTACCTATAATAGATAAACATAAAGAATTGTTTGTTGTCGGCACCTTCTTGAATCTAGCAGCTCTGTTAAAAAACTGTTCATACAAAAATGAATAATGTTGTGTCTTACATACTTTAGGTGACAAATCTCAACGAAAATTTAAACCAGCAATTTTGTCGACCAATGAAATGCGGATTTCGTGTCACATTTCCATGGCAACCAAGGAATTTATCGTCAATTTTTTGACGTAAAAAGGTAATAATGTTTTGACATAAAACGTCACTTTTTCGTTGAGGGTCACTATGCTGTGAAATTTTCTTACCGAATACCACAGTGCTTGAATAGAATTTTTTTCTTGCTCACGAATATTTTGCGAAAGTTCAAATATGTGTGAGCTCGAAAAGTTGCCGGAAATAGCAAGCACTAGTAGTATTACAAGTGATAATTTTTTATTTCAGCATGTCGTTTGTAAAAAATTGTCAAAGTCCTCGTGTGAGATCTTGTCGAAGCTACCACATTCCCTTCGTCGGTACTCGCGTCCGACGTCCCGTGCATCCCTAATTTGCGTTTGAAGTTTTACTCCACCATCAGTAAGATCTTGGCGGGGGCCACCACATTTCAGATTGTTTTCAAAATGGTGCCGTTGGAAAGATCTTGTAAACGGACACAACAACTGCGTGGCGAAAATTTGTTTTTTTCCTGGGTACAAAATTAACCTCATTTTACAAGGCGCACGTCTGCGCGGGGTAGTTGACTTAGGGCGCCCAAAAGGTATCTTCCTCTGCGAATTTTGTTTCTGAAAGCTCGAATCGCGATCTCTCTTTCTCGTGTGGCTAATAGACCTATGAGAAGTGCCCCAAAAATTGAGAACTATTTTGTGGAGAGTTTTTAGCCAAATTCATCTAAATGCGAATTGTGGGTGAACGGGACGTCGGAAGGGGGTACCGGCAAAGGGATTGTGTTAGCTTGCGATAAGATCTTTTTGATGGTGGCTAATACAATACTGATCTGCCACACAAAAATGCGCTGATCTCTCTTCGATCCCACACGAGGACTTTGATAATTTTTTAATCTACCTATGCTTTTGATAATTCCACTGTAGGTTTGACGGCTAGCCAAATAAACTATTTTCGTAAAGCATCAGGCGAATGTCGTGTTGGAATTGGAAAATTTCCGAAAATCTATTAAAACATTTTTTGTAATGAAAAATGAGTCATTTATTTTGTTGTAAATTAGATCAGAATTCAGATATATAATTTGATAAATGGGGGAAGGTTGAAAACGCAGCAAATATCGGGCTACATTGCGGAAGCCATGCGAAATATCGAAAACTGTTCATCTAATTGAAGAAAAGTACTATTCTTACATCCGCGCACCTGTGAAAATCGTTATCATATAAATTTAGAAATCTATAGGGCTGTAGTTTGATCGGATGTGATAATTGTTTAAATAAATTTGTGCTATGAACCACAAAAATTGAAGACCAGTTGTTCTTGTTTCGGAAATTGTTCCCTTCATTGCTCAAGTCAAAATCTCAAAAAGTCATTATTGTAAATCCCTATATAGGAAGTAAGTAGGAAATCTTAGAAAGTAATACATTAGTAATATTTTTATATAGGTATGTAGAGCTTTCAGCTTTGATTTCCTATTCTATATTCAAAGGTTTCCAGTATTAGTAAAACTGTAAAACATCAGCAGAAAGTTGAAATTCCATAAATCAGTTACTTTTGTTGAATAGCCGCTAATGAGGGTCTGGAATCTGGTTTTATTGTAGGAAGATGAGGTCATTTGCAGGTAGCTTATGCCTGGTGAAACTTGTCGAATTGCACGATTGGTTGCCTATATAATTATTTGCATAGGCGCAGCTTAAATTTTGAATGGCCTGTCCCTAGCCGCCTTAACTCTCCAACTTTTTCACCCTGTAGACTTTCTATATGCAGTGCCTAAACTGATCTAACCCTTAAATCTTTAAAATCTCAAACTTTGGCTATCTTTATAACATTCGCAGAAAATAAAACCAATTTTAGAGCTACCGTTACAGAGTCGATTTCCGTTTCGCTACATTGTAAGTATTTATCAAATGTTAGGTACCCTAACATGAAAATTTAGACGTCAATGGCACGAGGCGCTGTATATAAGATGTATAAAAATGCGAAATTTCTGAGTATTAAAGTTGGAGTTGAAAAAAATATCTACTTGTGGACCTTTTATGCCTTCGTAGATTCAAATACAATCAACGTTGATAATTGGGCCACTATAGATTCGCAAATGCCTTCGCGAATATCGGTTCCCTTATGCTCTCCCCACCCCTACTTCGCAATTATTTCGACAGTTGTAAACAAAAAAATCGGATTATGCAACAAATCCGCTGGTTTAACATCTTCCACAACTGTTGTAATCCCTTGAATAATGATGGTTGAATTGCAGTGTATACCAAATTATTAAAACTGCGTTTCAGTTATCAAAGAAATACAAAAATACATAATTATTAGATAACAAGTAACAACAAATAACAATTTAGATATTACAACCCACGCACAGGCCAGGTTTATACACGGATAGACAGACAGGCAGACCGATAGAAACTCGAGGGCATAAGCGTTTTGACTTTCTCGGTTAGCCCTAAACTAGAAATACTCACCGGATAATTTCTTAAAATAATTTGATTTAGAAGAGCAGACAGTGCGCAAAATATCCCAAGATCAATCCCAAATCCCGACATTAGGAGGACAAAGGGCTTGTTGGTCATCAGTTTCTTAAAAGGCCGCACGAATGTAATGTCGTGGTGTTTGGTACACGAGGCGGCGTACGTTGGTGGCGTTGGTGGTTTATCGGAAAAACCTGAACATACAAAATTTCGTCTAAATAAAGATCTAAACGCAATTTAGGGTTCTGTGCATAATTGTTTACATATTTATACTTACCCAGTATAATTATTATAACCAAAACTGTGCAAGTAATAGCAACCCCTAAAGCTATAGTAAACAGGTCACTTTCAATAACGGAGACATCATACTGACTTCTGATTACCAAAGGTGGTACGACAAATCCAATTGCGAAACCTAGCTGAAAAAGGATCTTCTTTAATTGTGTTGGTGTGGTGAAGTGGATAATTACCTGTATTCCTGCTAGACCAATTCCACAAGCTGAAGACACCTCGTGGGATCCAAACCATACAGCCGCAAGCTTTGGGGGTATGCCCATTAAAGCCACAACAGATACTGACACTACGATCTGGCCTAGTAGTAACACCCAGTATCGTTCGGGTGCTATTGATGCCACCTTCAACCACGCCCCGATAGCTATCCCAACAACGCTGAGAATCATTGACACCCTCAGGCCCTGAAATTATTTTGTTTAATCTCAGGTGCATAGTGAGTTTTAGTTTAGATTAAAGTTACAGTTCTGGATAAAGTTGAAGGAGCTAATTTGTCCGAAACTAGTACGATTTGATTTTTATTCTGCGATTTCTAATGGACTTCTTCTAGTATGCCTACTGTCTAAAAGTAGCGTTTGATCATAACATATAAAATCGTAGGTCATTGACGCTGGAAGATACAACTGCGATTAAGATAAACACACCAAAACAGACCGCAAATGTATCTCATTTCAACAGATACACCATGATAAGCATCGTGGTATTACAATTTTATTTAGAAAAAGAAGTAATGAATTAAATTTGAACATACTCATCTCTAAAGCAAGTATTCTCGATTCAGAAACACGTCGACTATTTAGTAACGATCACGACCTACAAAAGAGGTCGATTAAAGTAAAAAATAACATCTTACCACTTGAGAAATAGGTTACAAAATTGCGTAAGTTTCGTTTCAGTGGTTACAAATGTATTGAACCATTCCGTTGATACATCTCATCGCACAAACAGCCGTTTTTGGCCCTCTTCTACTCTCACATATCAGCAAGCTCTTTAACCTTCTCGCTGCACGAGTGCTTGTGCATAATTTCTCGCTAAAAAGGGCTTTGGTAATTCCAAACTGTAGGTATTTAAATTCATCATTCAGAAGAAAGTGTATGTAGTTTAAGTTCCAAACGGCAACCTTGCTGTGATTATTATTTCTGTAATGTATTTTTGTTTCTGATGAAGAAAACTCAACCCTTAAAGTTTCCCCAACGTCTCTACAGCTCAGGTTGGGTATGAATACTTTTCAATGAATTTCTAACCAGTGAAACAAAATTTACGCAACTTTCATTTCTCTCTCTAGTGGTAAGATGTTATTTTCTACTTTAATCGACCTTTATTAAGTAACAACTCAATCCACAAGGTGGTGATCATCATGAGTTAGAGTAAATGGTCGAGGGGTTTCTGAATCGAGGAGTACGATTCACACTCAAGAGTTCAGTATTGGTCTTTGAGACAATGTTTCATAAAAGTTGGGGTTGGAGACACCTCTGTAATCCTATTAGCGTAACAATGGCATATGTCCCTTAGTACTCACAGAAATTAATACTATACAGCTATTTCAAAGAAAGAAGCAATTTACCATTGGTACTCAAACAATCATATTTTAATAACGCCAAATGTTTGTACAATTTTTGCAGCAACTACATTTTCTTCAAAGAAAATATCACCTTTGCTGGTTATTTGGTTTTAATTCTACTGTAAGAGTACTTGTTTTGTACAGAGTACGTATACAATTTGTTGAAACGAAACAAATCCTTTGGACAGAGTAAAAATACTAATTTAAAAAATTCGTGGCTAGCGTGACCGAAAAAAATTAATGTTTGAGAAGCTCTGTAAGTTAGGTACTTCAACTTCAACATTGTCCTATGCTTTCCATACTGTACTTTAAAGCACGAATCGCAAATGTGGGTAAAGTTCTCACTAAATAGAGGTCGATTAAAGTAGAGAAATAGGTTACAAATGAAAATTGTGTAAATTTCGTTTCAGTGGTTACAAATTCATTGAACCAATTCGTTGATTCATTTCATCGCACAAACAGCCGTTTTTAACCTGCTTCTACTCTCACATATCAGCAAGCCCCTTGACCTTCTCGCTGCACGAGTGCTTGTGAATAGTTTGTGGACGCTAAAAAGGGCTTTGTCACTTCAAATTGTATTAAAATTCATGCTTAACGTTTCTGTGTTAGTTTAATCACTCAGAAAGGGTAAGAAAGTGTATGCAGTCTGCTTGAAATTCCAAACTGTGACTTTGCTATTATTTCTGTAACTTAGTATTGGTATCATCTTTGTGAAATCTTCATCAATAGCTCAACCCTTAGAGTTATAGCAACTCTTTGGTTATAGGTAGGTATTCTTGTTTCCATATTAAAGATGTGTGAAATAGGTCATTTTTACAGGTTGTGGTACTTATATGGAACTAGACTCTTACACTGATAGAAGAAACAACCCCATTACTGGAGATCAAGGAAAATGATCTTTAGTAACTTTCCCAAAACACAACTGTACCGTTAATAGCCGTGTTTATGTTATGACAAACACAGTGACGATACCTTTATCTAAAAACGATTACGGCTTTCAATCTTACCCTTGTAAACTATTCCATAATCACATATATTTACAAAGTAATTAGGTTAGTGGAAGAGTTAATGAGAATACTTACATATTTGTCCAAAATATAACTGACTGGAAACAAGCAGATGACGTAGCAAAGTAAGAACACCAGAGAAGACCAATTTACCGCTTCGAACGATATTCCATAGTATAGAATAAGGACGTCGCCAATAATTCCATACTGCATCCACTGCATATTTCCGCATGCACAACTGACAACATACATGAGCAAAATCACCCACCTCATCCTGTACAGTCTGTACTCTTCATCGCCGTTGATCGGTGCTTGCTTTTTGATGTCCATTTTAAGACTGAAAACAGATCGAGTTATCGAATCAATACAAATCTACAACTTGCTAATTAGTAAACTTTGGTGTTATAAAAAAGATAAAAATGACTTTCGTAACTTTATATTATGCTACTTAGAAAAACTTGTTCCGCGATATACAGTGCGCATTTGGCCATAATTACATTGTCTTCAATGTAACTATACTGTACACCTGAACTCACTGAGCAAAATAAATCTGCATTTGTCTGCGTCCACCTTCAAGTCATGGCCAGTGTGAATACCATATCTTGTTCACTCGTGCAGTTAGAGTAATAACGCAGACGAACGTTTACGCTGTATCAAGATCAAAATACAAATATCAACGGTTACGATAAGGTTCAAATAATGTTTATAATTATGTAAATATAACATGAAGACCGACGACGTATTGAATAATTTGTAACACGAGGGAGTTGGTACTAATGAGATTATTGGCATATACTAATCGAGCTCGTATAAGGCGTAACTAATTTATCTACTGCTGATAGCTGGTCATTTTATATTGAAAAAAAGGTACTCAAAAGTATTTGTATGTCCTAACACTGCAATGCATAAATTTTGACTGACTGACTGACAATTATTTTAATCAATAAATTAGTTTGTACCTACCTACCATCTGCTGAACCGTTTTTCCACTTCCCTTTCAATATGTATATTGACCTAAAAGTGGCTCAATTTCCTACGAAATTTGCAAGGCAACCATGTTTCTGTATGTTTGAGCAGGAAAGTACCTCCTATCATGCCATAATGGTGTAAAAGTTCCCTTTTGACACAAATAGTTGCGGAAAACCCAGAGAGGGTTTGTTCCAGAAAGACGATACCTATATAACAGGTAGGATGAGGAGTCAATCGTTAAGTGATATTTTGGCCGCCTGTCCATTACCCTATACATTGAAATAGTGTGCACGGGTATGCCCTCATCAAGGTCATTTTTATTCATGTAGGGGACCGTATCTGATTGCAATACCGACCACTGTGACGCACCGCGTATCTCTGTCACATGAAAAACCTGGTGTAACCTCTTCGCACTGGATCTAATGTGATACATATTTGTAGTGCGACAAATTATAAATCTCAACCAAAGGGAATTTTTGAAAAATGTGCTCGTTTTGTCGTCCAATTTGAGAAAGGAAAGAGACCAACACTGGATTTGAGGGGAATCCAAAGTCGAGAGCGCTAAAGAGCGTAGAACTATATAGTCTCAAGGACAAGGACAAACATCTCATTGCACAATTGCGTAAAGCTAAAGGAGGCCGCCTTGACAAAATTCTAAGTAAACATTGTATTTGTATACAATCATTTCAGAGAAACCGATTAATTTGTTCTACTACGGAAAATGACAGGTCAACAGACGAATCTTATTTTTCCTTAGGGAAAGATAGTACTGATTGACACGATTGTCCAATGTCCAACTAACTGAAAGAGATTTGTGTTTAATTTGATTCCAAATTGTAAACTTAATCGATTTCTACGAGTTCAAGGATCACTGCGGATTAGAAGTCGTGTTTCCGATTACGAGCTGTCAAAAAATTGAAAATCGTATGCGATTCTTCGTACATATCTTGTTTAATTGTGCCCACGGACACGGAGGCCATCTTGAGGCCTCCAATGAGTATAGCAATTCACAAAAAAACAGTTCAATTAATCCGCTTCTGCCGCTAAGGTAGAAAAGAATTTTTCCTTAAAACCCATCGCCCTCAACCTACGGTTATCAATTTCAGGTGGTTTGGTTTTTGGTTTAATTTGCCGAAAAAAATTCACCGGAAGTGCCTATTTTTAATAACATTCCGGCCAGAAAAAGGCTGGCAGAAAACTCATTTTGTGTTATTCAAGTTGCAAGGAATCCAGTAACAAAGATTTCATCTTGTTAGCTTATCACTACTGGTTCCATGCGTCCGGCTCTCGTACCTACTATATTACTCCTATTATTTACTTGTCATGCCTTCGTAGTTCGTGGTCTTTTATGCTATATGCTCATTGCTCTACCTACATACACTATATTTGGATAGTGTCTCGAGACCAGGCGAGACCAAACGAGACTAGACGAGACGAGACGAGACGAGACTGAACCAGGACGAGACGAGACTCAGACTTGGTCTCGTCTCGAGACAACGATGTCAAAACATCGATTTTTCGTCTGCGCAACTCTGTAAATTTAGATGCAAGAAAAGAAAATGTTGGGAAACACCGTGGGAAACACACTCCCCTTATGTGATGTTTTGTCCGTCTGTCCATCTGTCTTTTCCCCCGTCTAATTCGAGAACGAAAAGAGACAACGATGTCAAAACATCGCCAATCGAATTCTACGAGTTCAAGGATCAGTGCTATTGAATATGAGCCGGATTAAAAGTCTGGTTTCCGAATAGCAGCTGAAAATGAAATCGTATGCGATTCTTCGTATCTTGTTTTATTTCTTGAGTCATTTAAATGAAACTTTGTATATAGGCACCTTGAATACAAGTAAAATGAATACCAAATTAAAAAATATGTTTTACAAGCTATGCTGATCTGGTGGGACAGAATCAACTTTGCGCTTTAAAATAACGAACTGAATTTTTTTCACTTTTATTGCTAAATAATTTTTCGAAAAACTCGACAAATTAAATTCAACATAAAAGCTACTGTCGCCGCTCCTAGGTAACAGCTGCTTAGCTTTCGAAATCCACTCGGTACCGCTGGCTAATTGAAGCGAATACTGCTGATGGTCAGAAAAGGATTGTAGTTTTTGCTATAGTGACACTTCGAACTCGTTTCGCGTTTAATCAAGTCACATTAACGTAATACATATATATTTAAAAATATACACTCAGAAAGTAGCAAAGAGAAACTTATGGGGCAAAATTTATATATACATTTTGAGAATTAGTTTTAGCTTCGTACGGTATCGCTAGGGACGAAACATGCGAAAGATTTGGTTTTGAATTTACAAATTGACCATTACAGGAAATTTGATACGTGTTAGTACTGCTTCATTGTGAAAGAGTACAGAATTAAAATGCAATAGAATGAAACGCTTTCAGATAAGAAACGAGTGTGCAAGCAGATCAGAGTCACAACGCCCCAGTGTTGCCTGTTCTGAAGACCGTTCTTACGGAGCATGAGGGACGGCTTTTCTGATATACTTTTTCATGAATAAAAAAAGTAGCTGAAGCTTGGTTTGGGTTGGGTTCGTTTCGGGTTTTTTGAATTAGCGAACCTATATAAATCAAGCGCGGCATTTTAGACCGTTATTTTCAAGTAAAAGTTTCAGGACGAGTTCGGATACAGAAGATTTCACAGCCGTGTAATCATACGTAATTTTTTATGACTAAAGTGTATCTGTTCAAATAACAGCAGAAGAAAATAAAAACAAAATCGGCAAATTTCGGTTTGTCTGGCATATCTTCGGAAGTAATCGGAATTTTCCGGTTTTCGTTACAGTGTGATAATAACTCTACGCTATCTTCTTCCTATGGTTTCCGAGATTCCCATGATAAACATCACATCCGTAGCTACCAGCTATATAATATCAAATTTAAAATACTGGCACAAGATTCGGAGATTGTTCAGAAATAATATTGCATCATGTTACATCCTGTGGAAGAAACTGGCCTGTAGCATTCTTTTGTCGCGTTATGCAATGCCAAATTTTAACCGAAAAATTCACCGTGCTCTTAAACGGAAAAAGGTATTAAATTAGGGTGAGTTTGTTCTGAGAATATAATATGTTTTAGTAAGAGGTAAAACGAAAAAGGGACGGATTTCGAAGATTTTCGCCCCTCGCCATCTAAAAATGTTGCTTCAAGTTCAAGGTGTTTGCGGTCTAAACTATCAAGACAGCCTATTAAGAGCCAAGCAACGATTTATATTATTTTATTGTGTTGAAAATGATGCAATTTTGACGACATTGACATTGAAGAAAGACATGCGTGTAAATTAGAAGTTGCGTTATTGTAAAGGATGTACGTACGTGCATTATGTTTTGTCTTGTAATTTAAGTTAGAATGTAATTGTGCATTATTACTCAACCGCGTCTTTAATTTTGCATTTTCCCATAGGGTAATTACTGATGAGGGAGTGAACCTGTAATTGTTTCTAAAAGTGGCGCAATGATTGTAGTATCTAAAAGTACCTAAACTGTGTGCAATTTAATTTATTAGTAGAGGTCTGAGGATTAACGTCACGGACTTTCACAACAACCAATTTATTTTTTAATAATAATAGTAAAAAAACTGAATGGAAGAACCTCACAGTGGTTTCTTAAGTATACGAAGTAGCCAAAAGAACTAAAATCACCCTAATTTTAGTTATCTCTAACAATATTTAGGTATGTAGGTAATCTAAATTCATAATTGGTTCCCAGTAAGTAACAATAAATTTTTAAATATACTATACAACGACTAAATGGCGACAAAAATAAACCAATAACAAAGCCCCGTAAATTCCCACTAGTTCCCGTTACACCATACCGTAGAGGCGTAGAAGAACCGAAAAAAATTTTACTGGAACCGATGTCATTTGCCTTGTTCTTCTATACTATACCTATACGGACCACTGGAGTTACATTTTGAATGTGAGAAGTTTCAAATTTATATACCATTAGCACAGTAACGCCTGAAAGATGGTAAGAGATAAATTTTTCGTGGATTGAAAAAAACAAATTTAATTTCATATTTTGCCGTCTAGTTTTATCTTTTAAATTCTTTTCCTCAAAGATCAGACGTGTAGGTATATATGATAATTCATTTGTTTTAGTAATTAATACAGCTCCTATTACTTTATCTTGGGTAAAAACACTAATATTAATAGTAAGTAGGTATTTATACTATACTATTTTTTGAAGAAGGTGAACTCACAGTTATATTTTTGACTATAACTAAACCAAAGCAGTTGTAAAGACTGTCCTATTAAGAAAGTCGGAACCAAAACCACTATTCGTAAACTGTTCCAACACTAAGAGGTTTTCTGGAATTTAAATTGAAGTATACTGGTTATTAAAATTAAACCAGGACATGATGTACAAGGTGGGATTTATGGACTAATTCATCATTAGACGCATAATTCCAAATGCAACTTAATGCGGTAGTATTTTCCTTCATTCTTCATGCGTTAAAATTTTATTTTCAACGCTCTAATGAACAAATGCAAGTGAAAGTATGAAAATAATAACGACAGATTCATAATACAGAAATATTGTATAGTATACTGGACCCAACTTTTAGGAATAACGAGTAACGGCTACAAGATTTCGTAAACAATTTATTTTTTGACTTTTATATTTTTGACGAGCACAGTTTTTTCGAAGACATTGTTGTCCATATTCACATTAGTACATTGGCCGTGAATTACGAGCTAAATCGATACTTAATGATTGAGAAATTAATGCGCAGACATTCTTGGAAACTTGTACAAACAGTTCAGTCAATGTGTACCTTCTTTATGGCTACAAAAGTTTACCAATGCGACTGACGTCGGGAGAAATTTCTGTGGCCAAAAATCAACGAAAATGTCTGACTTCTTTAGGTTTCTCTAAAATAACTCGCCAACGGAAATACTTACTTATAGGTAAAATTATGTTTTATTCAGAATTGACACTGGGTGACTTAGCAGCGCTGCCCAGTGTGAAGGGGCACTTTTAATTTGACATCCTAGCATTCGTAGTTTAGGAGATACATCAATTTAAAGTCTCTTGTTTTTATCAATTTTTGAAAACGCCATTGCTTACGTTGCTGACGTAGAAAATTTTGGAAGCTGTTGGAAATGTGACGATGGAGTGCAAAAATCTTGGAGAGAATAAGAAACCTGCTTCTGCTATAAAATAAAGTTTTGTGTTATATACCCGGAAACTAACCATCTCGTGAAAGTTAATTCACTGAATACTTAAAATAGCCCTTTATCGTCCTGCATGTATACTAAACAACTAGTAAAAGTAGAGTAAAAGCTACAGATATGGAGTAATTCTATTGGGAAATACCTATCTAATTCAAATCTGTTGGATTTGGTAGTAACGATCATACCAAAAAAGAAACAAAAAATTCTAAATGTTATATAAATAGTTTCTCTGTTTCCATAGCTCCTACAATACTCAGGAAAATGCCATCATTAAGATAATCGGTATGTTTATGCACATTTATGTAAACAGTAAGAATAATAAACGGTAATTGTTATTTACATAAAAGTCAGGAAAGTGAAATTCAGGGACCCTTGTGCCTAAATTTTAAGAAATGGATTCATATTGGTCTCTCATTGACATAATTCTTTCCAAAGGTGAATAAGATCTCTGGGATTAGCTCTCCCCTCGGCTCTTCCTTGAAGATGAAATTGCGCAAAAGTGAAAGATACAATTATATACAATGCGATCAAAAATGAGTGGTTTGTTTGAATTCTGCACGTTCTATTTTTAGGAAGTTTAGTTATATAGAAAACTTGGTTGGTATTTTATACCACAGTGTTTCGTTTTAGTAATTTTGGAAATTCGTAAAATCTACAATAATACTTGGTCATCCTATATAATCCAGTTCAAAGTGAAAGGATCTAAATTCAACAAATTAAAACAAATAATTTTTAAAGCACTGAATAAGTAGGTACTTACCAGAATCTACACTCGCACAAACTTTTAACAGAACTAATCACAAATGTTTTTAGTGTGAGTACGAATAACACATTTCACCCGCTTACTTAGTACTTGGCCATGTCCCAGAACAATATTACCGTATCGAGAAAAGCCATTAGATATTAATTACCCAATAATAAAGGTATGCATAGTTCGCATGGACTACCAGTTATTGTATTACTTTGCTAACCGCCACTATGACGAAAGTTGCAATTCGACGTAGTGAGGTTTAGGCCGAGACGTGTTACGCAGTGCTTACAGCAGTTTAAATTGGTAAATCACAGGAAATAGGATTTGCTTATTGTTACATAACGATCTCATTTAATTGTTTATATTATGTTAGATTGCGGAGACAATTATAAAAATTAATATGTCATTTAAAGCCACAAAATCATTGGAACGTTGCATTGTTGGCTAATTACCCATACTTTACTTGGTTTAAAGCTTATATAAAAATTAATTACCTACACAGAAACTCCAATTATAGGTACGTATCGGGTAAGTACAAAGATTCAATGTCATGTTAGAGATTGGCAAAAAATGGGGCGCATTAAGCAAATGCTCACCAAATAACATCAACATCATTGGGAAACAGGGAACATTACCACAATTTCCCGCATATATTCTGCTGGATGTTATTTTAAATGTATCAAGGGCGCGATTTTTATCATAATTAGAGTCAATTAATTTCCATTTTGCATTCCATAGGATAGTTGTTTTTAGTAGATTATGAAACACGGTTGTGAATTGCTGCCGGTTGTAGAAAACATCTAATGTTTGCTGTACTTACAGTAAATTTATTGTCATTGGAAAACCAGAAATAAGAAAAGTCGATTATCAAAATTATAGCCATTTTCACATGAGCGTTAAGTCTTTGATATCTATAGATTTTTTTGTGAACTGCCAAGGACATTGTTAATTTTCCATGTAATAGTAAAAACCATTTCACTGAAGTAATTAAGGCGATATTATACGTGTTGCTCAAGCTGAACCATGGGAACGTCTTTTATAATGTAATTGCACATCTTTTTGGGCAACTGCATATGGGATGGCACCTCATATTACCTGGTAGCTCAAAGAGCATTAGTTGCCTCTGATGAAAATGTACAAGTTGTAATAATCGGGGTAACTGCCAGTAATCCAATTATTTAACAATCTTCGTGGTATTCCGAATAAATATAAGTGGTTTTTGCGAAAAATTCCAAATAAACAAAGAAAAACTTTTGTTTGTTAGTGTTTGCGATATAATTATATTAAAATTACCTATTCATGATTGTGAAACAAATTCACATGTATATCTTTTAATACTATTTGAATGGGTCGTCCTTAGTTTCTTCCAAGTTTTCCTCAAGCTTATCTAATGTTCCTTTCGCTCCTTTTAAGTTGTTCATCAATTTCTCCCAATTCTTACCAAATTCCTCTAAATCCTGCATAAACCACTTCTCTAGTCGTTTTCCTAACTGCCCTCGTACGGTGCTATCAAATTATTCTGAAGTTCTTCTATGTGACTTTTAGTTTCATCATGTGCTTAAATTCATTCATGTTCTCCTCAAGCATTATTCAATTTCTCCCTATGTTTCGTTTAAGTTTCTCTGAACTTATTCGTTAGCCTTTCTCTCAGGTGCCCAAGTTCATCTGAATATCCCTCCTATCATCGCGTTAAGTTCCCCACTAGTTCCCTTTAATTTCGTAATTGTTTTCACGTTTCTCTTATAGTTTTCTAAAATATACCTTACGTTCTTCTTTAACTCCTTTCACACTTATCCTAAGCTTTTCTTAATTTTCTCAGGAGCCTCTCTCTGTCTATCTTAACCTGATCGCCAGATTTTCATAAAGTTGCTCATTACATTTTTCTAGAGGCCGCATTTCTCTCAAGCTCGCCTCAAATTCCCACAGAATCTCTAAATTTCCCAACCACTTCGTCTCAAGTTTCTCAAAAATTCGTTGATCTCATCCTCATGTTATGTTCATTTAGAAGTTTTCCTCAAATCTTCATCTAGATATTTTCTCTTAGAATAATTGCCCATACTTTGAGCACTACAAATTGTTTGTCACTTGTTTTTTTTCGTTTTCGTTCGCTGAACGTTAATAAAATTGTTCAGCCAATGATTCCATGTTCCATGCAATAAATCGCAGGCTGACTTTGTTACAAATTATGATGTGTCTCACTTTCTCGCACTAGTAGAGAGGTTCTAGGAAAATTAATATTGAAATGAATAAAGATAGTGGAGATAAAAGTAGCGAGGCCTGAAACAAAAACACTAATAGGCAACATCAATGGTGTGGTTAATTTGTGAGCAAAAAAATAAGGTTGGCGGTTGCAAAGCTGAAAATAGTAAATATGCCACATCACTGGAAAACCCAATGGTCATGATTTTAAATTGGTGGGTTCGGGCCCAATTCCCCAAGTTGAGACTACCTTTGGAATCGCTTCTAACATTTTGAATCCCTTAATTTATTATATTCTTTTGCAAGGCAGCATCACGTTGCAATTTTTTTAGGCTTGGAACCCCAGTCATAATAACTAATGACTTTTACAGCACCCAGTTGGTGCAAATCTGAACCAGCGAAACTAATGCTGCTGTTTGGAGCAGTAGCGCAATCGAGTAAGGATGTTCCTCCAGCTAGGCCTAGATATTTCATCGTCGTGTAGAGAAATCAAAAAGTTTCGAAACAAATCATAAAATCAAATTCTTGTTTTACAATCTACCAGTGGCCCATCGAAGAAAGTACAGGGGCAGAAATTGAAACATGACCCCTGAAAAAACAACAGAGTGTAGGTACATTCTCATTACTATTAACATGACCAATGATGCTTTGAGCCCAATATCTCAAAGACTGAGGAGATACAACGGAAAAACTTTCAAAACCTAAAAACTTTAACGCCCTCTAAATCGGCAACGAAGCATTTGCGGATCTATGTTTATATGCACTTTTAGTCAAAATACACCCTTTCCATATTTACATCATATTTGGGAACACCCGATATTTATATTATCGCAATGAGTTAAGGAATGGAAACCTCGCCTGCATGAATTGCATTAGTCATAGTTTTGGATGGTATAGTTGATTGCTCAAAGTAACTGTTGAAGTCTGCGTCCCATTTTTTGAAATGATCATCGTTATCTTTGGGCTTCATGATTCTGCATCTCTACTTAGGTTTAATGTTGTCTCTAGGCGCTCATGTACATATGGTGTCGTGGTTTAATTCCGTTCTATTTTCTTTTTTTATTTTCGGGAAGTTCACCATCCGATCTAACGATCGATGGATTTGCCATGCTGTTAGATAATTTTGTTTTGAGATTGGTAGCTGTTGTATAAGTCTTGCCGCTTCTCCATCAACATATCTTTCTTCTTATCCATTCTTCTTTACTGGTACACGACTAAATTAGATCAATGAGTCATTTCTGTTAAAGTCTGTAATTACTGGATAATTCCTCTTCAAGGGATTATACCAATGTTAATTTTCTTTAAATTTTGAAAATCATTAATGATCACTTAGCTTCACTAACGTATTGATGCATGATCGATTTGATTTTGGTGGTGTTAAAATGTGCCTTTTCCTTCAGGGATCGCAACACGTTAATCAACTCAGTAGATTGTGGATCGGATTACAAGCATTTTGACTCCTCAAGCAATCGTAATTTCAACTAACGAGTGGATTACCTCGGGTTCATTGTTTCTTTTATTTGTTGTAGAATGAATTGCTAAAAGGGGCACTATACTATACTAAAAAAATAAAATTTAATTGCGAGCCTGCGCACTTTCTTTAAGTTAACAAGTTTGTTCATTCTATTATACCATGGTTGATACCTACCCGGGCCAGCCTTGGGAAACATTTTGCTTTCATGATAAAATATTAATAAAATATGAACTCGGATAAAGTAAGCTTCATTGTTATACAAAATCATGAAGATAACACGATAGTTCAAAAGACTCCCTTCGGTAGATCGGAATTAAAATAGGCATCGTTCTTTAAAGTAGGTACCTACAAAACACCCACTTATTTTAATAGCTATAAATTTCCACTGCATAATCGCAATAATTTTTTTTTAATTCCATTATTACACCAAATATGTATATGGTTTGCAGTTTTGAAATTATCGTAGTATTTGAAATAGTAAAACATTCACTTTTTTTTGTTTGACTCATTATGGTTACTGGTTGATCAATTATATGTGCTCTTGCTTCACGCGTAATGATTATCATTATACATCTAACGCTCGTTCTCAACACTTGAGAAAATTCTGGCTGATTATACATTACGTTTAAACGTACTTGTTTATTACCTTTTATGGAATGCGGTACTGAATGTTACTGAACGAATCCTTAAAGTCAACTTCCTCATTTCTTTCACCAAGTGGATCGATGAGCTTTACCAAAACCCGAAAACGCTCAAAATTTGCACAGCGGTGCTTTCGGAATATCAATAAGTATATTCCTTCCTTGAATATTTCGAAAATGTAACCACTTTTTTTTTCGTCTTGGTATAACACGTGTTTTCTTTGTCCACATTTACAAATACAATAATTTACCTAGTAACCCCAATAAAAGTGTCAATGTAAAGCTGACTTAGGGTCTGTTAAACCATCCGCGTCGATCACGGCGATGGAAGGCGCGCCGATGTCAGATAATAGTCGAGGGGGGAAGTTTGGTCAGTATGTGGTATGTGGTCATTTAGTCAAAGGACCATCTCATAGCCTGGAACGTTTTTGCGCAGGGCTATCGAAAAGGAACCCGAGACGGTCCTTGTTGGGGGTATTCTGGCCGGACATGGTTACGATTAGATCCGCTTGTCGTTCCAGCATCATTATGTTCATCTCATGTGTGGTATGGCTTTAGTGACGTTAAGGGTCGCCTCTAGTGTAGTACTGTAAAGGGTCCGAATTTGAGGCTTAGGTTGTGTAATCAAAACTCTCTAAACCTTCCCCATATAGTTTTTTATTCGTTGAAGTTTTTAAAAATAGCGACTATAGTTTCGGCGTACTGCCATCATCAGGCGACTAGAAGTTTATCACAATATAGCAAATTTGAAAACATTAAGAGCTAGTACTTACTGTGAAATTTAACAAGAAAATGGTAGGTTACAAACGTTGAAGACGAATAAGACGAACATGTTGTTTTTTAATTATTAACTGGCCGAAGCCAAGTGAAAAAACCTGAAGGGTGGTTAAACCGGAAAGGTTGTCCTAAGTTTCAAAACGAATTATTATCAAGCCTTGTTAAGACAACCAACCGGAGGGTTGAATTATTACATTAAAAGTTGAAAGTTGAATTTAACCTATAAATAGACAAAGTTTTAGATTTAAAAAATAAATTATCTAAAGGGTACTTACACATTTCAAAAGAACCGGGGGGAAAAAATAAACTTATAAAAGTTTTGAAACTATTGAGATGACTACATATTTAAATTATTTAAGTTAAGTTTAAATTCGAGATCATGCAGACGGCATGTCTAGAAATGATTGACAAACCGGTATAAGAGGAAACTGACATATCGATAAATTTATAAATTTTGAAAAGATATATAGGGTGAATTGAAATTATTGTAAAAACAGAAGATTGTTATTGAAGCCGAGAATTTCGTTAAGAGAGAGGTGCGGGTTCTTTTTAACTTGGTGGTGAATTTCTTTCAATTCCAGAAAGTTCAATCTTATACCTTTATTGCATATATGCAGAATTTCGAAATCGGTATTCGGATTCCTAGAAACGGGCCACTCCTTCAATCCGAACACCGATTTCGAAATTCTGCATATATGTAATAAAGGTATAAGATTGAACTTTCTGGAATTGAAAGAAATTCACCACCAAGTTAAAAAGAACCCGCACCTCTCTCTTAACGAAATTCTCGGCTTCAATAACAATCTTCTGTTTTTACAATAATTTCAATTCACCCTATATATCTTTTCAAAATTTATAAATTTATCGATATGTCAGTTTCCTCTTATACCGGTTGTCAATCATTTCTAGACATGCCGTCTGCATGATCTCGAATTTAAACTTACTTAAATAATTTAAATATGTAGTCATCTTAATAGTTTCAAAACTTTTATAAGTTTATTTTTTCCCCCGGTTCTTTTGAAATGTGTAAGTACCCTTTAGATAATTTATTTTTTAAATCTAAAACTTTGTCCATTTTTAGGTTAAATTCAACTTTCAACTTTTAATGTAATAATTCAACCCTCCGGTTGGTTGTCTTAACAAGGCTTGATAATAATTCGTTTTGAAACTTAGGACAACCTTTCCGTTTTAACCACCCTTCAGGTTTTTTCACTTGGCTTCGGCCAGTTAATAATTAAAAAAACAACATGTTCGTCTTATTCGTCTTCAACGTTTGTAACTTACCGTTTTCCTGTTAAATTTCACAGTAAGTACTAGCTCTTAATGTTTTCAAATTTGCTATATTGTGATAAACTTCTAGTCGCCTGATGATGGCAGTACGCCGAAACTATAGTCGCTATTTTTAAAAACTTCAACGAATAAAAAACTATATGGGGAAGGTTTAGAGAGTTTTGATTACACAATATATTTCAACCCCCATTTCGAGGAACGATGGATCCAACCCAAAAAAAAAAAAAAATTGAGGCTTAGGTACATCTGGACCCTGTCCACCCTTCTATCGTAATCAAGAATCCAGATATCAGACGCGATTGCGACCGGGATAAACCTTTCCAAGGAGATTTTCCCAATATGGATTTGCTCTAATTGATTGAAGTCCGATGTTGGAATTATCCTCAACCTCATTGCCGCACTTGTAGTAGGTATAGTCTCATAAATCGTGAAATAAGAATTAGGTCAACAAATGTCAATAAGCAAACCTCATCATGGCCTCTCGTTTGCGTTTGTTCTCGTTTAACATGCAATCGAGTTGAAAGAAGTAGGGCCAAGAAAAGGGGGAACAGAAGTTAGTTATGGCGGGTCTTTCCATCTTTTATTAGTTCCGTTTGATCTATTTTTTTCATGTAAAATTATATTAAATAATTTCATTGGCGTAATCAGGGTATACGTATATTGATTTTGTAGCATAGAAAGATTTTTAATAGATAACGTAAACGTAAGCAAGAGCCTTTATTTACTATGCGATGGTTCCCATCAGTTTCACATTCTTGTTAGGTGATGTCTATAATACGTTAAATGGTTTCTTTACTGAAACCAGCATTATCTTTATCCTTGAGAAGATTCGCGCTTGTCCTTCTAAGCTCTATACGGCTATACATCAGCACCATCAATGCCAAAAGTAGAAATCCGGACATTGCATTATTCGCCAATTTATCACATTTGGTAAGGTTGAAAAGTGTTTGATACAAACACGTAAGGGCGATTCCCATGCATTGCCCACTACCATTTAATATTCCGATCGATATGCCCTCTGGTTGTGGATACGTTGTTTCGATTACCGCTTCAACACTTCCAGACCAAAGAATTCCAGCGAAAAGTCTGTAAGGGCAGAATGATATTACGGTATTTCATTAAATGGACTTACCCAATGATGGTTACTGTAAGGTACACTAAGTACAGACTTATTTCAAATGTGTACGTGAAACACACCATCGCTGTTACAATTACAGTCTGTGACATTAAAAGGAGTCCCCTTTAAATAATGTAAAATAACGTGTTTAATTTTTTCTCATTGTTACTTACTTGTAACATCTAAATTTATCTAAGACGAAACCGGCGACTATTAAACCCATACCACATGCGAGTACAGCCAATACTCCAATCAATCCAGCTTCGGTGTATCCCCCCTAAAATAACACTCTCAGAAACCAACAACGGCCTCAAAACATCTACTTATGATATACAGGGTGGTGACTTGCGTAACGCATCATAGGGATTTCAATGTAAAATTCATAACATGCGATTATTGGCTCCCCAAATTATTTTAGAGCAAAAATGTATTAAGGTTTTTTGTAGAAAAAAATTGTTTACCTCAATCAACCGTAGTAGTTTCCAATGTTTTTCACAATAAAGACGGAAAATTGGAAAAATTAAAACCCCTATCTTTTTCAATAATCTGTGATGCCATGCGGAATTTTATAATACAAAACTACGCCAATATCCATCATGCCATGGAATGTCTGCTATAAAACAAATCAAATTCTATCAAAAAGTATTATATTTAGAACAGCGAATTCGACATAAAGAAAGACCAAATTCCTAAAAACGGTTTCCTAATATAACAATTTACAATAAATGTTAGAATAAGTCACCATTAACTGCAAGACAGTAACCAAGTAGATCATAAAATCAATTTCGAACTGCTGCTAATTGATAACTGGATATCTTTTTGTTTTAGAAAATTCCATGGCATCGCAGATTATTGAAAAGGATGCGGGTTTTATTTTTCCAATTTTCCGTCTTTATTATGCAAAAAATTGAAAACTAATACGGTTGATTGACGTAAAAAATTTTTCCCTACAAAAAACCTTAATACATTTTTACTCTAACATAATTTGGGGAGCCAATAATCGCGTGTTATGAATTTTACATTGAAATCCCTATGATGCGTTACGAAAGTCACCACCCTGTATTCCAAAAGCAAAAAATGAATATTTACCGGATGGTGTAATACAACAACTTGGTGCATCATTGTCAATAGCGCACAAAATACTCCAAAGTCAATTCCAAACACTGCCACGAGCTGTAGAAATGATCGATTTGTGAATAGCTTCTTGAAAGTTGCTTGCAACATACAACTACTGTGGACAAGATCGCTCTGAGCGGCGTGCGATGGAGGTGTTCGTGGAAAACCTGCAACGCACAATGGAGATCTGGTTATTTAAACTATTCTTACTACGCAAATTTACCCGCCCATTTTACTTACATATTATCACAAGAACTGCAAACGTTGTAGAAACAATCGCAACTCCTATGGCTATAGTGAACAGGTCATTTTCAATAGTTTCTATGCGTGCATGATTTGTTATAAGTAAAGGAGGCACCACAATGCCAATAGCAGCGCCAATCTAAAATTGAGTATGGGTACGTTGTCCAACATCCAAATGAGTGCAATGATCTAGTACTCCTAGTACTATATCCCATTGGCATACCTGTACACCGGCGATGCCAATTCCACCGGCAGTCGACAGCTCATGTAATGGAAACCAAGCAGCAGCTACCTTTGGAGGTATTATCAAGGAAGACACGCACGCTATTGCCACGACGGCTTGTCCTAGTACTATGACCCAGTATCTATCTGGAGATATTGAACCAACTTTAATCCATGCGCCTACACACGTTGAAAGGGCGGCCAAAATCATATTGATTCGCAAATTCTGAAACGTTTTCATTTATTAGTGTGGTCGTAAACCTTACTAATCCATAAATTGAAAGTCTGCTAACTACCTCATCAAACTTGGTTATTACTACCATTATAATCCAATGTACTAACGACCTAGATTTTATCGACGTAGGGTCTGTTAGGATCAGAGACTTGCTATAACTTGTTATAACAAGCCTCTGGTTAGGATAGTTCAGGAATTTTGAAATTTAAATAGGCAACACACCCTCCTATCGTCTTTTGTTCTCTTATCCTAATTATTTTTCTACTGTTCTACTGGTTTTGATGAAAATATCATAATGTTAACTTTTTCCTTCAGGTAAGATTTTCCACCGCGCCTTCGTACGCTTTATATTGACGGAAACCCAGTGTACAGAATGCTAAAATGTAAACACATCGGCACGCTACGAGTCGTACCGTACGAAGCAAGTGACTTGGCGTTGGCATATGTATCGATTGGTACGCGAAATAGCAGAGTGCGACATCAACGAAAAAATAAGAAGAATTTTATAATCCGATTGGGCCCAATTGTGAATTTAAATCAAAGTTTTGTGCATTGTTGTGATAAGTCAGAGGGTCAGAGGGGATAAGGGTCAGAGATGAGGCAGGAGGAGGAGTCACGAGAGATATTTGGTATCAGACTAGATTATAAAGTAAACAAAGGTCATCGGTATTGGGAAAAGGTTAGAAGAGATAGGTATTAATTGTGAAAAGATATGTATTTGACAATTCCGACGCGTGGTGCAGATTAGGCAACACACATTACATATGTACGCCTGGGTTTTAGTTTGCATAACGATACCTAGTGTAGGTCGATTGACAATATTTTTAGTCAGTTCATTAGTGAAGCGGCTGAAGGGGCTACTACGACGGGCAAGTCGCTAACGTGGTAGGGGATGGGTCTAGATGGTAAAAAGGTGAAGAAGCAAAAGCGGAAGTTCGCAGTGTTTAGAAGGTGAAGGAAAATTGATGGAAGCAGTAAAAAGAGCGGCTAATGGGACAAAGGAGCAAATAAATAAAATAAAAGAGATGATGGAGGAAATAGGAGGATTAGGGGAAGAAATGAAGAGAAGATGAGCAATGGGATAAGGAAAACGAAGAACTTATGAAAGTATTAAACAATTTTAAGAAAAAATAAACAGCAACATAATTATAAAGGGAGTAGAGATGGAACAAAGGGAAAGAGTAAACGGATAAATGGCTAAAAAAACCTACAAGTAGAGGAGAATGTAAAAGAGGTGAGAACATTCTATGTAAGGGGAAGTAAACTAGTAATCGCAGAACTAGCATAGGGAAAGAAGAGGGAGGTTATGAGGGGAACTGGATGTACATAGATGACGAGTTGACATATGAAGAAAGAAGCTTACAAAAAGCAATTAGAGAGGTCGCGAAAAGGGAAATAGGAAAGGGCAAGAAAGTAAGATGGGGATAGTGGAGATAATGGTAGACGATTTAATGCCAGATCAGGAATGAAAGGAAAATGGGTAAAGATGGGAAGACGAATCCAAGATAGAAAATCAAGGGATTAAGACTGCAACAAAGAGGAATTAGGAGAAAAGACAGGTTGGATAATTTTAAACGGAAATATGGAGGGACATGGGGATGAACAATTCACATACGGTATCCGATTGAATAAATACTGGAAGAAATAGATGAATTTAAGCTAGGAACAAGGATAGAACCGGACCACCAACCGATGGAATTGTACAGAAAAGGGAAATAGATAGAAAGGTTAGAGAAAGAAAGAAGAGAAGAAATAGAGAAGAAACAGGTGACAGAACAGAAAAAGGTACAAAAGGGAACGCAAAGAAAAAAAGATGGAGAAACAGAAAGAATACGAAGAGAAAATCAGGGAAATAAGAATAGAGAAGGATTTTTGGAAGGTGATAAACAGAGGGAAAAGGAAAAATAGAACAAGTGGGAGGGAACCACAATTAGATGAATGGAAACGACATGTCAAGTTATTACAAGGAAATCAAGGGAAGGAGGAGAATTAAGGAAAAAGAGGGCGGTGGATGGCAATGAGAGAGGTGTGGGGAATTGGAGAGAGGGTACTGATCTTACAACAATGTACGAAACGGAAATATGAGAGTGGAAAAATGGGAACTTGAGGAAGGGAATGTTAAACGTACTCCAAATTGTAAATTAGAGAAAGAAACAAAAATGGAAGAGATAATAAACATCGTCGTGGCGCAGGGTGCGGTAAAATTCGGGGAAAGGAGCGAGAGAGAAAGCCAATTGATGGAAGAATGCTTGACAACGAGGATGAACGCAAAAAAATGTGGGAAGAACAAAGATGAAAATATTACAAAAGGAAATGGGTACGGACGGGCTGAGGTCGCAAGGACTAAAGGAGGCCAAGATGAAAAATGAGCTGGCAAAACGGGATGCACAAATACAACAACAGAGGGTGAAGTTAGACAGCGTACGCGGAAGTAGCAATTATAAAGATTTAATAAGGATGTTGTTACAAGCTGGCATCTAATAAAGATTATTAGTTGATTATTGCGTAGATTGTTAAACTTCTTAAAATGATGTTTCGGGCCTTACGATTCTTTAAAATTTTTTATTCTTCCCATTAATAGGTTACAGGTTTTTCCATCTTTGGAATTCCTTAGATTACTCTGGTGATGCCTCGGATATTTTCCAGTAAAATTACAATTTTTAGTCATTGTTCAGTTCTTTCAGAATCATAAAATTCTATTCTTGGCCCTCTTCTTTTAATTCTAATATTTCCGATTTGTCAGATGTTTCATATTTTTGAGTATATTAAATTTGCTATAAATTCTGAACCTTCCAATTCTACTACGCTGCAGATTCTGAGAGACTTTTCATATTTTAAAGAGTACAACAATATGAACATTTTGAGCCATAAATCAGCTTTCCTGAGCTAGTAGATTTTTCGGACGATTACATTTTTCCGTTTCTTCGGATAGTCTAGATCCATCAGTGCCTGTAACGGGAGCTCTCTGGCGGATTTACATTGTTTTCGAGTTTTTAATCTATTTAGATTGCGGACGGCCGTTTAAAAATGTCATACATACCGCTTTATGTTAGTAGTAGTTAGTAGTTAGTTGGTAGTAATCGTAAGTCGGTTTATTCTTCACTAAACACTTTTATTTTTAAAAAAAATGCGTATAGCAAATTCTGGGATATCAGGGATTGCAAAAAGAAATCTTAACCTGTAATCATTTGGGATAGTTATAAATAATAATAAAATTTGAGTTTTTATATGCATTATAGACAACATTGCTGCCTTACAGTTACACTAGTAATACTTACGTATTTATCGAGGATATAACTAACAGGGACCATGAGAGCAACAAACACCAAGAAAAACACCATGGAGGACCAGTTCACTTCTTCGAAGGAAATGCCATAGTAAAACGTTACTACATCCCCTATAATGCCGTATTGCATCCATTGCATATTAATGGTCGCCGATACTAGCACCGTGATGAGGAGAACTAGCCACCGCTTCTTATATACTTTGAAATGTTTCACGCGTTCTTCTTGGCGGCTCATCGTGCGATTGTGTAGATACTTAGTGCAGGTTTGAGGTTTTGCCATCGGTACTCGTGTTTTTTTTTGATATTGTAAACAATATCGTGGCTGATGAAAGATTAGATAACTAGCACCTTGTTTTTGTCATTTGTAATTACACTCCCGCTAAGATCTAGATTATTAGTTATTTATATATCAAGGGCATTAAGGCGATATTTATACTGAGGGCGACAGAGCCCGAGGGCCTCTGGCCCGAGGGATTGTAAGTCGCCCGAGGGTTAAATATCGAGTAATGTCTGATGTGCATACAACATTTTATTTTGTATTAAAGTGCTTCATACGAATCAAGTAGCATCTTTTTTTTATTACATAACTCCATCAATATATTTGACAGGCAGTTTGACCGCATAATGAGATGACAATCCATCATGCATCTTGCATCCAGTCAAGCTATCATATAGTGTATAACAGATTAAGCATCGCATATCTCATCGGCAATAATATCCATAACTGACATACTCCTCCATAACGAGCCCTCAACTGATGCTGATGGGTAGTGGTTGTTTGTTTGTCGAAATAATAGTTGTCTTGACACTTGTTTTCTGTTTCTTCAGTTGGATTGGTAAAATTTCCCAATAAAGACACATTATTTTCTATTATGCTTGCAATTACCCATTGGATCCCTCTGATGACTATCGAAAGCCCTCACATTTCAAAGAAAGGGATTTATTTGTCGATGTTTGTGGCAAGGTGTGTATACAATAAATTATTGTTTGTAGGATTTTACGATTGGTATTTGTTAAAGAAGAGAATCCCAAATCGACCAGTTTTTAATATAATAGCTACTATAGTAATCGTTCATTAAGTACATGTAGTTCCCTAAACAGAGAACGCACAGCCCATTGCAAACACTTACTTTTTTGTAAAAGAATATATACAGATTTACGGGCAAATAACTTATATCTTTGAATATAAAATATAGCTTAAATAAAAATCAAATTCTATCGCTATATGTCTCACTAAATCATAAATTATCGGTATCTTTTCGAATATTCGCCCCATCTCTCCTCAGCTCCACACGTACGAATACCAACAAGACCAATGCCAAAAGTAGCAACGCAATCATTGCGTTATTCGCCCAAGTGTAATCGGTGTGTGTCAAAAGTATTTGATACAAGTACGTTAGCACAATGGTCAGCCCTTGCCCACTTCCATTTAGTAAACCAATGGATATCCCTTCCGGTTGCGGATATGTCGTTTCAACAACTGCTTCAATATTGCCAGACCAAAGAGCTCCACTGCAAAAACTGCAACCACATTATGAGGTTAAAGTCAATTGCACACTTACCCAACTATAGACATGGTAATGTACACTGAGCTTATGTGCAATTCGAAGGTGTACGTAAAACAAACCATTGCGGCTATCATTACTACCTCCGATATTATGAGCAACGTCCTGTCGGTATAAGTTTCGTGAATCTTGCTGTTTCGATTACTACTCACTTATAACATCTAAATTTATCCAAGATAATACCGCTCACCGTTGAACCTAAAATGCCAACAACTACCCCCAGTATACCAATGAATCCGGCGTCTGTGAATCCATCCTAAAAATACACAAAGTGTAATAATGCAACATCGTGCGTGACAGTAATACCGGATAGTGTGCCAATACTATTTGATTTAGCATGGCTAGCAATGCAGAAAATACACCAAAGTTAAGCCCAAAAACTATCACGATTAGCACAAATGCTTTGTTTGTACATAATTTCTTGATAGGTGGCAGAAACGCCGTTTCCTGATCTTGAGCATTCTGGGCGGCGTGTGAAGGGGGCGTTTTTGGATTACTAGGAAAACCTGTAACGGACAATCTTAATCACAAGAAACAAGACTAGCGGTACCAACATATCACCGCCACAATAACTAGCGCTGTAGATATTATTGCAACCCCAAAGGCGATAGTGAACAGGTCGCTTTCGATTATTGCTATAACACTATGATTCCTTATAAGCAAAGGGGGTGTTACAATACCAATGGCGAAGCCAATCTAAAATTCAAATGGTTCAGATTAGTTATAGTAATTTAATGATTGCTTTAAATACAATTTTTAATTTCTATTCGTCTTAATCTTCCATGTATTGTATTTCAAACTGTAGCTACTGCCTACTGTGTCTTGGCACACTTTCTCTTTTAGACTGGTTCACTTTTATAAAAAGCAGCGTTTTAACAGGTTCTAGGGGCATTTCAGACAACATTTGGCCAAATAGGCGTTTTTTACTAATTTGGACCTGCTGAACACGAATATCGATGTTGGCATCTCGAAATCTGAACAGGAAGTTCAGAATTCAAGATGGCGGCCAGTTTCCGAAAATGTTGATCTTTTCACTCATGCGACCGATTTTTTCGAGCTAAAAACGGATTTTAATGTTATTCCTGACGGAGGTACGGCACGATAATAATAGTGAACAAATGTTTAAATAATGATTTCATAGTTTTTCTAACGTCAAAGTGCATAAAAGTGGAAACTTTTTTTTCATAGTACTGTATGGCTACTGTTTAAATTTGTTCACATCGTGTAATTATTAAATTATTTCTGTTTTGGCAAGCATTTTGGTTCCTGTGCGTCGTGTGATAGATATCCGCGATGTTCCATTACCTCACATATGGAAGAATTTCCTTTCATTAGAGGAAAACAAAAGAAATCTGATCGAGTTCTTGTCGCATCACCTTGAAGACGCCTCATTTGACGGCGTACTGGTGATTCCTGGAGGCTTCAGTGATGAAAGAAAAGTTTTCTGTAACCGTCAGACGACACAGATTTCCTCCTTAGAAGCTTTTCACAAGGAAGCGGATACTAGGATAACGCTACATATGCAGATGTATTTCTGTTGCTTCTTCATCACTTCGAGAAAATACTGGCAAACTAAGTTTGGTTGCTGACCGGTACTTCAAGAAAGATATGTATTTGTTCCTATCCATAATGATGTGCAGAGGGCCTGGCCAAAAGCAGTAGTAACGAATATCCTGTCCTTTTACGCTATCACAGGAAGTGATGTCACGTCATTGTTGTTGTGAATTTCCACGCTTGGATGCATTTATTTTTATTTATTTATATTTTTTTGACCTTTATCCTCAGCGAGAAGATATATTTTTTGCAAAAATCTTCGTGACAAAACTATACAAGGTTGGTATCATAACTAGGTACATGAAACTTCACTTGTTCAGAGTATCGACCTGGCTCGCATATTTTAGGTGTCTTTTCCTCTATTTAGGTAGCTGATACCATAGTTTCCACCGATGGTGCGCGTCCCGCTTAGTTCGGTAGGGAGAAGTCGCTACCAGACGTCCGTTTGGAAGAATGCGCACGTTCCTGGCCCCATCTCGGTTAGGTAGGATTCCCAGAGTGGAGAAGCATTGCCAGGTTTCAGGAGCTGCGAAGCTTTAGATCTAACAATTCTGAACTCCATTCTCTTGGGATTCCATCTAATCTTTTCTTGCATTTCATCCATTTCCCTAATTACGGCATATCAGGTGTAAAACGCAAGAGGTACTTCTTTGAACTTAAACTCTGAAATGTCGCTCAGGCTAGCATCTCTATCCTTGATTTCCTGAGGAAAGAATTGAAAATGGCTACATTCCCATTCTCACAACGTGAGATTAATTCCGAAGGCTGCTCTAGATATCGTCCTTTGTCGTTGTAAATAGGATTGCTCGTCAAAACTTTGTTAATGTTGCAAGGCTCAATTGATTTGTACTACCTATATTCTCAAGAAGACGATTGACCTAACCATGAAAATAAGATAAATTTGTCTTCACTTTTCATATACTTGAATAATAATAATATATCCTGAGTAACGGTAATTAATACCTAGCAAAATAAGAATCTTCCGAAACACCACAGTTTAGTTGAACTCCTTCATTTTTTTCATATAAGAATTAACGTAAAATTCGAAAGATTGTAGTTATCAAAACTTTACAAGGAGAATTATGCAATATAAACGCATGCCGGGAATACTGATATGTGTCAGGATTACTAGAAACAATCGTTTTGCAAGTCGAGCTAGGAATTTCGCAATTCTTAATTTTACGCATCCTGCCGCTAAAAAAAACTATTACATTATTGTTAAAACAATAGTTAACTATTATTATCGTTACGTACGTCAGGAATAACATTATAATTAGTTTTTAGATCGAAAAAATCGGTCGCATGAGTGAAAAGATAAACATTTTCGGAAATTGGTCGCCATCTTGAATTCTGGACTTCCGGTTCAGATTTCGAGGTGCCAACATCGATATTCGTGTTCAGCAGATACCAATTAGTAAAAAAAAGCCTTGTTGGCCAAATGTTGTCTGAAATGCTCCTAGGACAGAGAAACTTCGAAAAGTGAACCAGTCTATTTACCTAACAAATAGAATTTGGGGGAAGTTCTTCAAAAAATGACAGAAAACAAGAAAATAACATGCTGCAAGAATTTGTGCGCCGACCTTGAACAGGACGTGTGGGAGCAACCATGTAAGATTATCTCGGGCAAGTTGGCTGCATTGATTGTCACCTATTTGTCAAATGGTAATTGTGACTGAATTTAGGAAGTGAAATAAAGAGATTTAAAACCAACGGTTTAGAATTTAAAAGTGATGTCAGAAGTGGGATTTCAAAAAGTGGTGCTTTTCACCGAGTTCCTAGAGGCTTTGTCAAACATGATAGCCATTGCGATCCAGGCAGCAACAACAACAGCGGCAACTAACGTCACTCCACATGGGACAAACCAGAATACATGGGCATAGTGAATGCCCGTGGGCACAGAACCGAATAACGCCCTAAAATTTGGCTCAATCCCGTGAAGACCTCTTGTACATTGATATAAAAAAGACGTTTATTAACCATTTTGATCGAATCAAAAACAACTATGCAGTGTCAAATTCCAACAGTTTTCCCAACGAGAAGAGGAGACAGCCGCACAATTCCCCCTTCGTTTGAGGCAAAGTGCGGCACATTGCGAATATGGTGAATTTCTTGATAGAATGCATGAACTTAAAGCGACATAACACAGCGGGTGAGATAATGTTCGGTGACTACTGCACCTGCACCAGAACCTGCAAATAAATTAAAATACGCAACACCCCATATCAAACGTGAGCTGAAACTTTACCCTGTTAAGTCATCATCTGGAGACCCGTCAACACTGTTTCAAGAAATTCAATGGGTTCTACAACGAGGCATGCAAGAAGCTGGAAGTATTGAACAAGAAAATGTAGATTTTATGGATTATTTAAAAAAAAGTAAACATCATTGGAGACACGAACACCCCGAGAGCCATAATCAGTGAGAAAACTCCACGCACTATTAAACCTCGATTTGCATTGCAGAATTCCGATAAGTAGTTTTCTAGTAATACACGACATAGAATCAATTGCCTTGGCCGACTCCCTGTACACGTGACGATTGGAAGGCAACGCTATGTAAGGCATTCTTTATGTTATCGTGGGTGATTTTGAGACCTTTTTGAGTCGAAAATGCATCTCACACATCGGCTCTGTAATTAATTTTTTCTTGAACCGGAGCAAATCCGCGCAGTGTCTTCGGTGGCACCCTCCCCCGCATCAAAAACTGCAGTTGGATCAACTGTTAACTGCCTTCAGTAACATGGTTGGTCTACTACAGGGTCCACACTGTTACACTTGAAACCTGATGCACTACGCGACACGTATGCCCAGGTAATTGCATCAAAAATCGCATTGGGATACTACAACAAGGTGGAGTATTTCAAATGGGCGTCAACTTCATCAAGAAGAATGGAAACCTGAGAATTAAGGGTAATTTGAAACCCACCCTTGCATTTTCGCATGATTATCGACGAACATTCAATCCCCAAACCCTAACACATTTTTAACCAGATGAAGACGGAATATCCCAACCCGTGGATTGCCGAATCAAATACGCATGCAGTCTCCGGCGCGGCAAATATTTCAGCAATATGGCAGCGATGCATGGACTCTCTAATGCAAGAAATTTTTTTGACGACTTTTGACCTTGGAACAAATAAATTCTCACGGTCTTAGATTTACCCAACGAAAAATGCGTTTTCGGGGCTACTTCAATAGAGGTTCTTGGTAAAAAATTCGATGCTGAAAATATTCACAAGTCAGATAGTCGTGAGGCCCCCTGTGATGCACCAAAACCATCGTGACCAGAATATTTGCAAATTCTCTTCGGCAAGGGTACCTACTATTCATTCATTCCAGATCTCTCAACACGAAACCGACCTCTGCGCAACATGCTGCTCAAGCCACCTTACGAATAGATACCGGAAGCGGAAAAAGTATTTTGAAGACATCAAAAATGCTTTGATTTCGCCCCAGGTTCGCTGATCCTAGCAACAGACGCCAGTAAGACGGGCCTTGGTGTCTTGTCACACCGGCTCAGGGACGGACGAGAACGCCCAATCGCTTATGCAAGCCGAACCATGAGCCTTACCGAGCAAAGATACCCTCAAATCGACAAAGAGGCACTGGCCATAGTATGGGCGGTATACAAATTTTTCTTCTATTTATATGCTCGACATTTCACACTGTATACTGACAATGAACCACTCTCGCAGGTCAATAAAACCTGAAAAATTCTCGGCTCTGTGTCAATCAAATCCGGTCGCACTAAAATCCGAATTGAAAGCAACGATCTGGTATGATAATAATAGACAGTTTCTTCTGCCGTACCGTCTCTTGCGTTACTATGGAACAGATTCTGCAACTCCAGACATTATCCCAACAATTGCGAACCACGATGAGTTGCCTGGGATCCCAGGCCTGGAATAAAATACGTACTTTCCAGGGAGTTCGACTGCCTCCACCATGGAAGGTGCAACCAATCGCCGGAATGTCACGAAAAACTAATAAGACTACCCCACCGCAAAACATTCCACCGAGAACCAGCCACCCCGCTCTAACTACTAAAGTAAGATGGTATTTCTGATGAGACAAAGACATTGGGAGAGGGGAGGAAATGTTGTGTTTGCTCTTTGTCAATTATGATTGTGACTGCATTTAGTAAGTAAAATAAAGGGATTTGAAACGAAGGTTTAGAATTTAAAATTTGGAAAAAGAGGGACAGTAGGTAATCGTCTTCAACGAGGCGATCGTCAACAAAACAGGGGCTATTTCAGATGCAAGTAAAGGAGGCGGCTATGAAAAATTGAGAAATCCTACTAGAAAGACGAGCTTAGAGGGGATACACTCGGTTAAGAGAATGTCTGAAACGTCATGCGTCATCTGAACAATGTGAACATCATCATTTACGTCTTAGAGGTGTTGATCACGACTCCCGATGAGACGAAACATGCGTGAACATCACATCAGGTATCCTGATTATAGCGATTCGTAGAAGACGATGTGCCGTGTACAAAGGGTTGTAACCTAAGGAAACTGCTGGACGAGTTCTGGCCGGAAGAATAAAAATGTATGCAAACCCGGTATTAAGACAAAGAGAGGCACTCGCGAAGCTATCAACAAAATCAACGGTATCGCTCTGAATACGAAAGAACTTCCCAATGCTAAATTTAAACTATTTAGAGTGTTAACAAGAACGTTTCTAAATGGTTTTTTGAGGACGATGCTTGGTGTAATTAACATAAGTCCTTACTTTAAGAGTGTAACTTCTGCATTTACTCTGGTTGCGCACGTAACGATTAAACACTCGTAACGAAGGACTATGGAACCTTAGCTTCTTTTTGTATAGGAAATCAACAGACAGTTTCACCCCAATACATTATTATTGATCCTACAACAGGACAACGTTTAGATACGATAGAACGGCAAAGTATAAACTTGTGAATTGTATCAACACCTATCGCTTTCACACTACCTGTATACCTGCCACACCGATTCCACTTGCGGAAGATACTTCATGCGCTGGAAACCACACGGCTGCTACCTTTGGGGGAACTATCATGGAAGGCACTGCAGCTATAGACACCACGATTTGGCCAAGCATTAAAACCCAATACCGATCTTGAGAAATGGAAGCTACCTTGATCCAAGCACCGGCAGCAGTGAAAACGGCGGCCAGAACCATATTGACTCGAAGATTCTGAAAATAGTACCGTCCAGTTTATCTACTATGCCATACCATTTACTTACATATTTATCCAGAATATAGCTAACCGGGAACAGCAGAACGACAAACACTAATAAAAATATCATGGACGACCAATTCACTGCTTCGAAGGAAACGCCATAAAACAACGTCACTACATCCCCTATAATACCGTATTGCATCCATTGCATATTGGCACACGCAGAAATTAATACAGTGATTAATAAAACCACCCATCGTATTTGGTATACTTTAAAAGGTTCTACTGATTCGTTCTTCATGTCGATTTGTGTTTACACCATGCATGCGTAAAGATAAAAATTCTAATCCGTTCAGATAATTGTTCGGGTAAATATTTATGAATCTTACTCAATCAGCGAGACAAAAACCTATTAGGTAATCCACAAACAACTTCAAGGTTTGCTCTATTCTTAACAGGTTTTCGCATCTCATTGTATTTAATTAGCGTTTTTTTCACGATTACGGATTTTGGTTACGATACTGTCGTTATCTGTAATACGATGGGCGGCTGTGTGTGATAACACGATAACTAATTATTTTATGGAAGTATTTATTGTAACGTTTTTATTATCGACATTACAATATACTAGGCGAGAAATGTTCGAATGGAAGGGGATCTGGGCCTTACACTGAAAATGCCGGGCCTAATTCCGTCCGTCCGTCCAAAGAATCAGATCTAAATACTCAGACCCCGCAGGCGGATGGGTTTTTATTGATTCGCTTGGTATTAACGAATATAGATGAAAGGAAAAGATTTTTTAAGAGTTCCAGATTTACATACAGCTGGTATGTCAAGTGTAGTGCAAATTACAGCTGACATTTTCTGCTTATTTTTGAAAACCTATCGTTTCTGTGTCTTGCGTATATTTCAGTGTACTAAGTTGCAAAAGGTAATTGCAAGATCAATTTTCACTAAATAAAACTGCTCGCAATGTATTAATTTATGATCTAATAATCCAAACGTAGCTGTTTTTCTTGGTCTTATCATTTAGCTTAGGTAATTGCCTTACGTCGTTTGCTTATTATTATTTATAGATTGTGATTGGGTTGGTGCTAATGGGAAAGATTAAAAAAGGAGGTATACATCCAAAGAGCTTGTTTTTTGAGAAAACACCAAGAAGCCGTTGCGAAAGAGAATGCAAATCTTCGAGCAGAAAAGCGAACGTCGTATTCCAAAGAATTTATTACACAGCTTTTGATTAACACCTGAAATCAATTTTGGCACGAATAGAGAAAAAAATCTGTTCTTAAGACAATTTGAGTCGCACAATGGATTCGAATAAAGACGCCATTCATTGACTGACAATGACAAACATTTAAGAAATTCTTAGAGAAACTTACAAAGTTTGTTTTCGGTGTCTGTTCGGACGGTAGAAACGTTTAACTTTTAATAAGAAGAGAATCTTAAAAAAGTCTTGTTTTACTGTACTGCTTCCTTCTTTAACTCGACGACGCGCGGTAACTTCTCACACAAATTTGGTCAACCTTCTTCTGCACAAGTTTTATATAAAAAGTGACGTGCTGCGTTTCAACAAATCAAATCGGACTAACTGCTCGTAATTTAGCGTAAAAAAATTGACACGCTCTTCAACCGTCGCGAAAACTAACAGCTGCGTCCCCGTTTACTCGTTGTATTTGGGGAACAACCATTTCCGCTATAAAGTAAACTCCTTCTTTAAACAATTTTCAAATAAATCACAAATCAACGACGGAACGGGCCAAACGTCCCTCCAAAATAAAACGTGCAATTCTTCGAAATCCCTTACCAGTGATAGCGTGTGTTAAATAATTTTGGCATGATAATATCTCTTATCGCAACGACCAGATGTGTCTTACTTCTAACATCTTATCTATATTGAATAAATTACAAAAGTGATAACATTTAAACAAGAATTACGAATTTACAACATTTCTAAAAGGAAATAAAACACCGAGATAAAAATTCAAATAAAACGAACTAACTCTGTGCTTAAAATATTCTCATATACAGGATGTCCCCGTCATTCTTTTTGGTGTTTGATGTGTAAACGGTCGATATCAAGGCATTAGTGAATTTATGCAACTTAAATTGCATCTATTAGGAATGACATGCACGATTTTATTTATTCTCGAGCTGAAATGTAGATTGTCAATTGGTACAAGAAGTTGGTAATAACAGTACATAGCGTACAGAAATGTAAAAATGGCAAGAGGACGGTCCAAAGTTTTCCGAAAAAAAGCTACGTACAACATAAGTATGAAAAATTAGACAAAAAGCGAAAATGTATCCATAGGTTTTAACATGCCGGAACACACAATTGCAAAATTAACAGGGTACTCACCTACACTGTCGAATTGTGGAGTTTTCTGAGTCCCCAAGTTTTCTTCTGCAATAACAGACAGTTTTCTACCGCCCAACTTTGACTTTTTAGTCAAATCTGAGATTATTGTGCATTTTTGTCACAAAGATAAGACAACACACCGTCTCCGTACCCCGCTAACGGTACGTGAGATTTGCACGACTAATTTTTTTCATAGACCGATACCTGCATATTCCGAATTGTCAGTAATAGTAATTTACATAAAAGTAGGTAAGGGGATATTGAAGTATGAGGCTCCGGAAATCGATTTTTTTAAATATAAAACTTTAATTTTCATATGCGACTTTTAAAAGATTAATGTACCAGTTTCGACAGGGGACCGGTAAAGTGACAAGCGGAAGGAAAAGTAGTCAGCCACTAGAACATTTTCTGACATAAAGTAGGCATGAAAATGAAGGTTTCATGACGATTTCGGGAAAACGCTAGTTAAGTAACCTAACATTTATCTTTAAGGTGGTCTATTTAAAAGGATACATAGGTGATTTGTACTTAAGTGTTGTCTTAATCAATCCCTCTGTACGTTTTAATTCTCTCTAACACTGTAAAGTCCCGTTGTTTCGTTGAATATACTCTTGGTTTTGGTGACTGACTGAATGCGCTCTTTAGTGTATTAGTGGTTTGTACCATTGGTATTTAGAAAATATCACTTTTGCCTTTGTCATTGAAATGACAGGTTCATAGAATTTTGCGAAAGATGAAATTTGAAAAGCAAAATTTCAGTCATTTTAAAATCATTTTTAAAATCATTTTTAAAATTGTCTAAATTATTTATCTAAGCGTATTTAAGTGAATGGTCTATGGTTGTGTTTTTTTGAGGTAAAGATATTTTCGTACCTTAATTTGTTTTTTACGTTTCTTTTTAAGTTATCCCTTATGCTCTAATTTAATTGAATCTTTTATAGTGTACCAAATTTTGCATTGGCCCAAAAAATAGATTAAATAGCTAACTATAATACTCTGTCACACTTACTTAATAACATACTATGATAGCTATAATTTGCTACAGACTGTTTCATCAAAACCTAAATTATCATTATTTTTCTTGAAGTTGGCGGCTTCTCTTCTGAACTCCATTCGCACACAAGCTGCCAATATAATACTTAAAAAGGCTAGTAAGGCCAAAGCAATGTTTGACCCCAAGGCATCATTTTTGAAGAACAATGCCGAATACAGTTCGGTGAAACCAATTCCAAATGCTTGTCCCAAACCATTTAGAAGCCCTACTGATATGCCTTCCGGTTCCGGGTAGGTTGCTTCAACTACAATTTCATAAGACACAGACCAAATGGACCCCATGAGAAAACTGTAAACGCACGATTAAAAGCTGTAAGTTCTTGAAACCTCAAACTTACCCAGCTAGAGATACGGAAACGTAAACTAATTCAATGTGAATATTGATAATGCAGGTGAGACAAATTAGTGTCGCACAAAACGCAGCTAATAATGTTACAAGTGTTCCCCTAAAACTAAATGAGGAAAAGATCATTACAAATCTGGGGTATATACTTGTAAGCCTTAAATCGATCTAAAAGCAGGCCTCCTGCCAATGAACCGATGAAACCGGCAATGATCATCAAAAGTCCTATTCTGCCAGCATCTTTCAGACCGTCCTAAAATTGTTAACGCATAACCTTACGGACTACGAGTATTATAGTCAAAATTGTTACCTACCGGGTAATATGTCAATACAAGTTGATTAAGTACCGTCGAAATTGTGCAAAAGATGCCTAAACTAATAGCAAATGCAAATAAAACGAGCACAAAGGTACGATTCGTCATTAGTTTCTTTACTGGGTGCCACAGGTCGATTTCTTGGTCTTGACTTTGTAGGGCAGCTTGCGAGGGAGGTGTTTTCGGTCTGTCAGGAAACCCTGCATGTGATAGGTTGGCTTTAAATTTTTAACTGCGGAGCGTGAAGATTTTAATAATTCCCCCCCCCCCCCCACTTTCATGCAAGGATATATTTGAAAAGGTGATTTATTGATATCCACTTGTGAACTAAGCAAATAAAGATGCCTTCCCCAAATCTGGTATACAACGGCAAATTGCCATTACGTTACTGTGACATTTATTGAGACATTAACAGTTCAAGTCTTCATCTTTATACTTACACAAAAGCACTGCCATCATTAGTATTGTGGATATTATGCCAACACCAATAGATATAGTAGTAAAGTCATTCTTAATGGAAGCCATATCATTTTCACTGGTAATCATTTCTGGTGGAACTGCAAATCCGACAGCGAAGCCCAACTAAAAAGTCAAATGGGTAAGAAACGGTAAATGTTGCTTCCATTGTACCTGCAGTCCTGCAAGTCCAATACCGCAAGCAGTAGAAACCTCTTTGGGTCCAAACCATGTCGCTGCGACTTTAGGGATAAGTCCCATTAAAGGTACCACACCGACTGCTACTATAAATTGGCCGAGTAGCAGTACCCAATACCGATCTGGAGCTATGGAACCAACTTTGATCCATGCGCCTACAGCTGTCAGTACAACTCCAATCAGCATTGAGGTACGCAGGCCCTGAAATTTCCGGGAATGGAAAAATCCAGACATGTAAGTGGGATTGTCTCTCAGATCACGATAAAAGAAGGTGTTGTGGAAGCAGTTACAGTTAGCTAGTAACATGACATTGAGATCGGGTTAGTAGCGTTGATCAACTGACCTAAATGGACACTTACATACTTGTCTAGGATATAACTCATCGGAAAAACCAAAATAAAGTAAACGAGCAGAAAAATCATGGATGACCAATTGACTGAAGAATATGATAATCCATAGTAAAACACAAGAACATCTGCAATAATACCATACTGCATCCACTGCATATTACTAATTGCGGAAGCGGCGGCTGACAAGAAAAGGACCACCCATCTCGCTTTGTATAATTGAAACGGCTCGTGCACTTTCTTCAAATCTTCGACCTCGTTGTTCATTTTTCAATTGCACACTGTAAATGTTTTATTGCATTAGAGTTTAGATTGCTGTATTAGGCAATGTTTTCTTTGTAAATTATCGTTTGTATTGCATTCCTTTAAGCTACGTATCTTAATATTTTACTTATTCATATCGCCTTATCTTGTTTTCGGATATCGTAAAGTTACGCTGAATATGTTAAATGGCAAAACAAAATTTGCAAAGAGGGTTGTGAACAATAAAATAGCGGAGTGACTCCACCAAGAATATTTATTTCGTTCTGTCAAAATAAGTTGCTGTGTTTTTAAAATGGGTGGGGACCAGAATTTGCCTCTTTATCACGGTATAAACAGAGACGACATTCACCCTCAAAAGCCTCTTGTACAAACTGGGCTTCAGGTTTCTCGCAATGTAATAGTTTTGTTTATTCACTGAAATAATTGACCAATTGAATGGAATTGACAATTTTACCCTTATAATCTCAGGGTTTTAGCAGCTAGAAAAATCACAAACTAATTGCCCTTAACCTGTTAATCTGTTATATAAACGAGATAGGTTGGTTAATAAACTTTGGTGGTAAAATTTTATAAGTGCGGTCACGCGAATCCAATAATGTAATAACACGAAAATGTTTGCTCACGTAAATACTCCATTTTATTTACTTGAAAAATCAACTCGAAATTGATTTAAATGCACACATGACAATAATTTCGTCGAAATAGAGGCACAGTTTTCCCTCGTAATCCGTCAGTTAGCTTCAGCAACATCAGTTGAAAATGTTACGCGCTCTAAAAATCCCGCGCTTACCTTACATAGTTTCATTTATTTCCAACTACCAATCTGAACTTCGCCCTTTTGAATTTAACGGTGAACATTTCATCTAGGTTTTTTTTAACTGTACATACCTGTTTTTTTCCATATGACTATTGTTTCAATAAATGGATAGTATTATTATTATTGAAATTTGCATTTAATATGAGTAATCACATTCCTCTGGTTGGATTCGTATTGAAGATGTGTATGTAAATATTGAAGAAGAGAGTCTACCAGTAATTTATCATGTGGTAAAGATAAAACATTTAGATAAGGACCAAATTTAGCACGGACACTGTCTAGGACACTGTAATAACTCGATCATTATCAGCTTGACTTTTTTACTTCTGGTTTCAATGAAATCTATGCTGTGTAACAAATGTTTATTGAATTATAAATGTAAAGATCAAAGAACGTTAAATATGTTTTTAAACGCTGTCTCCTATCATGTTACTATTATATGAAGAGCGCTTTAGTTAATTACAAGTATGTGCGCGCGACGATGTGACTTCTGGAAGCGGGCACAATTAGCGTTAGCATTGGTCGTTTTGAGTTGATACTATAGTTAAGGGTTCAGTGAATTATAATATAAAACTGGGTGAAAGAGAAGAAGTTTAGTGCCAAAATTCATCGCCGATAAATAGAAACGCAGTACTAAATTTGCTTAAGAAGAGATACTTAGTAATAGCCGAAATGTCAAGCTTTTCATTTCGTAAATGGACATTTTAAATAATCCCGCCTCACACGTTCTCACACGGCAACCGTATTATTAACCAGTTTGGGGTGTTTTTTACGGGACACCTGTAATTTGTCTTTTTAGACAAATTTGAACAGGAAGATGTCAAGCATAACGTGGAAATTCGAACTGAGCCGACAACAGCTTCATCCGCCTAAGGTCAGCGATTGCAACAACTTAAAAAGTACATTGTTTCATTATCTCTTGAGTTTTATTGCGAAGTAGAGTGTGCGTCTACTGAACGTTTATTAGAGTTAGATTTGTTAATTTAAATTCAAGAGGATCTCCGTTTTTTAGAGTGGTTATCAGAATCATGTTTTCATTTTTCAAGATATAATAATAATGAACATAATTATGTAAATTTTTAATTACCTTTTTGGAATTATCGCTGTAAGGGGAAGTAAAAAGAGTTCTGCTTCAAGGTGAAGTCTGAATGCGAATTACGTAAACTCTCCAAAACGTAGTGGAGTATAAATGTCTAAATCAGTATTTTTCAAATTCTTGGCAATTAATGAGATATCAGTGTAATAGAAACGAACTAAATTCTTTCCTATGGTTAAACGATTTTACCTGACCCAGCTGGAAGTAAAAAGGTAAGCTCCAAAAGTACTTCAACATAATAAGACGAATAAGTTACTAGAAAAATTTACATCACGAACCTGAGAAAATCTTAAACCTTTTGTAAAATACCAGTACAAATTAGCACTCTTCCACGGGGTCAAACTTAAAGAATATAAAAACAATTTTATTACTGAGCTATCCGTAGGAATCATAAAATTTTTGTCATTTTTCTTCGACTCTTGTTAATGTAACGAAGCACGAAGCCCGCTACAACTTACAATATTAGCAAACTCTGCGCTACGTCACTAAAATGTGGTACTCAATAATTCTAAAAAACTAAAAGCGACTATAGGACTCTGCCTCTAACATTGTACAGGGTGGTTCAAATTTGTGAGATACAGTTTAGGTTAAATGGTTTTTGGGCGCTGGTTGCTCTGTCGCTAAGCGTGGAACAGTCCATTTCTAACCTGATTTCTAACCACAGCCTTCCGGAAAAAAATGTTTTAAGACGTTATTTTAAAGATTTTTTGTTTGCGGACGCACTCACCGGTAACAATCGCCGCGTTTACAAGAATTTTCGGACAAAAAAAATTTGCTAGACTAGTTAAAATGAAGCAGCACAGAAAGTTTCAGAAGAGTGGTAATCACTAATCAAGTTTCAAAAGGGTCGACGTCCCGCGGACTGTATGATTCTATGATAAGATGTGGATAACTCTCGCATATTTCTAAGAATTTCAAAATTATCAAATTGGCGCCATTGTTTGTTTAACAAGGGCAACATTGGATTTGGGTTTTGGCTAATTTGAAGTTATCATACACCTTTACAGTAAAACCTACGTCGCATAATGAATTGTAACAAAAGTCTGGTTTTCCACTTCTATAAGATTGCCTATAGACCCATGTCCCATATAATACCTACACTAGAACGTTACCTATTAATGAATTAACTGTTATGCCACTACAATTTTCTGCAAGACACTTAAAACTCCACAATTTGATAAGAAATATAAAAAGCACTTCGCTAACACACTAAAGTCACAATTTTAATGGCAACCTCTAAATTATCGCGTGCATGTAAATAGTTCCTTCTAATAGGCTCATTACTTAGCATTCATGCATATAGACGTCAAAAAGTATGTTATTTTTACTTTTTAGTGTATTTTCCTCAAAGTGAAAACTCGCTATTGGCTGCACTTTGTCGCCCGTCCGTCCGTCCGTCACACGTACTCCTTCTTTCCCACTGAATCGATTTGGGCGATATGGGGCTCATTTGAAAGGGATTGGTCCAAGGATTCCGTGCATACTGATATTTTCTGGTTTTGCGCATGCGCAGTGTCCACAATTTGGAGTAACGCGTACGCAATGCTAACTTTTTTATTTATGAAGATATCTAAATGAAACTTTATATGTAAACTATGGCACTTTGAATGAAACTAAAACTTATACCGGTTTCAAAATGACTGTTTACGCATGCTGTATGTTTTACTTACGAATTAAACAATGATGAAGGTGTTCAATGAAATTTCTAATGTAGACAATGCGCAATGCTATTTACGAAAGCATTAAAAAAAGTTTCAAATGTAGACTGTTGTATCTTAAAAGTACGCACTCTAAGAATGAAAAGAAAATGTAAAAAGACAGTTACGCATCGCACGTCATTCATAATAACATTGTATAATTTGTTCGTTCATAAGTTCAGTTCTAATAAAGAAACCTTGTTATGTTCTTGTGTTCTACCATCCAGAAAGATCATGGATACGACAACTTGATATAAATCTAAAAGAATTAGACTAATGATGTGAACAGTCAAACCATTTATTCAGTAGAAACGATTAGCAAAGATTTACAGCAAATTAAAAGTCAATTTTCTACTATTTTTAAGCCAGTAATTGGTTGTGTCAAAAACTTCAAGTGTTCACTAAAAATGCGCGATAACGCAAAACCAACATTCTTTAAAGCGCGGGAAGTTTCGTACGCATTACGGGAAAAGGTAGAACAAGAACTATCCATACTGGAAGAACAAGGAATTATTTCAAAAGCAGACTCATCCGACTGGGGATCACCATTAGTTATCATTCCGAAGCCAGACTCTACAGTGCGGTTGTGTGCCGATTACAAAATTGGAGTAAATCCAGAGATAGTTCAATTAAATTATCCAATATCTAAAATAACTGAAATGATAGATAAGTTGCGTAACGCCAAATATTTTTGCACACTAGATTTGTTTAAAGCATATCTACATATTCCTGTTGAGGAGAAGAGTTCAAAAATTCAGACGATAACTACACATCGTGGAACGTATACCGTAAACCGTCTCTCATTTGGTATTAAATCAGCGCCTAGTGAGTTTAATCGCATATTGGACAGTATTTTAGAAAATGTGCCAGGAGTTTCATCTTATTTCGATGATATTATAGTCTATGGTTCAAATTACGAAGAGTGCAAGAATAACGTAATACATGTTTAAAACGGTTACAGGAAAATGATTTACATTTAAATTTCAAAAAGTGCACATTTTTTCAAGAAGAAGTTACATATTTGGGTTATGTGATTAAAGCTGGTATTGTTTCCAAATCACCTGACAAAGTTCTATCAGTAAAAAATGCACGTAGACCACATGATGCCAGTGAAGTAAAGCAGTTTCTTGGACTAGTAACTTATTACTCCCGATTTATTCCCAACGCTTCAACTCTAACGTATCCGCTTCGACGATTACCTACTTCAATTAGGTAAATACTAAATTCTACTGGTCTGCAGAGTGCGAATCCGCATTTATTCGAATTAAAGCAGAAATTGCTAGTGATCGTGTTCTTACACCCTATAATCCTGAATTGCCAGTAATAGTCGCTTGTGATGCAAGTCCTGTTGGTGTTGCAGGTGTTTTGTCACATATAATAGATAAAGTTGAAAGACCCGTTGCATTTATTTCCAGATCATTAACAGCAACAGAAAGAGGGTATAGCCAGTTAGATCGTGAAGCTTTAGCTATCTATTGGACAATTCAAAAATTTTATAATTATCTTGTCGGACAACCGTTCACCCTTGTCACTGACAATCAGCCGTTAACAAAAATCGGTTGCTCCGTTATGCAACATTTCTCAGTGGTTTTCAATATAAGGTCGAACATAAAAGGGGTAAAAACCACCAGAACGTTGACTGTTTGTCAAGATTACCTTTAACAAGAAATACTCTGGTAGAAGAAGATGACACTGACATTATTAATGATCAAATAATAAATCAAATTTCAACTTTTACATTAAATAGTGATTCAATTCGAGAAGCTACATCAACTGATAACGAACTCCTTAAATTACGTGAGGATTTACAGAAGGGGAAAAATGCTAATTCAGAATACAGTATTCATCGAGATATTATATTTAAAGGCCAGCGTGTTTACATTCCAAACAAATTGCGTTCACACGTTTTAAAAGAGTTACATTTCACACACTTGGGAATTTCAAAAATGAAAAACTTATCACGCAAACATTGTTATTGGCCAAAAATAGATTCTGACATCGAACAATACGTCAAAAATTGTCAAGAATGCAGTGAAAACATAAATCTGCCTCCAAAAGCCGAAACACATCATTGGCAAGAACCTAGATATAATTTTGAAAGAGTACATATGGATTATGCCGGTCCATTTCAAAATAGACATTTCCTTATTTTAGTCGATGCAAAGTCAAAGTGGCCAGAAGTCCGTATTTTGAATGAAAGTCCAACATCAACTGCCACAATTAACCTGCTACAAGATATTTTTGCCTCAAGTGGATTTCCTCAAGTATTAGTGTCCGACAACGCAACAATTTTTAAAAGTACGGAATTCGAGGAATTCTGCAAAATGAGTGGAATTTCACAAAATTTCATCGCTCTAGGAAACCCGTCAACGAATGGTCTAGCCGAAAGATATGTACAAATTTTGAAGAATAAATTGAAGATGATGGCCAAAGACCCAATGCCATTGCATTGGAAAGTTGGTGAAATATTGTTTCGATTCCGAGCTACGCCGCTAAAATCTGGAAAAAGTCCAGCTGAAATTTATTTTAATCGACCATTTCGAAAGTTAGATGCAATGCGGCCAAATCCAGTTCAAAAGCCAAATGATATATCTACACTACGACATCGTATATTAAAAGTGGGAGATCGTGTACAATCAATACACTATCCGACTAAGAGTTGGAAATATGGAATAATAATCAGGAAACTTGGTAATTTGCACTACATTGTAAAGTTAGATGATGGTTATATGATCAAACGCCACATAAATCAATTAATCAAGTCTGAAATTAATAGCTGCGGAGATAACATTAAGAATAAAATACTGTACGTGAAATGAAGATTCCAGAAACAAGAAGAGACATTTTAAATTTTGCAAATAATAATCAAATGATGATTCCAGCTCCAGCTCAAGATGAACAGCTCAGACGTAGTCAGAGAAATCGTAGGAAGCCACTCAGGTTAGCAGATTATGTTCGATAATTTAATAGTTAAATATTTTATTTTAAATTTATATATTGTTGTTAAATGTTATCTAGTTTCAAATTAAGCGCACGAGAATTGTTGTATCTTAAAAGTACGCACTCTAAGAATGAAAAGAAAATGTAAAAAGACAGTTACGCATCGCACGTCATTCATAATAACATTGTATAATTTGTTCGTTCATAAGTTCAGTTCTAATAAAGAAACCTTGTTATGTTCTTGTGTTCTACCATCCAGAAATTATAAAATAGACACTTCGAATAAAAGTAAAACTAATGCCAATTTTAAAATTGGTTTGTATTTATACAGGGTGGGGCCTAGCGCAACGCAGCATAGGGATTTCAATGGTAATTTCTTTATAGTCAATTACTAGCTCCCCTAATTATTCTAGAGCAAAAGTCTAAATAAGTTTTTTTTAGAGAAAAAAATACTGCATCTGTTCATACTTTTACTTATAATTTTCCATTTTTCAAAACCGTAGAAATCGACAAAATAAAAAATTACATTTTTATAAATCAGTGATGCTTTGGAATCTTTTAACAAACTACAAGCGCATCGCATCTAAGTTATCGTTATTTGACGTCGAACGATTTTCATATTTAATTCTGTTACAACTATCCCATGCAAGAAAAAGCGGCAATTGGATAATGTTTTTTTAGAAATGTATGCTGCATCTGCATCAGATACTATTTGTTTATCAGAGAGAATCAGAGTACCTACATAATCGAAGAAAAAGAACTGATTTGAAGAAGATTTGTTCCTAAACTTATATTCGGATTTTCCGCTACTGCAGCCAAAACGTTGAATGTATTGTCGTTTTCCTGATGGTGTTTGAACGTTATTGCACTTGCAGTTCTTTAACTAATTTATAAACAAGTATAAATTTAATATACGTCAAAGGCAAATAATGAAACGTGATCGCTGTTTTTTAGGTAATTCCAAGGCATATTTGATTTATTGTAAAATGAACCTTTTTATTTTGTCGATTTCTACGGTTTTGAAAAACGGAAAATTATGAGTAATAGCATGAACAGATTCAGTATTTTTTTCTCCAAAAAAAACTTATTTAGACTTTTTCTCTAAAATAATTAGGGGAGCTAGTAATTGACTATAAAGAAATTACCATTGAAATCCCTATGCTGCGTCGCGCGAGGCACCACCCGGTATACGCTTCACTATTTTTCATTAAACTGTATAGACTTCGACGATGGGCGGCTCATTTGAAAAAGAATGGGGTAAGGATCTCGTGCCTTTTCCGGTCCTAGCATTAATATATTATTAGGAGGAAAACAAGCTCGCGTCATTTATGTTTGCATAATGACTTTTTAACTTGTTATTTTTATTGTTTTATAATTTTCAACTTGAAGTACAATGAGCACTTGGTATAATTATACCATGAATGTTTATGTGATGTGCTGACGTAGTGGGCTTTTATAGATATAGCATTAGTTAATATAACCGTTGATTGATAAAAATATACATATCAATCAACGATATAACGTTGTTTATTATTATTTTATTTATTAATACTAAGTAAATAGTGAAGTGAATTATAGATAATTTGGTGT